GTGTAAGAGGAAAACAAAACTTAAAATCATGAGTCACAATCTTTCTCAATAATGTTAATTTTTCTCATTTCATAAATTGATCTTATTAATAAAGATTGTTTTTCCTTTTGTTTTCCTTTTTTTCTCTCCTTAAAAAGGAATTTAGTACATGTAGTTATTATATATATTCAGAGTTCACTTATAATTTACTCATGACTAGAAAGCAACAGCAATATTGTGAGAGAGCTTTTAGATATTCCAAGTTACTGCATTCTAAATCCAAAGGTATTTTAGACATAGACCTGTATGGGGTTAAGTGCCTTTTCTGGTGAAATATATGGGGATTATACATTTATCTTCTGACCAAAATAGACTCTTGTAGTAATACATAGATATAACTGGTTTCTTTTTAAAAAATTAAATGGTTTCACTCATAGTTGGGGTCTAACTTCTGCCTCATGTTAGCTTTGCCTCATGATCATTCTTCTGTTGGTAGGCTTTATAAATCTTAAAATTCTGTAGAAATAGTTCTATTCAACCAAGGATGCCTAGTTTCATGCAATTTTTTTTCAGAGTGTGGAATTTATACCCCCCCCCTTTTTTTTTTTAGAAATTGTTCATGTTACTAAGTCCCTGATCAGTCCACAAAGTTGATTAGCCTGCTGTGTTCCAGGTGCAGTATATTTGCTATGCAGGTTTTGGGGACAATCTTTGAAATATAGCTTTCCTCATTTTTCAGAGCTTCATTCTTCAGCTAATAGTAAGGATTGTTGAGAGGAGCATGTAGGGCGATTTCATGGAGCAGGGTGTGAGCAGCACTGAAGTACATCATCTCATACAGAGGCTGTCTCTGGAGGCAGAAGATATTGTCTCACCAGACTGTTGATGAAGTTCGTGAGGTATTCTCTGAGTTCTTTAAACTAAATTTGTTTCTTATTTGCTCTTGACTCCCTCATTTCTATCACAAACTTCTGGAGGTGAAAGAAGTCTGTCTTCTCACCCCAGAAGCATTTTCTTCCTCTTTGGCCTCTGTATCAAGGCTCTGAAACTGGGCCAGGAACACCTTTATTTTCTTGTTTGTGCAGCCAAACTACTGTTAGTATAACTTAAAAACCTTGATGCATTCCTGAAATAATGATCATTAGGTCATCCTTAGCCACATCTTTAGCAACTGTAAGGCTAATACATATTCTCTTGACTCCTTGTTCTTTTGTAAAATTCATGTTGCAGCTCTGTGATCCATAACTAAGGTACTTGGGAAAAGAGGTATTAATTCATGGAAGACATCTGAAAACCAGGAAATAATTTGGATAATAAACATGCAGGTTTTCTAGTAATGATTGTAGTTTTTGTTGTTGTTTTGTTTAAAATCTTCTTGTTGGCTATTAATGCAACTTGCTTTCTTAAAGCTTCTTTTCCACCATCTTCTAAAAGAAGGATGGAAGGCTTGAATGTTATCACACTGATTTTCTGATAAAGAAGATAATCTTTTGGTTTCTGGGAGATTGCACAGAACCATTGAGTGCCTGGGGATAGAAATGGGCTAAACCAAAAACTGAGGTCACTTTATGACTTTCTGAATTGTGAAATCATGATACCAAAAGACATTGGTCAAACCTGTAACACTTTTTTAATTAAAAGGGAAAATAGGTTATAAAACAAGCTTATGAAGTACTGTCATCAAGAGCGCCTATGAGACAAAAATTGAAATACTTCTGTAAGTGGAGAACTGCATGAGGAAGCAACCAGTGGATGATAATAGATTTGGGAAATCCAAAAATGAATATTAGTAGAAATTCAAGTTGCTAGTTCTGATAAGATGTGGTTGCTAGAGGGAAATCCTTCTTTTTGTCTCTTTTTTTGCAACTATTTACTGTTTAATGTTCATGTACCAAATGAAAAGAGACCCCATTGAACCTGTACCTTTTTGTGGGTGAGAGACCTGGCCATTTTTCTCCTCTTTGGACTCTACAGCTATAGCACAGTTCACCACCTTTTGGAAAAGTATTTCATACTGGTAATTTTTGTCTTGCAATGAGACACCATATGGTGTAACATTAATCTGACATTTGAATGTTATGTCTTTTCTACATTTACATCTAGAACAAGAACAGCAGTTGGACTGTCTCTGAGTTTTGAAAACTCTGGGCTCTTGGTTTCTTCTGTAATCCATAATGAGAGTTTTCAGAAATTCAGTGACTGTCAAAGATGTTACTTAATTTTTATAATTGCTCAGTATCAGGTTTCATTTGTTGCCATATCAGCTGACAGGTTTTAAATCATAGCTGTTGTCCTTAGATACATGTTTCCCTTCATTAAAATAGTCTACTTGGACACTGATGAAGTAGCTATGGTCCTAGCAACCCACTGGATTCTAGTCACATTTGAGATTTCATGACATTTTTAATAGCATATTATTTTTTTTACTATAAAGTAATACATTATTACTAAAAATTTTTAAAATATCCATAGTTTAATAAATTTGTTTTTGGTCTTTTTGTTGTCATGTTTACACAGCTTTAAACTATTGTAATGTATATTTTTATGTGACTTTTCATTAATCATATGTACTTTTCTTATTATAGGTAAAGTATCAGGAACTCTTTTTTTTTAATTTTAAGAAAAATTCAAACATAAAGTAGTGAGACTAGCATAATAATCTCCCATGTACCCATTTCTCAGCGTCAATAAATATTACTACATGGCCGTCTTGTTTCTTCTATATCCTTGGAGTATTTTAATGCAAATACCAGACATACGTTATTTCACTTATAAATACTTAAGTGTGTATTTTTAAAATACAAGGAAGTTTAAAAACAGTACCATAATGCCATTTTTCAAAGAAAAAACTAAAAATAATTCTTTAATATCATTTAAATATCTAGTCTAGTCTGAGTATTTAAGACAGAATAACATTCCCTTAATGAATTGCCCAGAATGTACTTAATCATTTCATTATTACATCTTTTAGGTTGTTTACAATTTTGTAATTATATATAAGTAATACTGCAGTGACCAACTTTATACCTTCCTAGTATATTCATATTAAATGTGCATATTTCCTTAGGAAGGATTTCTTGAAGTTGAACAGTAGTACTAAAGAAGTCATATGGGGGCCTCCCTGCTGGCGCAAGGAGTTAAGCACAGCACTATGAAGCTATCAGCAGCCACTGCAGTACAGGTTCGATCCCCGAATAGGGAGCTACCCACATGGTGCAGCAGACCTCTCCTGTCTCACCCGCTGCTCCCCTCAGCAGTGTATTTCAGTCAGTCTGCCTGTTCCTCTCCCCACTGTCTTTCTGGTGAATCCTCTCTCAAACACACACACCCCCGCACCTCTGGCCTGTACCCCAGTTCTGTATGCATAAATAAATAAATCTTAAAAAAAAAAGTCATATGATATTTTATCAAGTTTCCAACTGCACGTGTGGGGTTAAGAGATTATTTATCCACTGCAGCCTATAGACAGAAGACTTTAATAGCCTCCCAGTTACTTTTACAAAGGGGTGGGTCAGTGTCTCGCAGCCTCTTCCTTTGAATCTGACCCTGCATGGAATTCTTTGGTCAGGTACTGATAATAGTCTTATCATTTATCCTCTTGCCACAAAAACTTGGCTAAGAATTTAGTTTCCACAGGACCTCCCCTGGTGGCACAGCGGTTGAGCGCTGGGCTGCGAAGCTGCCCACAGCCTCTGCAGTGCAGGTTCAATCCCCGGCAACTGATGAGGGTCCCACATGGCGCGACAGACCTCTCCTGCCGTGCCCGCTGCTCCCCTCAGCAGTGTATTTCTTCATCAGTCTGCCTTTTCTGCTCCCCGCTCTGGCTCTGGTGAATTCTCTCACCCTCCCGCGCTTCTGACTGTACCCAGTGCTTGTATAAATAAGTAAATTAAAAAATAATAATAAAATAAAACTGTTAAAAAAAAAGAATTTATTTTCCACAGAATTATGACCTCCCAACTTCTTTGATCCATCCCACTTTTTGATGGGTTAGGTAGGAATCAAATAGGAGTTTCATTTTCTTCAGTCATTAACGTTGTATAAGGTGTCAGGATCCTTACTCTTCTACCTAAAGTGGAAAGCATTATGTAGTTTTTTTTTTTTTTAAACTGGTCTTTGGAATTTTTGTGATAAATTTTCAAAACTCATATAGTATGTAGTTTTAGAAACACATGAATTCAGGAAAATTTGATTCTATTTTTATCATTTTTAAAAAGTGAAGTAGAAATTAATAGAAAACATTAATATAGTCATTTATATTTTAGAGTTTAGTTTCATCTTGTTTGGATTATTAAACTAAGGATTTCTGCGTATCAGCAAAAATATATGAGCAATTGTCTCTGTTGTCTGTTATTATCTGGGAAATAGAGTAGTATAGTACAGAGAACATGGACTTTCGAATCAGATCTTATTTCTTGACCTTGCCACATAATATTTACAACAGTGATAATTCCCATTTATTGAGTATACTATATATCAAATACTATGCTAAGCATGTAATACATGTCATCACATTTAATTTTCACGGTAACCCTGTAAGATAAATTTACGATCTCCATTTTCCTGATGGAGAAACTAAAGCTCAGAGAGGTTAAATACAAAGCCTAAGGCAGAGCTAGGTTTGTCACTGTTGTCTTTTTTTCTTTCTGTTGTATCACAGTTATTCTTTTACCATTCTCCCAGGTTTTCCAGACCCAGTTTGTGGGTACAGGTGCTCTGCTATTAGGTATTATTGTCAGGTGTACTTACGGAATTTTTGAGAAACACAGTTCTAAAGTCATCACTTCACTTAACAACAATATACTCTTCATTGTTAAGACATAAAGTCTACAGTGATAATATGAGTTTAATATATATAATTGTATGAAAGAAAGAATGCTTTAGAAGTTACTTAGGTAATTCATATTTTCACTAATTATTAACTTCTTTTTTCCCAAAGTTTTCAGAGTTGGGCTTTAAGTCAGGGCATTTTAGCTTTTCTACTCATTCATCTTTTTTCCCTCAACTTTGCTTTTTTATAGAGTTTGAATTCTTATACAAATGGAGCGTATGGTCCACAATACCCCACTGGCCCTGGGGCTAGTACTGCATCATATTCTGGGGCTTATTACACACCTGGATATACTCAGACCAATTACTCCACAGAGGTTCCAAGCACTTACTGTTCACCCGGCAACAGCCCAACACCAGTCTCTCGTTGGATGTATTCTCAACAGGACTGCCAAGCAGAAGCACCCCCTCTAAGGGGGCAGGTTCCAGGATATCCTCCTGCTTCACAGGTGAGCAGTTTTCAGTCTCTCCCTTTTGAATTGTGAACTTTGGAAGGGTATCTATTTAGGAAAACATTTCAGATACTCACTGAATTCTAGAGGTGACTGTAATGACAGGACAAATTTTACATTGACACCTTTCTCACCTTTATTTCTCACAGTTATTCCAGTAGGTGGATTTTAGCTGAGGGTATCTTAAAAATGTCATAATTATAGTATTTTTATATTGGAAGAAATCTTTAGAGAATTTTTGCTTGAAAGTTTCCCTATCTAGTCTTTTTAGTGCCCTGTTAGGCTTGTAATTTTTAATGTTTTATGAATGATATCATGTTTATTTCTCTGTTAACTTCAAGAAGAGTTCTAATATATCTATTTGTGCTTCCTTTTAGCATATGGGTACACTTAATAGTATTTATGGAACAGATTTATGCTGTGGTTTAGACTAGAACATTTTCATTACTTTTAGGTGTTTTTGGGCAATGACCACAATTTCCTTCCTCTCAATCTAGAACCCTGGAATGACCCTGCCTCCTTATCCTTATGGAGATGGTAATCGTAGTGTTCCACAACCAGGGCCAAGTGTACGACCACAGGAGGACTCATGGGCTTCTCCTGGTACTTATGGAATGGGAACTCGTTATCCTTGGCCTTCTGCTGCGCCAGCAGCACCACCTGGGAATCTCTACATAAGTGAAAATACTTCACCATGGCCTAGCAGTGGATCTCCTCAACCCCCTCCTTCAACTCCACCCCAGCAGCCCAAGGTAGGGGACCTTTTAAAATGTTCTTTTGAAGAAAAAAAGAAAGTTCTTTTGATGTTTGAGTAATTAAGAGAGTTCAACCTGGAACTTCTCTGCATTCATCTGTTTAAATGGAAACTGCAAAAAGTTGGTGGCTTTACCTAGGCCAGTGGCCCCCCCCACCCCTTTTCATAGACTTCCTTTTTTCAAGCAGTTTTACATTCACATCCTTAAAAAAAAGGAATGCTTATTTAATGTTTGTTGTAATATTATATAAATGTTAAATAAAATCAAAGATGGCATTTTATTACCTCAATCTGTAGGTAGAAGACAAAAAACCAATGTAAAAATATATACAGTATTAGTTTGAATAGTTGAATTGAACTATAGGTTTGAATATCATTTACTTGTGGCCAGTTCCTTTTCATGATTGTCTTTAGGTTTTACTCTTTAGGAGAAAAAACCTAATTCCTATTGACTAAGTCACTGGGTGTATTGTGAGGTGGTAAGGATAGATTATGAGGTATTCCTGATGATGACCTGCTTCAGGGTAGATTCCAGCCATTATACCCAGAATTCTCTGCCTTTTGACAGAGCATTCCCTTTTCTCTTTTTAGTGCTGTGTTTTTCTCAAATGATTAAGGAGAAAGGTTCAGTTTTATTGGTGGGGAATCTTCCTGGTCAAGTGAAAGATGTGGGCTGACAAATGTGATTTTGATGGATTCCCATTAAAGTAACTCTTCTCTCCTTTTTACTCTCCTACTCTAAGGATTCCTCATACCCCTATAGCCAATCAGATCAAGTTATGAACCGGCACAACTTTCCATGCAGTGTCCATCAGTATGAGCCCTCGGGGACAGTGAACAATGATAATTCAGATCTTTTGGATTCCCAAGTCCAATATAGTGCTGAGCCCCAGCTGTATGATAATGCCACCAATGAACATCCCAGCAATCAAGATCAAAGTAATAATCTTCCTGAAGAGTGTTTATCATCTTCAGATGAAGGTACGCCCCCAAGTATTAAAAAAATCATACATGTTCTGGAGAAGGTCCAATATCTTGAGCAAGAAGTAGAAGAGTTCATAGGAAAAAAGACAGACAAAGCGTACTGGCTTCTGGAAGAAATGCTAACCAAGGAACTTTTGGAACTGGATTCAGTTGAAACTGGGGGCCAGGACTCTGTCCGGCAGGCCAGGAAAGAGGCTGTTTGTAAAATCCAGGCCATACTGGAAAAATTGGAAAAAAAGGGATTATAAAAGGATTTAGAATAAAGGGGAAGCCTGTTATTAACTTGACCAAAGAACTCTTGGTTTTGGTTAATCACCCTCATTTTGAAACTCCTGTTGATATAAGAAGCAATACACGCCAACTTGGATTTAAAACTTGAAAAACTGGTAAAGGACTTGAAAAACTGGTATAGGACTTGGAAGAACACTTTAGTTATGTTGTTTTCAGACCAATGAATGTAATAGGAAGCTATGGAGTTATCAATATTGCCAAGTAGACTTACTCCTTAAGAAATTTATGGATATTTATAAACTGCTTCTTATCAGCAGGAGGGAAATATACTTTATGTAACAGGCTTGTCAGAATCCTAACAGATGAGACTGGATAATCTGAGACAAACAGGCTCTGTTTTTTAAAACATCTTATTTAAAAAAATCTTGTCACATTTTTGTAAGTTGTGACTGCTTTCAGCATATACTTTATGTGTAAATTACAATTTGGACGTTTGCCTTCTGGGATCTTTGTTTTGTTTTGTTATTTGCAGTTCACAAATATAGTATTCTCTACTTCTTGGTACATTTTGTAGTAATATGTTTAATATAATTATTCAAGAGACTATATTGACAGCCAGATAGTTTGGCAATTCTGAATGAATTTGTATCTTTTCATCACTTGAATATATTGCAGTGTGTAGTGAGTTCCTGAAGTAAATTGTCTCCTTTTTTGTATAGATCATTAGGCTAGCGTTTTGCCCCTTTGCTTTTCATGTTACTAGTGGAAGGTGAATTTGGAAATGGCATTGGCATAGGAATGAAAATGTTGCTTTTTTATTTTATTTGGATAAAGATTCACTTATAAAATTCCTTTTTCTTTCTTTTACAAAATATAACTATCTTTTCACTACTGCTGCTTCCATACAGAGCATTGTGATAAATACAGATAAAAAATTAAATGCCACAGTGAGTGGAAATAATAGCTATTTATTATTGCAAAAGTAATAAATTATGACTATCTGCAAATGTTATTACCTATCTAAAATATTAATTTCACCACCAAGATTCCTATGAGCAAATTTCAACTTAGTTTATAGTCAGAAATGAGGGTAAAAGAGGATTCATGCTCAGGGAATGAATCAGCCATAGCTAGAGTGGGAAATTATTTTCTTCTTTTAAGGTAGATTTGGTGTTTGTCTTTATTTCCCTAGATTAAATTACATGGACAATATTGCCTGTTTTATTTTTAAAAGATGATTATTACCATTAATAATGTTTTAGAGCCAGATTTAAGGAAGGGATACTCTAAGGGCTTTCGCTGGGTTCACTTGGTTAGCTCTATGCTGTCATGTAGAAAAGGCTTAGGTAAGTAACTTAGTTTTCACATCTGAAGTGAATTCTATACAATATCTGTTACTGGAAAGACATCTCTTAAGATGTCAAAGTGATAACATTTTTTTCTAGACTTCCAGGTCTATTAGTGATAATGAATCTATCAGTCTTTTCCACTCCTTGTACACAAAATAAAACATATATAATGAGAAGAAAGAAAGTAAAAATATTGGCTAGGTCTTATAGTTGGGATGAATGATTTTTATGAGATAAGGTGGTGATAATTTTATTCTAGGATTTTTATTTTTGGCCTAATAAAGGAATGTTAAAAATTTTTCTATGAAAATTTAAAATTATACTCGGAACTAAAAATTTAGAGGAAAGAGAACCTTACAGCTATTATAAACCAGTAAGACAATGATTAAGACAGGAGGGAACATTGCTATTTAACTGAGTGCCCATGAAGTCTTGATTTATATGTATAATTATACATATTATGTACATATATACATATGCGTGTGCTTTTTAACATTTATTTTTTTAATTTTTAGATAATTTTAGACTTACTGAAGATTGTAAAAAATAGTCATTTCTGTAGTTGCTTCACCCAACTTCTTGTTAACATCTTACATAACCATAGAACATTTGTGAAATTAAGAAGTTATCCTTGATACAACACTATTTATCCAAAGTAGGGAGTTTATAAAAAGTAGAGATTTTCTTAGTCTTTTCAACATTCCAGAATTCAACCTTGCACTTAACTGTCATGTTTCTGTTGTGTCCTCTAATCTGTGATACTGTAGCATGACACCTGATGTTGTAATGTATTTCTGGTGTTGTTACCCTTAATTGCTACCTAGGGTGGTGTCTGCTAGGATTTTCTACTGTACAATTCCTATGTTTTCCTTAATAACTAAATATTTGATGGAGATGCTTTGAGACTATGCAAATGTCCTGTTTCTGTAAGCAGAAATCATTTTTGTATCCATTAGCATATCTTGCTGTGTCAGTTACTACTGTGATGTTCTAATGGTGATTTTCTATTTCTTTCATTTCTTGTACAGTTATTAATTGGAATTCTCTAAGAAAAGGCTATTGCTTCTGGATTTATATTTTCAATTATAGTAAGATATTTAAGATCAGTACACTTTCAGAGCTTAAAGAAGTAAACCATGTTAAAATGATTCCAAATGCCAGTATAAAAGGAAAACTTAAGTTGGTAATCTGTTTCAGAAAATAATGGATTTTAAGAAGAAAAATAGTATTTATGATTTGTGGATTTGGTGAGTTTTTTTTTCTTAAAAAGCTTTATTATTTACTTATGCATACAAGAACTGGGGTACAGGCCAGAGGTGCAGGGGGTGAGAGGATTCACAAGAGACAGAGTGGGGAACAGAACAGGCAGACTGACTGAAATACATTGCTGAGGGGAGCGGCAGGCAAGTCAGGCGAGGTCTGCTGTGCCATGTGGGTTGCTCCCTGGCCTGGGGATCTTACTCGTGCTGCAAAGGCTGTGGATAGCTTCATAATGCTGTGCTTAACCCCTTGCACCACCAGGGAGGCCCTGGATTTGGTTTTTGCTTTAACATTGACACCAGACTGAGTAATTACAGCGTTTTCTTGAAATTTCAAATAAAAACTTTTAAAAAGTATACCTTAATTTATATGACTTTGGGGGTAATATTTGTAAAAATCTAGAATAAAATTGTCCAGACTTGGCATGTTATATATAATTATCTTTATAATTAGCCACTATTGTTCCAAATATAAATGTCACTATAAATATTTAGACACATAGCCCTAATGAAGTATCTGGAGGATGGGTTATATTTGTGTTAATATTAAATCAAAAACCTTGTGTCTACTCTTAAATAATTTCAAATATAGGGTTTTGAAAAAAGCTGTTTAGTTGGGTAATATAATGCCATTAAAGCTAGGCCAATTAAAAAATAGATGAGGAATATAGATAAAAATGGCATTAAAATGGTATGGGGGAGATGGATATTTGATAACTGGAGGGTTTATGTTCTAAAATAACAAGTTTATTAGGAAAAAAGATTCTTGTAGTCATAAGAGGGCAGAAAGAGCTACCTCTGCTGCTTTGCAAAGAGAAAAGGTGAAACACCTGCATAGTCACAGGTGGGCAGGAGAGCTACCGAAAACTGGAGTTTTTCATCTTTTTTTAAAAATTGTGAATTTAGGGCCTCCCTGGTTGCGCAGTGTGTTGAACACAGGGCTGTGAAGCTGTCCACAGCCTCTGCAGCACGGGTTCGATTCCCAGCCAGCCAGGGAGATACCCACATGGCGTGGCAGACCTCTCCTGTCTCCCCCACTGCTCCCCTCAGCAGTGTTTTCGGTCCCTCTGCCTGTTCTGGTCCCCGCTCTGTCTCTGGTGAGTTCTCTCACCCTCCCGCGCCTTTGTACGCCAGTTCTTGTATAAATAAATAAATCTTTAAAATGTGAATTTAAAGACTCAGATCAGGGCCTCCCCGGTGGCGCAGCGGTTGAGCGCTGGGTTGCGAAGCTGCCCGCAGCCTCTGCAGCGCCGGTTCGATCCCCGCTGCTCCCCAGCCACCGGAGGAGGGTCCCACACAGCGCGCAGGCCTCTCCTGCCGCCCGCTGCTCCCCTCAGCAGTGTACTTCGGTCCTTCTGCCTGCTCTGCATCCCGCTCTGGTGAATTCTCTCACCCTCCCGCGCTTCTGACTGTACCCAGTGCTTATATAAATTAATTAATTAATTAATTAATTGAAAAATTAAAAAAAAAAATAAAAAAAAAGATAAAGACTCAGATCATCCTATGGAAGTTTTGAGTTTAAAGAGTCAATTCTCTGAGAAGCATTCATTCTTCTATTGCCAGTTTTCCTTGTATAAGAGCAACTTTGCATTGAGTGGAAAAAATTTATCTCCACATTTTTAACAGAATTGCATTGCCTCTTGACTTGTCAGTTTTAGGTTATTTCTACTCATATTGTATTATAGAGGATGAGGATTTTGGTTTATCTGCTAATACACACATCTCAGTTCCTTATCCACCTAACTACTTAATCTAGTCAGACAGCATTTCTGTTATACGTGATTATGACTGTAAATGCTGGCCAGCTATCATGCAGTTAATGGTGATTACTTTGCCTTTCCTGAACAAATTTTCATGGAATTAATTGTTTATGAACTCAAACCTTCCATGATTTGTCTAAATTTTCTCAAGATATTCAGACATAAATTTTACCAATTTCAAATTCCTGAAGAAGAAGACTATCTTAGAATCTTCTGATTGGAGAACTGATATGATCTTGGTGCATACTCTATCATTGTGGGGTCTTTATCCTGGGGATTCTTTTCACATTTCTTGTTGGTTTCTTGTTTTTTGTAGCCTGTGTCTTTTTCTTTTGTTTATTCCTTCCTTTTGGTAGTAGAACATGTTTTCCAGTAGCTCACTAGGAAAGGGTGCATGGGAAATAATTTTTTTCTACATCTTATGTATTTAAATGTGTTTTCTTGATCATTGACATAAAACCTGATTTTTCTCTTTGCAAATTGTAGGATATTTTTGTCCCTTCTGCTCTAAAATTTACTGGCTGTGACTGGTTAAACTATTAAAAATGTTTTTGAACATTTTGCTGGGCACATTTCATTCTGGAAACTCATACCCTTAACTCCTATGAAATTATCTTGATTCTTGTATTCTAGTCTTGATTCCTATTCCAGTCTGTTAACTCTTTTTAACTCTTTCCAGAATTCTTGTTATTTCTATTATTGACCTTCTAAATGGAATCTTTACTTTTCCCTCATTTTCATATTTTGCCTTTAGTTTGCCTGTACTTTGTGGGAGATTGACTTTTTTTTATTTTCCAACTCTTCTTTGAATCTTACATTTGTCCTATCATAATTTTAAATATTCTTTGTTTCTTCTGGGATTCTGCTCTTGTTTATGGATGTAGCACTTTATATCTCTGAGAATTTTAATGATGATTTCTTGTATAATAACAGATTTCTCTAACATTGCTTTTTCTTTCTTTCTTGATCTCTTAGTCTATTCTTGGATATGCTTTCTTACTGTTGTGTTATATACTAGAGTCTCATTGTTTTTAGAAAATGCTTTCTGGCTATTTTTTTCCACAATCTTTCTTGGAATGGAATAGCTATTTTAACTCTGAAATTTGGAAGGGTAAATTTTCTGGATAGCTTTCTTCCTCATCTGAAAGCCAGGAGTGTTTTGTACTTTTTATAATTTATCTCACTGTGACAGTCTCACAAATGTACAAAATGAAGCAGAGGAGGTGCCAGCTGCTGAAAGTAAGGATTTAGTGGCTTCACATTTTCTCTCAGCCAACCCTTAAATGTCTTTTTTTTTTTTTTGAAGATTTATTGATTTATGCATGCAAGAGCCGGGTGCAGGCCAAAGATGCAGGGGTGGGGGATGTGAGAGGATTCACCAGAGACAGAGTGGGGAGTAGAATAGGCAGATGTACTGAAATACACTGCTGAGGGGAGCAGAGGGCGAGACAGGAGAGGTCCGCTGTGCCATGTGGGTCACCTCCCTGGCTGGGGATCAAACTCATGCTGCAGTTGCTGTGGATTGCTTCATAGTGCTGTGTGTCTTAACCCTTGCACAACCAGGGAGGTCCCTAAATGTCTATTTTGCAATATGTTTCATTTTGGAGGGCTAATACCAAGAGTAATATTGCCAAATAAAGTATAGGACTCCCAGTTAAATTTGATTTTCAGATAAACAATAGGTCATTTTTTATTACAAGTGCTTCAAATATTGCATAGGACATACAGGTACTAAAGATGATTGTTTTTCTGAAACACAAATTTAACTGGGAGGACTAAAGTTCTTTAAGTTTTGAGGTAATTGTAATTCATATTTAATTTTAAGAAACAGTGCAGAGTTTTTGCTTATTGCAATGTCACAATGAGGATACTGACATTGAACCAATTGAGATACAGGAAAATTCCATTACCACAGTTATCCCTTCTTTTGAACTTTCATTTCCACATTTACTTCTTTCCTACCATACTAGCCTGCAATCACTAATCTGTTCTACATTTCTGAATTTTGTCCTTATAAGAATGTTATATAAGTAGAATTATACAGTATGCAACCTTTAGAGATTTTTTTTTTTCACACTTAGCATAATTCTCAAGATTCAGCAGAGTTGTTTCCTGTATCAATAGATTTGTTTTCCTTTTTGCTGAGTAGTAGTCTATGGTATGGATGTACAACAATTTAACTATTCACCTGTTGAAAGACGTCTGGTTTCCAGTTTTTGGCTATTATGATGAATAAAGCTGCTATGTACATTCATGTATAGGTTTTTGTGTGGACATAGTTTTCATTTCTTTGGGATCAATCCCAGAAGTGCAGTTATGGGTCATTTATGGTAATTGCATGTTTAATTTTTTAGGAACCCCCCCAAACCTTTTTAGAGTAACTATACCATTTTACATTCCTCCTAGCAATGTGTGAGTTTCTTGGCATCCTATCAGTATTTGGTATTGTCATTATATTTTAACCATTCTGACAGCTGTGTAGTGATATGTGGTGGTTTAATTTATATTTCCATAGTAGTTAATGGTGTTGAACACCTTTAATATGCTTATTTGCTGTCTGTATATTTTCTTCTGTTAAATGTCTGTGCATGTTTTCTAACTGGACTTATTTTTAATAAACTTATTTTAGATTAGTTTGGATTTACAAAAAAATTGTGATAATATTATAGTTTCCTTATACTCCATGCCCTTTTATTAACACTTTTAATTAGTGTTACACATTTGTTACAGTTAAGGGATCAAAATTGATACATCCTTATCAACTAAAGTCCATAAGCTACTCAGATTTTTTTTTGTTTTTACCTAAATTTTCCTCTTGCAGGATCCCATTCATAATGCAATTAGTCATTTCTCCTTAGGATCCTCTTAGTTGTGACATTTTCTCAGACTTCCTTGTTTTTGATAAGCTTGATAGTTTTGAGGAGTACTGGGCAGATACTTTTAGAATGCCCGTCAATTGGTATTCTTCTGATGTTTTACTCATAATTACATGGGTCTCTACATTTTTGGGAGGAAGACCACAGTGGTAAGTGCTTTTCTCATATATTATTATACATCATGTATTCAGTGTGTATGCTATCAGTATAACTTAGTACTATTGATGTTAAACTTCATCACCTGGCTGAGGTGATGTTTGTCAGGTTTCTTCCAATATAAAGTTACTTATTCATACTGTAAGGAAATCACTATACACAGCGTCACACTTAGAAGTGGGGAGTTACCTTCTCCTAGCTCTGTGAGGGTATTCAGTTACACATATGTGAATTTCCCTACAAGTGTCTAGTCTCCATTTATTTAATCACTTATCAATATAGACTCAGATATTTATTTTATACTTTGTGTTATGCTCTAATAATACCTTACTTATTTTGTTGCTCAAATTTGCCTGCTTTGGCAATTGGGAGTGCTTTCTTTTGGCTCTGTGTCCTTTTTACATAGCTGTATCATTGTGTGTATATGAGGCCTTTGGGAAAAAAAGACAAAGCCCTTTCTGACACTACATTATTCTTTATGCCCATTTTGTATATTTCCTGTTCTGGAAGCAGTTATATTTCTTTAAGTCCTGGTTCCTCTTACTGAAGAATGGTATTGAATGGGATAGCCATTGTCTCTTTCTACTGTTGAGTTTTGAGAATTTGTTTTCTAGGTCTTAGTCCTTTGTTAGCTATGTGGTTGCAAATATTTCAGTCTGTGCTTACCTTTTCATCCTCTTTGCAGAGTTTCACAGAGCAATTTTTATTGAAATCCTACTTACCAATTTTAAATTTTATTGAAATCCTACTTATCAGTTTTTCCTCTTAAGTATCAGACTTTTCGTGTCAAATCTCTCAAAATTCCTTGATTACCCCTCAGTTTCTGAAGATTTCCTCCTGTTTTTTGTTTTTAAAGATTGCTTTATTCATGCATACAAGAACAGGGTACAGGCCAGATGCGTGGGATGGGAGAGGATTCACCAGAGACAGAGTGGGGAACAAAACAGGCAAACTAACTGAAATACACTGCGGGCAGGACAGGACAGGTCTGCTGCGCCATGTGGGATTCTTGCTGGCCAGCCGGGATCGAATCTGTGCTGCAGAGGCTGTGGACAGCTTCACAGCCCTGCGCTCAACCGCCTGCGCCACCAGGGGAGGCCCCTCCAGTTTTTTTTCCCCCAAAGTTTTAAAATTTAATTTGCATTTACTACATTTACATTTGTTCAATCTGACAACTGTAGCTGAAAAGAAACTTCTAGGGTTTACAGAAACCTCCAAGGATTAGAGGAAAGCCACCTTGCTGCTCAGCTAAACTTATCAGGTTGTCAGCTCTCAAAACAAATAGCCCTCATTGAAATAAGACAGAAATCGTAAGTATAAATCACTTTCCTCACAATGAAAACAAATAGGTTTATTCAAGTTGGGTGCAGGAACTATTATTCAGAGTCATAAAGTACATTTTGTAAATGGTTTATGGACTTAAAAAATCACCAACTTTGACTGGAAGAGAACATCACACTGCCTGTCTCTCAGGTTCCATCTAGTCCTACCATCATTATTTTATAAACAAAGTCAGCAAATGGTACAGCTGAAATTATAGTTCAGGTTTTCTGTTTTTTAATTTAAGCAATTTGCCTCAGCAGCAGCCTGTGTAGTCTTTTTTTTTTTTTTAAATAAAGTTTTGTGTTTTTTTTTAAAGATTTATTTATACAAGCACTGGGTACAGTCAGAAGCGAGGGAGGGTGAGATAATTCACCAGAGCCAGAGCAGGGAGCAGATCAGGCAGAAGGACCGAAGTACACTGCTGAGGGGAGCAGCGTGTGGCAGGAGAGTTCTGCGCACCATGCGGGACCCTCCTCCGGTGGCCGGGGAGCAGCCAGGGATTGAACTGGCGCTGCAGAGGCTGCGGGCAGCTTCACAACCCAGCGCTCAACCGCTGCGCCACCGGGGAGGCCCAGCCTGTGTAGTCTTGATTAAGATGTAGATTCATGTATCCTTCTGAGTGTTAGAGCTGAAAAATCTACATTTTGAAGAATCTACTCAGCATACTCTTCAATTCATTAGAGTTTATCAAACTAGAAAATTTCTAGGACCTAGAAAACAAATGTGGACTGTCACAGTCCAAAGCCCTAGTCACAGCCCAGGCATCGGAGGCAACTGGAGTTTTCCTCAACTCTGTATACTTAGATGCTATGAAGGATGGAAGACATCTGCGTTCAGAAACTATGTATCCTCCTGTCACCTAATACCTTCATTAGCACTCAACACATACTTTTTAAAAAAAATCTATTTATGCATACAAGAACTGGGGCACAGGCCAGAGGTGGGGGGGTGGGGGCTTGGTGGTGAGAGGATTCACCAGAGACAGAGTGGGGAACAGGAGGGCAGTCTGAATATACACTGCTGAGGGGAGCAGCGGGGGAGGCAGGAGAGGTCTTCTGCACCATTTGAGTAGCTCCTTGGCCTGCCCCGGATGGAACTCACCCTGCAATGGCTGCAGACAGCTTCATAGGTTGCCTCTAACCCCTTGCGCCACCAGGGAGTCCCCACACATACCTTGAATACTGAAATTTGGTTTATTCTGGAAAGGGGAATTCAAAATTGACGCCTGTCAATTTTGGATATTAAATCAAATTGTTTCATGACCCTTAGACACTTGGTGTTGCTGTTTTTTGCAATGTATTGGCCATTACATTATCTTTTATAGTATAGCATGGAGTCAGCAAATTTAATCTACCCTAAATTTTTGGAACTGCAGTTTTACTTGAATACAACTGATAGGAGGCTAAAAGTAGAAAATTTAGGGTGGAGGTGTCACAAGACCAGAAATTGGAGGTGGGTGTAGATATGATTAACATAGTTATTCAACTGGGTATAGAAATGAAAATCCTTAGGTGCAGACTGCTATAGAAAAAGACTTATAGAAAGGATCTGGAGACACAGAGCAGAGGTGAAGATAGGGAATTTGAGGGTCATTATAGAGAATCAGCTACCTAGCACATAGTAAGAGCTCAGTGAATGTTAGCTAGCTGCTACCATTAACTAGTCTATTAGGTAATTCTCTGACAGGGTCTTAGGTAACGAGACACACTCCTGGCCTTCATCTCTAGAGAACAGAAGCAATTTGGGTATTACAAATTTGATATGGTATAAGTAAACTTGTGAATATTTGTGTTTGGCTTTAACCTGTAAGAGAATGTGTTAAGACAAATCCCTTTCCCCCGCCCCCCCCCTTTTTTTTTTTTTGGCTTCCGAATAAATAATTAAAATTGAAATACAATTCCCTGAATCCTTGCCCTATAATAGTTATAAAATAGGAAGTATTTTATTGAGTACCCAAAGGAATTGACATCTTCCAGAAGACGAAATACTCAGGAGAGCAGGTTAAGGATACTAATCAGCTTCATAACTAGGAAATTCGTTTAAATGTTAACCTCCATTATCTTACTGTAACTGCCCCCTCCCGTCCCGCCGCCCAAAAACCAAAACAAAACAAAACAAAAACCAACCCAAACCAAAAAACCTCGTTTCTAACCAATTTGGGTCTCCTAAAATTCGGTCAATACGTTTTCGGCAGCCTCTAACTCCAAACTAACGGGGCGGGACCAGAGAAACTTTTTTCCTTGCAAATGCAAATACTCTCCCCAGCACCCCGGAGGCCGGGCAGACCTAACGGCCGCAAACGCCCGGCCGTTCCGCTCCTCGGGGCGTGGCCTCCCCGCGTCTCCCGGGTTCCCGCGCCAGCCCGGGCTCTGGGTCGGGGTAAGCCGGAGCGCCACTCGGGTCGGAGAGCTCGTGTCCCCCCTAGGAGGGGAGGCTGGACGTCAGTGAAAAGCCTTCCTTTCACTGAATTTCAGAATGCGCTCTTACACCCGCACCGTCTTACGCCCCTGCTTCGCCTTTTTAAAGACCTATGACCAGAGAGACTGCGCGACCGGCTCAGCGCGGCGCGCTCGCCGCACGCACCACCCGCACCCGGCGCCGCGGCCCCTGCCCGCGAGGAGGAGCCACATCTCGCGCGACTCCCTCCACCTCTCGCGACACTTCCGCCGGTTTCCCCCGGGGCCCTGCTCGCTGCACCCGTCGCTTCACGCCCGGCGCCCAGTCGCCTCCCCTTCGCCCTGCGCCGCCCGGCCCGCTACTCGCCCGCTGGGAGCGCGCTGGAGCCCGGCGTCGGGCCCGGGCCCCGCGGAGCCACAGGCGCCGCCCCGCCCCGCCCCGCCCCGCCCGGGCTGGAGGAAAAGGCCGCCGCTGGGTCATGTCGTGCTCCCCTCAGCGAGGGCCGGGGAGCGTGAGAGGCGGCGGGCCTGCCAGGTGAGCTCGGACGCGGGGCGGGGCGGGGCGGGGCGGGGCGGGGGGGGGCACCGCGGCGCGGCGATGCCGGCGGGGAGGACGCGGTGTCGAGGCAGGGAAGGGGAGGGTGGGAGCTGTTGGCCGGGCTGGCACCGGGGGGATGAGGGCGAGCGCGGTCCTGGGGAAGGAGCCCGGGCCCCTTGTGTTGAGCCCCCAAAGGAATTGAGGTCCCTGCGCCTCGAGACGCCGGCGAGTCACCTTGTTGCCCCGGGGAGCGCCGCTCTTCTGTGAGGGCTGAGGAGGAGGAGACAGGACCGTAGGAGGAGGAGACAGGACCGTAGTTTCTGGTCTCTTATCTGGACTGCAGGAGGCCCAGGGGGTCGTGGGGTGAAGGGACGCGCCAGGCTGACCCAGGTAGATTTGTGCCAGAAAAAGTGGAACGCGGCCGAGAGCCCGAGCGCGCGCTGCGGAGGCCAGGTGTTTCCACTCGGCTGTAGGGGCGGGGGTACCGGGGCTGCTGCTCACTCTCCTCAGAGGAGCGTGAGCGTTGTCAGTGGCAGCGGTGTGGGTCGCTGCCGGGGGGTCTGAGTGTAGAGGGGGTAGAAACGCAGAGGTCTAGTCGCCTCTGGGGAAAGAGGCATTTGAGGTCACCTGTTACCTCGCACCTGAGCTGGAGCGTCGCGGCGCGCGTGCGCGCGGTGGCCCCGAGCGAGGGCTCGCGTTCTCGGAATCGGTACTGTGGCCCCTTCCTAAGCTCACTCCAGCATCAGTCCGAGGGACTGGGTCTTAAGTCGCGAGTCTTTTCAGTATTTTAAGATGCCAATCGTCATGTTCATGTGGAATGATAGAGGCCTGGAGCCTAAACCCAGGTGTTATTAAACATGGCAAACTGACTTTGCTGAAGTAAATTTTTTACATTGAAGGTAGACTTAGATTGGGATATTTTGTTATAATCAAGTTTTTGACCATGTGAATCTTGTGATTCTGGGTTTTTTTTTTTTTTTAAACAAACTGGTGAAAACCATACAGTTTTCTGAGAGAATTGGGAGATTGGCCTCACTATAAGAAGTATTTTGTTTAAAGAGCTTCCCTCCACGTCCAGCTGTTCATGTTATTTTTAAAGTATGTAGCCCCCATAGACTTTTTTGTTTGTTTTTGCAGAAATGACTCCTTAAAATGGCCAGTTTTGGATGTGTTTGTGTCAGCAGTTACATTTCTTCTTCTTTTTTTTAAGTTATAAATAGACCTTTAATGACTGGGGTGTGATTTAGGACTTAAAGGCAGAATGGTCTAGGTCGAGGGCAGAAGTGCAGTTACATTCTTAATTGAAGGAAAATAATTTTTTCTTAAAGTTTTCTTTTATCTTTTAGAGAGCGAAATGTCATCAGTGGAATCACACCAGGAGCAGTTGTCCCAGTCCGATCCATCCCCATCACCAAATTCATGTAGTTCCTTTGAGCTAGTAGACATGGATGCTGGCAGTTTGTACGAACCAGTTTCTCCTCATTGGTTTTATTGTAAGATAATTGATTCTAAGGAGACATGGATTCCTTTCAACTCTGAAGATTCACAGCAGCTGGAAGAGGCATATGGCTCTGGTAGGGTGAAAATGATTACTTGTAATAGACAAAGGCTTACTGTTATCTCTCTCAAACTGTCATTGTTTTTATAGTGAGTGCTATTAAAAAATTGCTAGGTTTTTCCCCCCTAGTTATCACCTAGGGTTTTTATATAGAAAAACTCTGCATTACTACCCAACAAATATTTAATACTCAAGAAAAAAGTACCCATTGTAATTTCTGTGTAGTTATTTGGTATTATGTTCTAGCTTGTTTCATTGGAGAGAGAGAAAGAAAGAAAATGAGAGAATGAGAATGTGTGTGTGTGTGTGGGTTGGTGTCACATTGCAAATGAATGCATTTTTTAACTTGTCACTCATTTTTTTTCTTTTATGAAATAAGAATGATGCTAGTTACTGTATCATCATGATAATCATCATTAATTTACTTACTGACTTTTCTTATATACTTTTTGTTTTTGTTTTTAAGGTATACTGTTTCACTCCTCAGAAAAAGAACAAAATAATGTTTGGGTATTTTTGTTTTGTTAAAACCATGAATGATTTTGATAGTTCATAAAGTTGTCAGTGTTAAAAGATATATTTATTAAATTTCATCTTGCTAAATGTTTATTCAAGTAGAAACTTCATGTGTTTCATAACATTATTTATAATATAATTCAGAATTATATTTTGGGAGGTGTATTTTGATAAATGCACTTTTTCCCTTTTCTAATCCTTGATAGGGAAAGATTGTAATGGGAAAATTGTCCCCACTGATGGAGGCAGATATGATGTTCATTTGGGGGAGAGGATGCGGTATGCTGTATATTGGGATGAGCTAGCTTCAGAAGTGAGACGATGTACCTGGTTTTACAAAGGAGACAAAGATAATAAATATGTTCCCTATTCAGAGAACTTCAGCCAAGTATTAGAGGTATTCCTCTGACTGCTTTCTACTCATCATTTTTTCCTTTCTGTTATTTAATAATCTTTTCTTCTTCTTGTGACTTTGTGAAATTTCTAGATAGAGTTTAAGTCTGTCTGCATCAGTTTATAGCATTTCTTTTTCAAGTTAGTTTCAGAATAAAATAGTTTTACTTTCAAATTTTAAAATAAGGGAACTTATGACCTTATATTAACATATCCTCCCCCACTAGTGTTAATACTTAAACTATAACCAAAGGATTGGCTATTCGCTTTTTAGTTTTTGCTCTGAAAACAATCTGAAATTTCTTCAAGCTGAAGTAAGACATTAATCACTGCTGAAAGGAATATTTCAAAAATATGATTGTTACTACTTTACATGATGGAATTAGGAGTGATTTTTTTTCTTATCCTTATTACTGTTATTTTAAAATAACTTAAAAGTAAATTCATAAATCCAGAGAAAGAATTGTCTGATAATATATCTAATTTTATGGAAAATATACATGCATTATTCTTATTGAAAAAAAATCAAAATATGAACGGCATTTTCTTTAAATGATAGAAGTAGTGATTTTTGTTCTTGTGCTATACTTTTTTTTGTAATTTTAAAGTAATTTAAAAATAAATTTGATAAACTAGAGTAGGATATCTTACTGTAATTGTTTAGCAGTATTCTTGTAAGTTCAGTTTTAAGATGTATTAATAAATGTAATGAAATATGTTTACTTTTAAGGAAACTTACATGCTTGCTGTAACTCTGGATGAATGGAAAAAGAAACTGGAGTCTCCCAACAGAGAAATTATTATATTACACAATCCAAAGGTAGAGGAAATTAAAGCCTATCTCTATGTGGAGTTAAAGGTTAATTGCATTGCTAATGATAAATGATTTCTTTTTCCTAAGGATTCTACTTAGGATAACCTTTGGAAATTTTTGTGTTACCTTCACAACTATGCAACTTAAAACTTGTAGCCACTACTATTTACCTTGTTCAGCTTATACTAAAGTTTTGTTGGCTTTTTTTTTTTAAAGAAAATTATGCCACTATAGATTAAGAAAGTCACACATTATGTGGGAATATCATCCACGTGTAGGGGATCATTGAAAGTTGTTAACCCGATTTACTTTACTTTTGCTGAGGTATAATTGACAAAATTGCAAGATTTAAAGTGTACTATATTATCAGTAGTATAACATATTTCCAGGGGTTTTATTTCAAGCTTAGGAGATGCATATCAAAACTCCGGTTGAGATTTAACTATATATTATGTTTTCAAAGATATGTTCCCACTCTTCAGAATGTATAAATAGAGGGCCTTCCCTAGGTGGTGCAGGCAGTTGAGCACAGCTCTGTGTAGCTGTCCACAGCCTCTGCAGCGCTGGTTCAATCCCAGCCAGCCGGCAAGAATCCCACATGGCATGGCAGACCTCTCCAGTCTCGCCCAATGCTCCCCTCAGCAGTGTATTTCAGTCAGTCTACCTGTTCTGTTCCCCGCTCTGTCTCTGGTGAATACTCTCACCCTCCTGCACATCTGGCCTGTACCCCAGTTCTTGTATGCTTGAATAAATAAATCTTTTTTAAAAAAATGTATAAATAGAGATGACTTTAATATGGAATATCTTTTTTGTTGTCCTCTTTTGTATTTAAGCTTATGGTACATTACCAGCCAGTGGCAGGCGCTGATGATTGGGGTTCAACACCCACTGAACAGGGTCGACCAAGAACAGTGAAGAGAGGGGTTGAAAACATCTCTGTTGACATTCACTGTGGTAATGTTAATCTTTTTTTCTTATCTTCTTATATAGTTATTTACTTATGACTTAAATGGTTACCTTTTTTTGGTGGATTTGGATTCTATCAAGGTTTAAAAATCTTCAGCTACATAGATTTTTCTAAATTAAGATTAGGATCACATCATCTACTAAGAATCTTAATACCTTTTAGAGTTGCTAATTACATATGGTAGTAATCAGGAAGTCACTAAGTACAGATGAATTGATTTAGTCCTAATTTTAAGACATGTGATTCTCTCTGCTTGATTAGAAATTTATTTCTGGTAACTCCTTGAAGATTTTCAACTAAAGAAAACTAATTTTTCAGTAGGATCTTGATAGTTACTGGTTGCTGTCTAGCTTGGGTTATTTATCGTTGATTTTATTATACACTTAACTTGATTATAAGATTCCTTTTATTTTATAAAGGCGATGGCTTGTTTCTTGGAATTTATCTTAGACTTAATACAAATTAAAAAAATGAGTTTAATATAATGTGTTTCTACTACATACCAGACATTATTGGTATAATGATAAAAATGAATATTAGATAAAAATATTTTATCAATGTAAAGTTGTCTGAATTTGATAACACATTATGATTATGTAGAGAATAGTCTTAGGAAATACACATTAAAATATTAAAAGGTTAAAAAAAAATATATATATGGGCAATCTGATGATGCATACAGTCTGCTCCCAAGTGGTTCAGAAAAATAAATGTGTGTATATACATACAGATAGAGAAATAAACAGTAAAGCAAATATGGTAAATGTTAAAGTATTCAATCTGTATAAAAAGTACATCAGCGTTTATTCCTTCATATTTTCTGTAAGATTGCAGTTAAATATTCAACATAAAAATTAAAAATTTCAACATAAATTGCAAATAGTAAGATCACTATATTTTTACTAAGTAGTTAAGTAGAGAACAATTTTGTGTCCTTTAGTTAAAGCTCATATTTTCACTTGATCATCCTATAACCTGTTCATTGTAAATGTTTGATTTTAGAATACATGACTAGTAACATAGAGTAAGTTTTTCTTTTTAATTTCATTTATAGGGGAACCTTTACAAATAGATCACTTGGTTTTTGTAGTGCATGGGATTGGACCAGCTTGTGATCTCCGTTTTCGAAGCATTGTACAGTGTGGTAGGTTTGCAAAGTACCTGTGATTAAATCATTTACAGGGACTATTAGTGCTTCTGTGAGCTGAGATAAAGCATTGTCTTTGTTGTCTTAACTGCATAAGATTGGGAGAACTAAAGACAGGTGGTGGGGTACTAAAGCTTCTGAGCTTAGACCTAAAGTAAATTCCTTAGGTTAGTAGTGTAAAACTCTAAACTAATAATTCTTCAGTGGATAAGCCTTTCATTCTTTAATTTTTTAAAATTTTTTTATTTTTTACATCATTGTTCATTTTTAAGCAATATTTGCTTCTCTCCACCCCCTAAGGTGTAGTCCCCATAGAATTTCCTTCACCAGTGCACCCGTGCACTATCACCTCAGTCTCCTGTGCTTCTCCCTCCCTCCCTCCGATCCCTCTCCCTTCTCCTCCCTTGCAGTATGTCTCTGATTTATAATTGTCTGTTTTTGCTTTGTTGTGTTTTGTATTGTTACTGTTTTTTTACACCGATGTCGTATTGGGTCCCCCTATATTCCTGCTATAAGTAAAATCATCTGATATTTTTCTTTTTCCTTCTGACTTGCTTCACTGAGAGCCTTTCATTCTTATAAAATTGTTTTATGATATGATGGCCCTGTTTCTGACCATTCCAAATCTAAATGGACCTTTAAAGATGATATAATTTAAATGAATAACAAAACTTTTCATCACTTTTGTAATGTATGCTGTGATAAATGTTTTGATATTTTAATTGGCATATTAAGTCATTAATATAACTTGATTTTGAAAGATAGCATCTTTTGAAACGTGATAGTAGCCAAAGTCTGATTGTCCCAAATTGGGAGTCTTACCCTACTAAAAGGTATAAGCCCTCTAGAGGATTGAGACTGATGTAATATAAACTTCAATCAGCAGTGTATTTTTTTTTAAATCTGAAATGTTGGTTAGTGGTTATAAGAAGCAGAAAGGTAGGGTAAAAGTCTGATTGCAATGTCTAATAACATAATTACGAGGTTTTTTTTCAAATTGAAATGAAAAATTCTAACACAGAATTTTTGAAGTTTTCTTTTGATGAAATCTTTTCAATGGTGAAAGCAAGTTCTATGTTAAAGGAATGTCTTTTCCTATATGCACTGATAATTTTTCCTGAATACCACTTAGCTATTTTTGATTCAAGTCTATATGGTTTCAAAGAAAATCTAGAGTATAAATACGTGATCTGTTGCATTCTGATTGTGACTTCATGGTTGATGCATAAGTTAATTTTCTTTTTCAGTTAATGATTTTCGCAGTGTTTCCTTGAACCTGCTGCAGACACATTTTAAGAAAGCTCAAGAAAATCAGCAGATTGGAAGGGTAGAATTTCTTCCAGTCAACTGGCATAGTCCTTTACATTCTACTGGTGTAGATGTGTGAGTAATGTCTTATATCTTTGAGTTGTTAATTGTGATTGTAATGTTTGCTGATCTTTGAAATGCTTAGGGACATTTCTGTTATAGTGGATTGTAGATTTAAAATTTTTTTTAACATTAGGCTTTTTTACTTCTTTATCTCATAGATATACATTATTAAATGCTGACCTCTCCCTTGACTTAATTAGCCAGGATTAGGAATAAAGAGCTGTATGTTCTTATATATTTTACTCGCACATTAGTATTTAAAGTAACATCTTCACTTTGTCTTTAACACTATAGATAAACGTTAAAAACATAAAGGGTAAACATTGATTTTTTTTCCTAGAATGTGTAAACATTTATATCCTCAGATGTCAAAAGCCAATTTGGACCTTAAGATGTACAAAGTATTTAGTTCCTTTTGTATTTACTTCATATTTAGATATTATTTGTCCAAGTTTGGGGATAAAAAGAAATTCAGAGGGTCTTCCCTGGTGGCGCAGTGGTTGAGTGCTGGGCTGCGAAGCTGCCGGCAGCCTCTGCAGCGCCATTCAATCCCCGGCCGCAGGGAGGGTCTCACATGGTGCAACAGACCTCTTCTGCCTCACCTGCTGCTCCCCTCAGCAGTGTATTTCATTAGTCTGCCTGTTCTGTTCCCTGCTCTGGCTCTGGTGAATTCTCTCACCCTCCTGTGCTTCTGACTGTACCCAGTGCTTGTATAAATAAATCTTAAAAAAAAAAATTTTTTTTTAAAAAAGTGCTTGACTTAAAAAAAAAAAAAAAAGAAATTCTGAAACATTAAATTGTTAGCATGAGTAACTTGAGGTTAATGGTACAGTGACTTCTAAGTTATTACTTTTAAGTTATAAAATCCAGTAGTTTTGTTTGTAAATTTTATGTAATGTCCTCTAGAGAAGTTTGCCTTGTATTAAGGATTTTCAGCTATTGGCTCTTCAGAAAGGATGTTCGTAACATAGTTGTAGGATAAAACTAGAAGATGCTTCTCTGGAAGAGAGGAAATAGCATTATTTCCAGGCTGGTCTTAGAAATGCCTTTCCTGATTCTGCATCTCTCCATTCTTTTTTTTTTTTTTTTTTTTTTTTTTTTTTTTTTAAAGATTTATTTATTTATTTTATGTAAGCACTGGGTATAGTCAGAAGCGCAGGAGGGTGAGAGAATTCACCAGAGCCAGAGCAGGGAGCAGAGCAGGCAGACTGACAAAGTACACACTGCTGAAGGGAGCAGTGGGCGTGGCAGGAGAGGTCTGCGCGCCATCTGGGACCCTCACCGTCAGCTGGGCATTGAACCAGTGCTTCAGAGGCTGCAGGGCAGCTTCGCAGCCCAGCCCTCAACCGCTGCGCCACCGGGGAGGCCCCATCTCTCCATTCTTAATACCCTATGATTTGAGCATATTCCATGTGTCAAATACTCCAAAAGATGTTGAATCTTTGAGGTAAAAGTTATGGGAATTTTGAAAAAGCTTTAACTGAATGCTACTTTAGACTACATCAGCAGAATTTTCCTGTGTGAGATATGAGTCTGTTTGTCTTTGACACCTTTTCAGCTTTTAGACATTCTGAGTTAAGAGGGAGTTGATTGGTTTATCATTTGACTTGTTATCAAAAACCTTATGTTGAGAATCCTAAGAAAATCCCCTTTGTATCTTGTCTTTTTTAAAAAATATTTCATTATATAGAATTTTACACATAAAAATATATATATAATGAATCTTAGTACTTACTGTGATTACCCAGCTGACATCAGCACATAGCCAGTTCTGCCCCAGCCATATCTTCAAACATATGTCTACTACCCATCTTTCTACCATATTATTTTTGAATAAAAAAATAGTATGTCTAAAACATACTAAGTCTTAGACATCATATCATCTGTAAATGTTTCAGTTTGTATATCTTAAGGGACTTAAAATTACATAAACATACACCATTATCACACCTAAAAAAATTAATGTCAGCAACTATATAGTATAGTCAGTATTCAAATTCCCAATTGTTTGATAAATGTCATGATATATATGTATATATAAACATACGCACTGGGATTTTAAACATACACTGGAATTTTAAACAGATCCAAATAAGGGCTATGTATTACAAGGTCTCTTAATCTCTTGATTACCTTTCTAATTTTGTTTTTTTGGCAATTTATATATTGAGAAAATTGGGTTGTTTGCCTTGTAGAGTTTCCTGCACTCTGAATTTTGCTGATTAATATCCCTTCGGCATTATTAAACATATCTCTCTGTCCTCAATTTCCTGTAACTTGATAATTCTTTCTTGTATTTATAAATGTCTAAATCTAAGCTTGAAGGCTAAGGTGGATAATTACTTATTGGAATTATGAAATGTATTTAGAGTTTCTGCTTAAAATAGCTTTCCTTTTTTCAGAGATCTGCAGCGAATAACCCTGCCCAGCATTAACCGCCTAAGGCACTTCACCAATGACACAATTCTGGATGTCTTCTTCTACAATAGCCCCACCTACTGTCAGACTATTGTGGACACAGTTGCTTCTGAAATGAACAGAATATATACACTTTTTCTGCAGAGGAACCCTGATTTCAAAGGGGGTGTATCCATTGCTGGTCATAGTTTAGGTAACAAATGAATTCTCTGTGACCTGGGAGGACACATTTTAAGGACATTTATTAAAGCACAGTGCCTTCTCTCAGTATTAGTTTTAGAAGTCTAGAACTGATCTCTGATAAAGAATTTGTGAAGGGTTGGAAGGGTGGTGGTAGATTGGAAAGGACTCTCTGCCTCATAGAAGTTACTCCATGGGTAATTGACATTATTTGTATATAAGTAGCTATTTAGCGCTAATGCTTAGAAATTGTCCCTTTCTTCTATTTTACTTATAGGTTCGCTTATATTGTTTGATATCCTAACAAATCAGAAAGATTCTTTGTGGGATATTGACAATGAAAAGGTAATTTAGATGTTCAGATAGGTTTTCTTGTAGTATTTATTAGTAAGGATTTTTGGATTTCAGATGTACATTTTGTTTTCAGCTTAGTTTACTTATAACATTAATTGCATTTATTTTCCTTTCATTACATTTCATTGTAATTATTTGTTATTCTTGAATGATAGAAGCAAGATAGTAATGTGCTTCTACAAATATTTGCCACATTCTAAAATAACTGTAGGTATGTTATTTTCTATTACAGACTTGCACTTTGTCTATACACATTACTAGAATTCTATTAGAATTATAGAACCATGAAGTTGAAATGGAGTTTGCATATAAGATGAAGAATAAATCAGATGCAAATTGATAAAATTTTTAGAAATTCTGTTTGAAAGGAATGAGAGGACTTGGTATTTTAGCATGTTTCAGTAAAACAAAGTCCTGTGAACATTTGTCTATAGTACTGATTTAGTATTTAGTATATACTACCTTGTATTTTTTTCTGTTTTTTTGTAAGTGTCCTATTTCTTGTGTTGCATTGTGATTTCTTCCAGCACAGGGTTTTGTCTTAGGTTCTTTCTCTTAAACAGTTTGCTTAATACAGTCAGTAAATGTTTTGTTAATGATGATGAAAAATTATCATACTCTGAATCATCCATTCATTTATTTAAAAACATTAACTTTCAACTGAAGTTGCAAAAACTTGAGATCAACCACCTTCATTTTGTGTAAATTATAATTTAAAATTAAGATATATCTGTGGAAATCATATAGTAATTTATTGCAAAATAGTATTAATAAGGGAACATTTAAGCGAAATGAGGGGCTATGATCTTTACAATTTGATTTTTAAGGATTCAACAAATATTGTTATGGATCAAGGAGACATATCTACACTAGAAGAAGATCTGAAGAAACTTCAACTCTCTGAATTCTTTAGTATCTTTGAGAAGGAGAAAGTAGATAAGGAAGCACTGGTAAAAGTAATCTTTTAAAACTACTTCATTTTCAGTATCTTTATTATCTTCATCATACTGCTTACTAAACACCTGCACTTTGGAAGCATTTTAGCCATACTTTGTTATCATTAGTAATGTTGTTTAGCATTATTTATGTGTCTTTTTTTAAATCATACCAAGTGACCTTTGCTTTGTGGGAATGCAAAGTTCAGAGGAGCCATATTTATATATGTACAATGATAGAACAAATACAGTGCAACACCACAGCTGAGAAAACATGAGCAAGAGTAAATTACTGCCAACTAATCCAGCTTTTATTTTTAAAAGCACAGCTGTTGATATTTGTTTTTGCCACTTTTTCTTTTTAAAGTATGATTTATTTATGCATACAAGAGCTAGGGTATAGGCCAGAAGCGTGGGGGTGGGTGTGTGTGAGAGGATTCACCAGAGACCGAGTGGGGAACAGAACAGGCAGATTGACCGAAGTATACTGCTGAGGGGAGCAGCGGGTGAGCCAGGAGAGCTCTGCTGCGCCATGTGGGTAGCTCCCTGTCTGGCTGGGGATCGAACTTGTGCTGTGGAGGCTGCAGACAGCAGACAGCTTCATTGGTTGTGTCCTAACCCTTTGTGCCACCAGGGAGGCCTGGTTTTGCTACTTTTGTTGTGCTATTTTTCAGGTTTGTGATTCTTTCATTTCACAGATAGATAACATAGTTGATGCACCCTGAAGATAGACTGGTGAATTAGACAAATATGGTCCCTAACTTCATGGTGTTTATATGTTAGTGAAAAAGACACATAAATAATCAAACACATAATTATAATTGTGGTAAGTTCTAAGTAAGAGTACAAGTAGTACAGGAATGTAACACTAACCTAGCTAGTCTGGGAGGGTTAAGGGATGTTTCCCTAATCAGATGCCTAATACTAAACTGAGATCTTATTAGTCTGTTTAGTACTGTGTTTGCTATACGTTCTTATTGCTTGCATCCATAAGTAGGGATAAAATATTTCTCAAGATTGTGACATGAGTATGGAAATCAAAGAGTTTTTTGTTGTGAAATTAGATATCCACTACTATAGTTTTTCCCCCAGTAATATTATCAATATCCCATTAACATTGACACTGTAGTGCTGATACTTTTTTTTTCTTTTTTTAGGCTTTTTTTAATGAATAAAATACCCTATCCTTCTTAAAGTTATTAATTTTATATATATATAAAAAAAACTAGAGCCCTAGTATATAAAGAATAACAGATGCATGGGTCTTATTCCTCTCAGAAAAAAAGACACTTAATTGATTTTATTTGCCTAGAAATAAGAAAGGTGTGATTGGTTTTCTATACTTAGGTTTTATGTTCAGACAAAGATCTTCAGGAAATGGGAATTCCCTTAGGACCAAGAAAGAAGATATTAAACTACTTTAGGACCAGAAAAAATTCAATGGTATGTATTAATATAGCTTATAGGAGTAAACAATTTTTGGTATCCTTGTATTCTAATGTTCTGTGAGATGCTTAATCTGTGGAGCTAAACAGCATTTTAAATTGGCCTGTGGCTCTTTTTTTAGAAATGAAAAATTTTCTCTATCAGTATCCTTAAAAATGTTTATTAGCATCAAAAATCTACTCTGGACTCAAACCTTTCTATTGTTTTGTTTTATAACTGCTTATTGAACTATAATTCACATACTATAAAATTTGCCCTTTTGAATTATACAATTCAGTGGGTTTTAGTATATTGAGAATTATGTAACCATTGCCACTATAACTCCTGAGCACTTCCATCACCCCCCCAAAAGAAGCCCCATACCTATTAGCAGTCACTTCCCATTCCTCATGAGGTTTTTTTATTCTGGACATTTCATACAAATAGAATCATACAGTATGTACCCTTTTGTGACTGGCTTCCATTTAGCATGCTCAAGGCTTATCCATATTATAATAGTTTTTATTTTATTTTTTATTTTTATTTATTTTTTTGTGGGACGCTCGCCAGCGGCCGGGGGACGAACCGGCGCTGCAGAGGCTGCGGGCAGCCTTGCAGCCCAGTGCGCAACTGCTGTGCCACCAGGGGAGGCCCAATAGTTTTTATTTTTTAAAGATTTTATTTTTGTGTAGAACTGGGGTGCAGGCCAGAGGTGCAGCGGGTGTGGGGGGGCATTTAGAGGATTCACCAGAGACAGAGTTGGGAGCAAACAGGCAGATCTAATGCAGTACACTACTGAGGGGAGGAACTGGCAAAGCAGGAGAGGTCTGCTGTGGCATGTGTGTTAGCTCCCTGGCTGGTGGAACTCAGGCCTTCAGGTTGGTACACTGAGAATTAATCCCTAGGCCACCAGGGAGGCCCCCTGTAATAATTCTTCTGCATTCAGTTATTTTGGCCAGTGACTTACTTTCCATGTTAGTAGTTATTTTTCAACTTTTTATTGGCAGGGTGCTTAGTTATGAAGGTCCAGTTCTTGGCCTAGTATTTGCATAATATTCTGTACCCAGATACTACTTGCTTTTATTAGAAAGGCATCGCACTTTATTGAACTCCTCAGCACCCCTCAGTATTCCTTCCCATGGTGCTCTGCTAGTTTCTCTCTCGATAATCTGCTGCCCAAATGACTGTGACCAGCTTTATCATTTTAGACTATATAGGGATGTCAGTTCATAATTCAAAGCAATTTTTGTTTTCATCAGTGATTCTTCCTAGATTTACTCATTTCAGAAATTTTCCAAGCATCCTTTGAAACCAGTAGAAAACGATATAATCCTTTAGGTATTTTTACTGCATAGTAGCTCTACAGAATTATTTTTTATTCTTCAGGGTGTTAATAGACCAACCCTACAGTCAGCTTTAGGAGCAAATGGGTCTAACATCCCCAAAGAATTGGAATTCAGCAGTGGTGCTGGTGATACTGGAAACGATGAGTATTTGGACGTTGGCATTGGGCAGGTAACAATGCTAATTTTCTTTGGTCATTTTATTGCTTACATTGGTATGGTAGGAACAGAGGTAACTTTTCTTATTAATTTCCCCTTTCCAAGGTGTCAGTAAAATACCCCCGGCTCATCTATAAACCAGAAATATTCTTTGCTTTTGGATCTCCCATTGGAATGTTCCTTACCGTCCGAGGACTAAAAAGAATAGATCCCAATTACAAATTTCCAACATGCAAAGGTTTCTTCAATATTTATCATCCAGTAAGCATTGGACAGCTCTTGTGGTTCTACCTGAATATTAGGGCTTATTGGTAAAGAGCATATGCTTTTCTGTTGTGTTTGGTTGCTTTTCTGGTACTATTCTGTAGTAATGAGACAACTTACAACAGTATTGATACAGAAAACTGTATGTTTTTATTTGACCATTTAATTGTTCTTGCCCAATATATAGTTCCTCAGATTATTTGACTTTCTTCAGCAGAGTTAAGTGTAGTTACTGTATTTCCTATACAGTTTGATCCTGTGGCCTATAGGATTGAGCCAATGATTGTCCCAAAAGTGGAATTTGAGCCAATGCTGATCCCACATCATAAAGGCAGGAAGCGGATGCACTTAGGTAAGTCTTAGTACAGAACCTGATAATTCTAGATCTTCTGGTTTGTGCAAACTTACTGGACCACATTTCCTTTGTTATGCTTGGTTGGACTCTGAACTATATAAACCATTCAGTGTTCTTTATTAATATATTTTTCAGAACTGAGAGAGGGATTGACTAGAATGAGTATGGACCTTAAGAACAACTTGCTAGGTTCACTACGAATGGCCTGGAAATCTTTCACCAGACCGCAAAACCCTGCATTACAAGCTTCAGAAACTACAGAAGAAACTGAAGTAGAATCTGAATCAAGTTCAGAGAAGCCTAGTGGTCAGTGACACTATACACATTGATTTCCTGCATCAGGTCAGATAAGAGGGACTCCACCAAAGTTGTATAGTAATTTTTCTACCAGGGACTTTTTCCCCCTTTCTATTGTATAGGACCAATACTATTGTTCTCAGTGGACCTTCAATTCAGCTGATCTTTTCTGTCATCTATAACTATAAATTACGGAAAAACATTTTTGTGAGGAAAATGTCCTGGGAAACTGAACATCTGGTAATAAGGCTTTAAAACATTCACCACTTGAAATGGGGTGATGTTTAGAACATACTCTGTGAAGCACTTTGCTTTTTTTTTTTTTTTAAAATAGAGGCATGTTTTTATTTATTTGTTTGTTTGTTTTGTTTATACATGCACTGGGTACAGTCAGAAGCGCGGGAGGGTGAGAGAATTCACCAGAGCCAGAGCGGGGAGCAGAGCAGGCAGAGGGACCGAAGCACACTGCTGAGGGGAGCAGCGGGTGGCAGGAGAGGTCTGCGCGCCATGTGGGACCCTCCTCCGGTGGCCAGGGAGCAGCCGGGGATCGAACCAGAGCTGCAGAGGCCGCGGGCAGCTGCTGCGCAACCCAGCGCTCTACCGCTGCGCCACCGGGGAGGCCCTGAAGCACTTTGCTTTTACAGGGGAATATTCTCGAGTCAGTTTTATTTTCCTAGCTGGGAACGAGTTAGGATACTCTTTTCCTAACATTGATCAGTTAATGTTTCATTCTTTCGCATAAGCTTTCAGCCACCTAAAGAGTTTTATCCCACCTTACATTTAGTTTATAAACTGAAGGCAAATGAATTAGCTGTCAATGTACTGAAAGCACAGGATTGTACAAAATCAGTGTGACCTGAGAAACTTTAAAGGGCTTGAGGAAGATGAGCAAGCATTTTCCAAATGGAAAGTAACTTATTGTGTGGTAAACTTGGGAGTATGAGAGGTAGTAACAGGGCTACTTTGGAGGACAGGAAGCTTTCAGATTCTTACTGTGGCTCCTCCATATCCAGATGTTAACACAGAAGAGGCCTCTGTGGCAGTTAAAGAAGAAGACCCACCCATTAATGTGGGAATGCTGAACGGAGGCCAACGTATTGACTATGTGCTACAGGAGAAGCCCATTGAAAGCTTTAATGAGTATTTATTTGCTCTACAAAGCCATCTGTGCTATTGGTAAGTGTTAATTTGTTTTTGCTTCTGGTGTTATTCGGTCTAGTAGTTTCAGTTATTTGATAGATGTAGAAAAATGATAGGCTGGTGTACTTTGGGGATTAAAATGTTTTCTTATTTAGATGATTTCAAAATAGCACAATTATGTCGTTTAAAGAAATTTGGTTTAAATACTACTTTATTTTCGTAGTTGGTTAGAACCTAGAGCTGATGATGCTAGCAGCTGTGAGTTCAGTTAATCTTAAAAGTGTGTCCTTTGTCCATTGGTGGGATAGGCTGAGTAATGAATAAGCTGGAACAAATACATTACTATTGCTGAAAGCATTTTTAAAAATTCACTTGAAAGTATTTACAGGGACCTCCCCGGTGGCGCAGTGGTTGAGTGCTGGGTTGCGAAGCTGCCCGCAGCCTCTGCAGCCTCGGTTCGATCCCCGGCTGCTCCCGGCCACCGGAGGAGGGTCCCACATGGCGCGCAGACCTTTCCTGCCGCCCGCTGCTCCCCTCAGCAGTGTACTTCGGTCCTTCTGCCTGCTCTGCTCCCCACTCTGGCTCTGGTGAATTCTCTCACCCTCCCACGCTTCTGAGTGTACCCAGTGCTTGTATAAATAAATAAATAATAATAAAAAAATCTTTTTTAAAAAAAATAAAGAAAGTATTTACAACAGCTAGATCAGAACATATTTTTGTTTTCATGGTTAAGTTTTTAATGTTTATATATTTTTTCCAGTTTTACTGAGATGTAATTGACACATAACATGTAAGTTTAAGGTGTACAATATGATTTGATACATGTATATATTGTGAAATTATTACTATACTAGGACAGGTTAATACCTCCATCACTTCACGTAAATGGTTTTTTTTTTGTGGTAAGAATATTTAAGATGGGCCTCCCAGGTGGCGCAGCGGTAGAGCGCTGGGTTACGAAGCTGCCCGCGGCCTCTGTGGCGCCGGTTCGATCCCCGGCTGCTCCCCGGCCACCCGAGGAGGGTCCCACATGGCGTGCAGACCTCTCCTGCCGCCCGCTGCTCCCCTCAGCAGTGTACTTCGGTCCTTCTGCCTGCTCTGCTCCCCACTCTGGCTCTGAATTCTTTCACCCTCCCGCGCTTCTGACTGTACCCAGTGCATGTATAAACAAAACAAACAAACAAACAAACAAATAAATAAAAACATGCCTCTATTAAAAAAAAAAAAAGAATATTTAAGATGTCTCAGCAATTGTCAATTGTATATACAGTATTACTAATTGTACCACCATTCTGAATAGTAGACCTCCCCACAACTTTTATCAGAATTAAGAATAATTACCTAGTGAGTTGTAGAATGGATTAAGGGTGCTTTCTGAAATTCATATGTTATAGAATAGAATTTAATCACTGAAGAAATTGAACTGAAGGAAAATGAAGCTAGGAAAGTAAGATAGGTAAGGGACAAGATAAGTTTTTTGAGAAATGCATGCATTAATATTTTGCAAGGAATTTTTTGTTAGATTTGATATGATTAATATCACCGCGAACAAGTAAGAGTAGGACATAAAATCAAAGTGCAACTTACTGAATTACTATATGAGGCCAAAATGATGCTAAGAATGACTTCTTTTAAGATTTTATTTATGTGTACAAGAACGGGGGTGTAGGCCAGAGGTGTGGGGGGTGAGAGGAATCACCAGAGACAGAGTGGGGAACAGAACAGGCAGATTTACTGAAATAGATCCTGTTATGAGTAAAGTTGAGCATCTTAACAAACATCTAAAGGAAATTTTTATTACTGTTTCAAATATTGAAATGTTAGTCTTTTTATTGATTAGACTACATTATGAGTTGAAAATAGCTTTCCCCATTTGTCTTTGCCTTCATTGGTTTTCGCTGAGTAGAAAATTTCTTTAATAGTCAAATTTGATTTTTTTCTTTTTTGGTTTACAGAATTTGTGTTATACTTATCTTCCTAACTCTTCTGGGGATTTCTTAGTTTATTTTGTCTTAGTTTATTTTGATGTTTTCATTTTTACATATTAATCTTTGATTAATTTCAAAATTTATTAAAAGGATGTGGCTTGATCGCTCATCTTTTTCTCTGTGCCTATCCAGTTGTCATAACTGTTAATAAATGTGCATTTCTAACTTTATTGTACTAAATACCTGTATATATTTAGGAGTATTTATGATTTTTATATTGATCACTTATTTATGCACCAGAATTAGAGCATTTTCAGTGTCTGGTGTAGCTAACCCTCCCTTGTTGGTAACAGGAGCTCCTTAATCTGAAATCTTTGTATGAACCTTGTGGGGGATAGAAAAGGTTTATGAATCCAGTGAAATCCTATTTATAATTTGGGGCATATATGATGTGATATTTTCTGGGAAGAAACTGATCGGTTTCATTAGGTTCTGAAATAGATCCGTAACTCAAAAATGTTTAATCACAGCTCTAGAGAAGTGTTTGAGTACTACATCCAGAGGTAATTCTTCACAAGTATTTTTTATAATCAAATTTCTTTAAGAACTGCATAAAGTAATTGCTTGTACACATATACCGCAGTATTTGGAAGAGACAGAAGAAATTAACAGTGGTTATCAGAAGATGGGAACTAGTGGTTAAGTAACAGGTTGAAGGGAGACTTCTTGAACCATTATAATTGTATTCTTTTTTTAAAAATGAGTAACATTTAAAAAATTGACCAACTGGATTGACCTTTCTTCATATTACCCCAAGAATAAACTTGGGAAAGTTGTTTTTTTGTCTTTTTTTTTTAACCATTAACTCCTGTTATGAGACATAATACTAGACTTTTTTTTTTTGTTGTTTTTTAATGCATACAAGAGCTGGGGGTGCAGGCCAGAGGTGGAGGGGGTGGTGAGACCATTGATCAGAGACAGAGTAGGGAGTAGGATAGGTGGATCCACTGAAACACACTGCTGAGGGGAGCAGCTGGCAAGACAGGAGAGGTCTGCTGCACCATGTGTGTTAGCTCCCTGGCCTGATAGAAATCCTCCAGGGGAACTCTTGCTGCAGTGGCTGCTGATAGCTTAATAGTGCTGAGAATTTAACCCTTGTGCCAGTAAGGAGGCCCCAGTGCTAGACTTTTGTTAGAAAGTTACCTTCCCGTTACTTGACCTCTCACTCTGATCTTTTTTTTTTTTTTGCTGTAGTAAAAAAATGCATGTGCAAGGTAGTTGTATAGATGAAGTGAGGTAATGATATATGTAAAGCTACTAGCAAAATGTTAGTTTCTTCTTTTCACAACGTAGTCTCTTTCTATAGGGAGTCTGAAGATACAGTATTGTTGGTCCTCAAAGAAATCTACCAAACCCAGGGGATCTTCCTTGATCAGCCTTTACAGTAAAAATGAACCATCAATGACTGCTTATTGTAAGTTTTTAAATGTCATATATGTAGTATAATTCTTACATATTAACATTATAGACACTGGAGTCTTACAGTCTTCATAAATATACTTTTCTGTGCTTGTTCAAGGTCTAAGTTATTTTTCATTTTTGAAGATTTATTTTTATTTATGCTTACAAGAACTGGGTTGTAGGACAGAGGTGCATGGGGTGAGAACAGGTGGAAATACTGAAATACACTGCCGAGGGGAGCAGTGGGCAAGACAGGTAGGTCTTCTGTGACACATGGGTTGGCTCCCTGACTGGGGATCAAATTCATGCTGCAGTGGCTGCCAACAGCTTGATAGTGCTGACACTTAACCCCCTGCACCACCAGGGAGGACCCCTACTTTTCATTTTTAAACACAGAACTGTGTTTAAAATTAATGGGGTGAGGGCCTCCCCGGTGGCGCAGCGGTTGAGCGCCGGGTTGCGAAGCTGCCCGCAGTCTCTGCAGCGCCGGTTCAATCCCCGGCTGCTCCCCAGTCACCAGAGGAGGGTCCCACATGGCGCGCAGACCTCTTCTGCCGCCCGCTGCTCCCCGCTGTGGCTCTGGTGAATTCCCTCACCCTCCCGCGCTTCTGACTGTGCCCAGTGCTTGTAGGAATAAATAAATCTTTAAAAATAAATAAAAAATAAAATTAATGGGGTAAAAGCATACCTACTTAGGAGTTAATGTTGCCAGTGACTTGATCCAATAATATTCATTTCAATTACTCAGCTTTTTAGGTGTGTAACTAGAAAGTTTGTCTATTTTGGCATTTTCCCTAGTGTCTTCCAGTTGTGACTACATGATGGCCTGTTCTCCACTCTCTCCCCTAGATGGACTTTGAGGGAGCCTTCCCCAGAAAACTCATCTGTTTGTTGCTGCAGTTTTCCTCAGCTGCATCATTTCCTGCATGTTGCCTGTCACTTAACCACCTTTGGGGTGCTTGGAAGATGATCTTTTGGAAGTGAGTGGAAAAGCAAAGGGAAGACCCTATTACTTTTTACCACTGACTTCATACAAACAAACAGTTTCCGTTCATTCTTAATAGCTGGGAGTGGTTTGCATCTTTAATTCTTTGATGATAGTAAATGAGTACCAAACTTTATTTTTTACTACTTGAGATAATATAAAGTCTGTTTTAAGTTTGATTTGGGTGGGTGATTTAAGTTTGATTTTTCTAGAAAATTATTGCTTACCTTAGAAAATGTTCTAGTTTGGAAGCAGGTGAGGTTCAGAAGACATTTTGGAACTTGCACTTCTCTTGTTGATGTTTCTCTGCATTTGAACGCAAAGGCTAACTGGACAGAGAAAGACTTGGACAAATTTTTTTGAGCCAGCTTTGCTTTCTTACAAGTACTGTATGAAGAAAGACTGAAATGTAGCATAAAGAGTATTGTTTAGTCTCTCTACAGGTGACTGACAGATTTATTGCTAGGAATCACTATCCTGATAATTGTTTTTATAGCTATTTGAGTCTAAAGTGGGCAATTAGCTTACATTAAATGCATTTTTATAAAGCAAAGATGCTGTGTGTGTGTGTATGTGTGTGTGTATATATATATACACATATATATATATACACATATATAACACACACACTCTCTCTCTCTCAGATCTGCCCTTTTATATCATACTTAAAATTGGGAATTGGGAGACTCTTCTGTTCTTGAAGGTGAGGTTATAAAAACTGACAAACCTGAAATTACACAGAACAGACTGCTTAGGTTATAAAGTTCATAGTGAAATAGTTTGCTTAAGCCATCTGTGACATCCATTTGGGTGAAGATGGTTTTGTGTTGTCGGCTTTAAAAGCATTTTGTAAATATCATTGCCATCTTAGGTGTCTATAATCCAGAATCCTTATTTAAAAGGCTCGTGGCACAGGCATTGTTCGGTGAACAGGTAGGTTTGGCTAGGGGAAAATGTTTCTTATTCTGAAAGAAAAACCTATGCCTATAAGGCCCGAGGAACAGCTGCTGCAGAGTCAGTCTCAAAACATGCAAAGTGACATAAATCTTGATGAAGGCAAGTGAATGTAGACTAATTTTTTTTAAAGGCATTTGTTCACCACTGTGCTTATATGTATTTTCTTTCTCATTGGTCGGAGTTCTCTTCGTGATTAGTCCTTTGCACTCCTCAGAGTTCCACAGGGCCTTGTTTATAGAGTGGCATAGGCAGGCAAGCTGTGTTTTGCTTTTTATGAATGTTTTTTGTAAATGCATCATGGTGTCCAGAGCACTGGCATTTAATATTCATTTAAGCCCTCTGTTAGATAGCACCGGTCTTTATCCCCTTCTGAAGAGAAAAGCAAAAGGAAGGTTTTTTTAATGTCACCCTAGAAATGGGAGAGGTAAGGCTACATTGGAGATCAAAGCTTGGCCTTCCTGTCCATTTGCTTTAAGTGGCTGATTAAGCCTCTAAGAAGTTTCAGACATATTCTGAGTTTGAAGTATGGCTTATTGAGAATTAAGTTGCATCTTCAATTTCAAATTTACTCTTCATATTAGCAGAATAGGTACCATACGAATGAGTAAACTACAGGACAAGCAAGAACAAGTTCCTAAAACCAAAGATGAACAACATAACCCTGGACAGCTAGATAAACCACATCTTTGTACTGAGAACTGTTTCTTTCCTGGTGGGGAGGGGCAGGTAACTTAAAGAACTTTATATCTTGCCTGTTTACTTGTGGTATTATCATGGGTGTATATTACAGCGGTAATAAGCTTGATTTAATTCCTTTGTTTGGTTGTACATTATTTGCACTAGTTCAGTTGTATCATGTGCAATCTCTTGACCAAGTCTATTTTTAAATTCTGGTGAAGCATCATTTTCTACATATCCCAGCTGCAGAATTGGTCTTGCTTATCTCAGCAAGAGATTGCATGGGAAGATTAATAGCACTGATTAGCTTTCTAACATTTTGCACTTTTTGAAATGTTTGTTTTTTACGTGATTATATTTTAAAACTTTAGTAAATACTGAAATAAAATCTTATTGAACAATTGCCTATTTTTACCTGATTTCAGCTATCATAAGGAAAATCAATACATTAACTGTTTTCTCTAACATTTACATTTCTTTTCCCTTGAATAAGGTTTTCATTATCACAGGCAAATGTAGTTTAGAATTTAAAGCATGGCAATTACAAGGTAAATACTGAGACTATCCTTTGGTTGTATAAGTGTTTTACTTACGTTCCAGTTCTCAAACAATACTGTAAATACAAAATAAAAAGCACATTTCTCATTTTACTTTTTTGGAATATCACATTTACTGAAGGAAAAAGATACAATGAAAATGTTATATATTAAAATGATGTCATATTTAAAGGATAATCCCAATAAAGAGAAAAAGTATGTCCCATAGTAGTTAGAAAAAAAGATCTCCTTGTCTTCCAGAAGTTAATGATAGTTGTGATTTTTTTTTTCTTGCCTCAGCCAGTTGGCAAAGGTGATGCATTTTGGCAGCTCTTCAATCATGGTGTGGAAGGAAAGCAGCTCATGAGCAGTTAGGACAAATGAGGTAGAAACAAGCATCATTTGTTAGCACAGAAATCACACTCCTGAGCATTTTTTAAAATTCTGTTTACAAGTCACTTATTTTCACAGTATTCAGAATGGACAGCAATATCTGCCTCAACTGGCATAAGATAGTCCTAATAGCTGTAAATTAGTCAGAATCAGACATTTCCCTATTTGAGGCTTAATGGAACTGTCACCAGAGAAAGTAAACCACCAAAATAATGTAATTGGCCATGGTCATGCTATAGATTTTGAGCTATGGGAAAAGGAGTAAGTTAATTCTAGCTCTAGGAGAAAGTGAGACTAAATAAAGGCTTCTTAGTGACGAGAGCCTTCCAACAGTACATAAATTAATTGTGAAACCACTGTATGCTGAGATACCAATCTGGAAGACTACTGCAAGATCCCTTGACCAGAAGGTATGGCTCATGGTTCCCTCACTTCTCATGATAAAATCATGTGGGGGCGGGGAGGTGGCAGAATGCAGTACTTATGCCTTCACCTGTACCTCTTAAGAGGTACCTTTGTAAAAGGTACCTTTAAAAAAGGTCCAGAAATTCCTGCTTGGGTATGGTCCAGTTAGCAGGGGACTGATTATTTTCCAGTGAGATAGCTTCAATTTCTAAATATTAAAATGATAAGGATCACCAGGCTGCTTCTGTGCAGTGGGAAGTGTAAGTCTGTCCTGCAGTGGCTTGTGGCATTCTGCGTCAGTCAGAGGAGGATAATACTGCCTGTAGCAGATGTAGGCAAATGTCAGGCCAATCATGGATCCAACTAGTACATCTGAGGAGAGAATAGATAGGGTCTTAATCATATTTGACTCTGAAATCTTGTTCGATACCACACAAAATAGAGAAGTCAGTCTTCCATGTTACTTATTTGGGCATCAAAAAACTTCAATTTTTAATAAAGGGTTATCATTATCAAGTTCTCTAAATATTAAAATCAAAATGCATCTTTAGTAAGCTTTTCCCAAGTATACTAGATTAGAATTTTTTAAATACAGGAGAGTAACAATGTTATTAACAATCCCTTTCCATCATTTACAGAATTCTAGAGGAAGGAATAAACTCTTTAAGAGTTGATTCCTTTTGGAAAAATTTAGTTTATTCTTTCAAACAGGACTCCTAAGGACCTCTGGGCAATACTGTCATCCTTTTTTGGGGGGAATTGTGGGTTTTCTGTGGATGTTTTATCATTTATGAATAAAAGTCTCATGACAACTTGATTTGTAAGACAATAGATTGAGCATTGGGGTTTGTTGTGAAAAATTTGAAACACTTCAAAATAGACCAGTCTCTCACATCCCATAATTTTACTTTCTACAATTTCAGTTACCTGAGGTCAAAAAAGGTATTTTGAGAATGATACCTCATTCACATAACTTATTGTAGTATAACATTAATTGGGTTTGTTATTTTTTTTAAAGATTTATTTATACAAGAACAGGGGTACAGGCCAGATGCACGGGAGGGTGAAAGGATTCACCAGAGACAGAGTGGGGAGCAGAACAGGCAGACTGACTAAATACACTGCTAAGGGGAGCAGCGGGCGAGACTGGAGAGGTCTGCCGCGCCATGTGGGACCCTCACTGGCCGGCTGGGATGGAACCGGCGCTGCAGAGGCTGCGAACAGCTTCACAGCAAGGAGCTCAACTGCCTGCGCCACCAGGGGAGGCCCTTGTTATTTCTTATTAAGCCTAATTTATAAATTTAGCTTCGTCACAGGAAAAAACAGCAGTATTATCAGTGGCTTCATGCATCCATTGGGGGTCTTGGAACCTATCCCGAGGACAAGCAGAGATTACTACAGTGGAAAAATTAGGGGGTTCCTCCTTGGCAGTCTCTTTAAAAGGTAACAGTGCTTTCTCATCTTCCAGATGGTCATAAAGTCATACTTTTAATAGAGAACCTAGAACATCTTCTACCTGTTTATTCATTTGACAGACACTAAGTGAGCCAGTGCTAGGGATAAGATGAGCAAAACATGGAAGCTTGCAGGATATGATTGGCTCACTTACCTTGCCAGTGATGCTTATAGTCACAGGTACGGGACAGTGCAATCACAACTGCAAAAAGTAGAGGTGACAAAAAGGCACAAAATCTCCAAGATTTCCCACGGCCTTGGGGTGTGAAGCAATGTAGCTTCCCTGCCAGGTAGAATGAAGCGAAGGCCAAACCAGCAAATGCAACTAGAAGGAGAAAACATGTAAGTATGTATTTTAAAGGACGCTCATCTCCAAATAGGCCGGGGGGGGGGGCATGAAAATGTTTTATCCCCATTTTTTTATATACTTCTGATACAGATTATTGATTGAGGGAGAAAGACACAGAAAAATGATTTTGTTTTGCATCCCAAAGTTGTTAGTATTTACCTGAGAGGAGATTTTGGAGTACTAGCTAAATGACTTTGGACAGGTTACTTAACTTCTCAATGACTTAGTTCCCTCATACATAAATGGGAATCAAAAATTATAGCACCCACCTCACTGTGATATTATAATATCAAATGAGGTAAAAATCTAAAATACATTCCTAAGCAGTTAATTGATATATACAGTAGCTATTCAATACAAGTTAATATTTTAACCTTTAGATTGTGGAATCAAGGCAAAGACTACAATAAAATGTTCAAATCCCATAAACTATCTCCTCTGTGCTTGAATTTTTTCCCTAATACTCCAGGCTCAAACTTTTGAAGCCTTGGAGTTATTAAAGAAGAGGGGGTTGTTCTTCAATTTCTAGATATAAGAACAAGAGCAGTGAAATGTCTGCATTCTCATAAGTATCCTATGTAAAATTCAGTGATCTGCAAAAAAGCAGAGAGTCCATGTGGTATTCATACAGGAAGAATGTCCACTAGGGAAGCTCTTGCGGCCCTCATTCACCACTGTTTTATCTCCAGTGCATGCCAAGTCGGAATGGGCTTGCCCATCGGGGAAGCAGCGGTAGAAGAAGTCTGGACGTGGCCTGGAAGAAAATAAACATTTACAACTCTAGAAATTATTTTTTGATTGTATCAGACATCAATTATTCTGTTAACTAGTAGTATCCCAGACAAAATAATAAAACTGGATGAGGATATTCACCACCAAGAAAAAAATCTTACTTTCAGAGTCAATATTTAGGAATTAAGAAGTCACACTTTATGACAAACACTTTTTAGGGTAAAGAGCAAATCCGACTGCAGCGTTAGGAGGTGCTCTGCGAGACACGGAACTCTGAGTGGCTGTCAGTGGGAAAGAGCCCATGTGGCCAGGAGGCAGTATTCAATGAAAAAAGAACAATTAAACTGAAAATAAAGGAGAAAACGATGTGTGTGAATGCCATTAATCATATCTCCTGAGGAGGAAAGGGCTGAGGCAGATCGGGTGGCTAACTCTTCTCGCTTACCTCCCTACTATCAATTTTATCGTGTTGGTAAAGACACCGTTCAGAGCCAAGGCAAGGCTGGCAGCTAGAAAGCAAAGAAACATACTATTAGTGATTTCTGCTGTGAGAAGTGCATGGTCTTCCTGAGACATGGCAACAGTCAGTCAGTCTTCAGCCAGAGCTGAGTATAAAAATAATTATACTCCTCAATGACCACTGTTCTAACACAGGGAGAATAAATACACGCAGCATGCAATAGGCTGGAGACCTTTCTGGGATACAAAATAACCCAGCACTTTGTTTTAATCTACCACATAACTTGACATTTCCTCTTTCATATCACTTACTTTATATCCTTTTTCTTTTAAACATTTATTTATTTATACAAGAACTGGGGTACAGTCAGAAGTACGGGAGGTTGAGAGAATTCACCAGAGAGAGCAGGGAACAGAATAGGCAGGTGGACTAAAGACACTGCTGAGGGGAGCAGCGGGCAAGGCAGGAGAGGTCTGCCCCACTATGTGGGTTTCTCCCTGGCAGGCTGGGAACCAAACCCATGCTATAGAGGCTGCGGACAGCTCCATAGCACGGCATTCAACCCACTGTGCCACGGGGGGAGGCCCAACCCAGCACTTTTTAAAAGATTTATTTTTATTTATGCATACAAGAACTGGGGTGCAGGCCAGAGGTGTGGAAGGTGAGAGGATCCACCAGAGGGACAGGAGGGAGCAGAACAGGGGGATCTACTGAAACACACTGCTGAGGGGAGCAGTGGGCGAGACAGGAGAGGTCTGCTGCACCATGTGGGTTAGCTCCCTGGGTGGGGATTGAACTTGTGCTGCTGCTAGCTTGATAGTGCTGAGACTTAACCCTCTGCCACCAGGGAGGCCCAACAGCACTGAGACTGTAAAGCCTGCAGCACCACAGAGGCCCAAATAACCCAGCACATTTAGGCATGCCTATCAGGTTAACTGACCAACTTCTCACAGTGATGATTTTCTTGTGGGGTACAGGGTAGATAGATTATTTTAGGAATGCAAAGCTCAGTGGCCTCTACACACTGAGCTATCCTATCTCATTCCAGCACTGAGAAAACCAACCATAAAGGGTTAACTCACCAAGGCAGGCTTGTGTGCTGTCTGTTGTGTCTGCCTTCTTGAGACATTTGACCAGGAAGATAATAGACAGTGGAGAGAGAAAAGCAATCAACTGAAAAAGAATATGTCAAAGGTTAAACAAACAAAACCACAAACCACCACATACTAGTTGTTAAAGTAGTTCCTGCAGGGAAGAGCGATAGAACGGACAGCAGAACTGTGTGAGACCCAGCTTCCCCTGTAAATATAAGGAGTGATCCTGACTTCAGAGTCTCTGGGTTAAGCCGGCTCCAGGAGGTCCCATCAGCAGCAAACACCCATTATTCTAGGTCACCTTAGACCATCCTCAGAACATGTTTCTTGAGGCTAAACAGACTGACATCTTGCTCTCCAAACTTGTTTCTTAAACTTTTGGAAGTAAAGTCTTTAGCACGTCAACAGAAGGATAAGTTCCCTACAGTGACACTTTGGGGCCAGAATGATCCCTTCCTGTTTCCTGGCATTAATCAGTCGGCAAGTATTAAGAGTCAGAAGGAAGGGCTAGTTCTCCACGCACAAACATCGACTCGGCGGGGAAATACTCTCTTTCCACATACGGATTCCGGTAAAGCCACATCTCCTCCGGTTGAATAAGCCTCTGGAAGGGAGAGAGACGCTCTGTTACCCTAAAGGGGAAACAAAAGAAAGTGCAAAGCACGTTGGCTGGCTTTCTGGGCTCTCCTCTGGGCGTCACACCCGCTTCCCCCTCACCTCGGGCTGCAGGGGATGGGGCGGGGGAGGTGGTGCTGCTGCTAGGCCGAGGCCTCGGCCCTGCCCGCCTCCCGCGGGTCAGCAGCCCGCACGCCCCTCTGTGCGAGAGGCCCCGGGGTCCAATCCGCAAATCCGCAAATCGCTTACACAAAGGCCGTGAACAGTGCGATCCGCAGGCCCCATTCCGCACGGAGGGCCGCCTTCCCCATCCGGCCTCACCGCTCCTGGACAGACGCCGCGCTGACGTGGCAGCCGCTGGGTGGGGAGAACGGGCCGCCCCGGAGGCCGGATCTCTGCCGCTCCCGGCGCGCGCGCGCACCGCGGGAACTGCACGCAGGGAAGGCGCGAGCCACTTCCTCAGCCCTGGGCGGCAGGTCGGCAATCCAGGAAGCAGGCGAGGCAGCTCTGTTCTGAGAACCCGGCCTGGCAAAATAATGAAAAGCAAGCAGTGCCGTTCTCTGGCACTGGTCCAGCAGTGAGCCGGCTCGCCGAGTTCAGCCAAGCTCAAGTCAACTTCAGTCTGTTAAACCAAGCGATGACTAGCTCCTCAACGCGCTCTTGGCCCACCAGTCAGTACCTCAGTATTCTCGTCTCATGCCAAATCAGGGAGCAACATTCTCCAGGGATCTTTCCTGTACCTACCCCTCCCCCACCAGTCCCCAGCCCCTATTTTCAGAACCAAGTTGCTTAGGAGCAGAGCAACACTTTGAAGGAAGATATACTTAGCTCTCATACAGGACTTTGTCTTGCTTGTCACAGATAATTGGGTCATCAGCTACCTGCGAGGTCCCCTCCCTCCCACGATGGCTTCTGGCTCAGCGAGTTGTTGCAAGAAATTACAGGCAATGAACAAGTCCACGGGTTTAATTTGGAACATACAGGGCAATTTATTGAAGTCAATCTCAAGCAAAATCTGAAATCAGTGGAATGTCATTAAAAACCTTTCCAAATTAATCCTCACGGAAGCAAAAACACATTTTGATTCCAAAGTATTTGTAAAATAAAAAAAGGCGACATCTCAGTAAATATAATGTACAAAAATTATATGTTCCTACCAGCACACACAGAAGTAAGAAGCTTAAATATTACAGGCAATCCTAAATACACTATAACTAGTCAACAATAAGCTATCTATATACAGGTTAACCAAGCTTTACACGTTTCACACTATGCAATAAAACATAGGCCAACCAACAAAATCCCCAAAATATCATATATCTTGAAGTCTATGTGGCAACATCAAGTCATTATACAGTAATGCCCTAGTGGAACACCCCCAGGGAAATTTAACACTAAAACCTTAGTGTCAAGAGCTTCTAGCCAAGTCACAGAAACTCAAAAGAGATTGACTTTAGTGAATATTGATACTTTGTTATTAAAGACTCAAGTCTCAAGTGATTTAGGCAAAATAACATTTCACAGGATCTACAAAGTTTATTACAGATAAACAAAGTACAGAAATAACCAATCTACAAAGGTCATTATCATAAAGATCACAAGGAAATGAAAACAGAATCTGTAGGTATCTATGTTGTGCAATATCACAAGTGGATACAAATTAATTTTTCATATCAATTCCAATAATGCACACACCCTTGTATATAAAAAGAATTTTATTATTAGCCAGTTGTAATCATCATGTAGCATCTTGGTTATCAGTGGCAATATGATTTTCTTTTTTAACACAGGGTATGTAACACAGGGTAAATGAGATAAAGAGCAATATTAATGACAACAAAGTAAAAGGAAATTTTATCCAGTCCACTTCTAAACTGACAAGAATACCTTATAAATACCTTATCTAGGTAATCACGTGGACGCTGAGAGCGGGCCCGCGTGTCAGAAGTCCGCGGCAGGCAGGGAAGGCAGTACTGGAGCCTGAGGCTGCTCGCTTGCCAATTTGAAGACGCAGTAATGTCACGGAAGAAAACTAAGGACTGAATAAATTACTTTGGCAACTATTCATCCTTCCTTTCTCTCACATAATAATAATGGCTACAGGCTACTGAAGTACAGGTAATTCTTTTGCTCCCCCCTCTTTATAAGTATGTCCACAAGCACCTGCACTTGTCACTGAAGCAATGGACTGACGACAGGGGAATGGGTGTGGTGGCTTGAAACACACAGGTTACACCCAGCATTTCAGGAGTGTAACATAAGTGCAATTTTTTGTTTTGCTTTTTTTTTTTCCCTACCCAGGCATATATTAAAAGGAAAGAAGAGGTGCTTGGCAACAGGGTTGAAAAATGACAAAATAATGTATATAAGAAATATTCATAAAAATGCTGCTGGTATTTCATGCAGGAGTCTCTTCCTCAAATGTGTACATTAAATCTGAGCTATCTACTGTGAACATTCTCCCGCTTGCAGAATGTCACCTTTAATCCAAGTTAAAGAGGATAAGAGACTAGGCTACTAATTCACAAAAGAGTATACAAAACAATGCTTTCTACTTCAGAAATTGAAAAATAACTGTAAAATAAGGAGAATCTGAAGAGTTTCAAGTACTTAAAAAAACCTGAATTCAATGAGGCAGAGGTCTCAAATGTTAAAGTGACTACTTCGTACCTGTGGTAAACATCATCATTCCCCTCCCATTCCCTCGTATAACCCCCTTTTCTCCCTGTACCCCACTCTAGATAAAAGTTGGTAGATATCAGTATATACAAATTTCCAACTTTTCAATATTCTTAAATTCATGGCAAAGCTGTCTCATGAGAGCTATTCCCTAGTCATCTGAAAATGCAAGTGAGTTCTACTCTTTGTTTACAAATAACCAGAGGCCAATTCCAGGTGGCCAAGGTCACAGGAAATCATTCCAAATAATCCTTTCATGTCTGCAGCAACTTGGACAACTTGGGGTGGCTGATGTATCTGCCTCGTGAGAAGTAACTCGAGTCTGATGTGCACTGCCCAGCAATAAAGCAAGTTCCCAATGTCACTGAACCTCGTGTAGAAGTATATTAAGCTTCCCCAGCTGTAAGGACTCTATGGTGACTTGTTTTCTTATCCTGTTGGGACATGGCATGTGGCAGCACCTTGACTTTAAGGTAAATGCTTTGTATTTAAAAATGGAATGAAAGACAAGCAACAAATTCTGGGAAGTTCAGAGGTTATTCTGTATAGCTAGCTGGGCTTTTTCCAAACTACAAGTTTGACCCCGATTGGAAAACAGGTATGGATCCAACGAGTACAGGTGCAACAGACCACTTCATGAACCAGGAAAGACAGCTGTCCAACAGCCTGCCAAGTCTGCAAGTCCTTTATATGATTATCTCAACTTTACAATGTTATTTACAGGCATATTTCCAAATATTATGTGGAAATGGCGGAAAGGAGCTAAGGGAATAGGTTTCCCTCCATTATATGTTTTTTTACATGTTCCTTGCTTGAATACCCAGAAATTGCCAAGTTTCAATGATTCTAAAAATCGGCCTATTCTATGGTTTTAGGCCAGATAATAATTTAAGTATTAAGATACAGTGGGGACGTGTTAAAACAAAAATGAAAATAAAACCCATCTCACTCCTAACTCTAGCCCTGATTAGATAATAAAGAAGTAAATCACTTCCTCCAACTTCTCAGCCCTCCAGGGATGAAGGGCCAGCCACCTACCCCTTGGGTAGCCAGCTCCAGGCAGCTCTGCGACTCCTCACACCCGCCAAGGTCCAGCCCCTCCCTCCCTGCACTGCACAGTCCCTGGAAGGTTTCCCAGCATTTCATCTTCAGTTGTTGTCCAAATTCTGAAGGTTTATGCTGATTATCAAAAATCTTACATTCACATTTTCTCTAAAGAGTTAATACGAGGTTTTAAAAAAAACCACCATTATTCTATGCTGCTTTAAGTTATTTCAATTTTTTGGACAAGAATAAAAACCAACAATTTATGCTCTGACCACATACAGATTTATAAAGGCAACAAATATCAACTTCAGACTATGAGTGAGCAGTGAGTCTTCTGGACTATCTCACTGATGGAGCACAGGCAAGCATGGCGCAGATATACTATGCACAAATAAAGCTTCCAAAACGTGCCATTTAAAGATATGTAAAAGAGATCAACAGTGATACTATGGAGGTGTGAAGAAAGTTCCTTGATTCTGGCATGACTAAATCCACTTTATAGATCATGGAAGAACATCATGGACAAAGATTCCAGAGCATGGTTAGCTATTTTGTTTTCTACCCTGATTTCTGAAATGGCAGAACAATCCTATTAGTCATCCGTCTTTACCTCCCAAAAAAGATCTTTAAAATCTCAGCAGAGCTCTGTTTACAGATAATACAAACAAAATGTGACACAATGAAGAAGCTGCATAAAAATACTTAAACCTAAGGTATTTGCAGTATATAGGATATATACCCTGGCTTACCATATAAAAGTCATCAGATATTAAATAGCACTAAGTCTAAAAACAAAGCAAGGAGTTAAGATTTCATGTTGGATACTGTTTCAACAAGAGTTGCAATTTCAAATATTAAAGGAAATCCTTCATGTTAGTAAGTTTAGAAAAACAAACATTTATCATATACATATATAAAATAAAGTTTTAGTATGATAAAACCTAGATTTTCTTAAATTATTTAAAAGGACATCAAACTATATAACTGCTCAAGAGCAAAGGTTAGTGTTTTGGTGATCTGTAATCCATGTTACTTGTAGCAACTATTCCTGGTAACATGGACAGCATTTTCTATTTTTGCTCTTCTGTTGGGACCACATCTAATCAATAGAATAACTGGAGACCCAATGAGTTACCTCAGTATTGCTGGACTCAGGCAAATGGCAGTTTAGGAGCTTAAATAAAGGAATTGTAGTGTTTTTTGTTTGTTTTTGTTTTTTAAAAGAGAAAATCCAGTATAATTGCACATTTACATACAAAAAAAGAGGCACAAAACAGCTTTTTTTCTTCTTTTTTCCAGAGAAGAGCTCTAAGTTGCTAAGAAAAAGGAACACAGGTAACACAACTGGAGGAATGTAGTGGAGCGTCTATCTTCCCTACCTTCATAAGGTTACTAGGTACTTTTTGAGGGAAAATAACTGCTATCAGGTACCAGCAATGGTAAGCAGTCAACATTCACAGAGAACGAGAACGTTCATTCAAGCTAACCCTACCTAGACTTCTACTTAATACAGTGTTACAGCAATGTCTGACATTACTAGTTACTTCATACAAGGAATACTGGAATATACATATTCCTAAGCATTAAAAGCAAGTGAGTTTTGTGAGCAGACATCTTAATACACTTGCATCTGTGAGATTCAAGCATCAGCCAACCACTTCTGCTAACACTGACTTTCTTGGGAGCTTTCCCTAAGTGCTTTCTAAGATGAAGTGTGCTGTGTGGCTCTTACATACCCTGTAGAAGTAGAAGTGTTCCCCTTCTCAATGGGGACGATTTTAAGTACTGGATAGTAATGAACAGAAATTGTTCACATGTAACTGGGGGATGCCCCTATCCCGTTTACTCCCCAAATTAAGAACACTAAACCAAAAAGATCTATTTGAATACAATTCAAATTAATTTCTGCAGTTTCACCAGGAAACATGATTGAATGGTCAGTTGACAAAGGGAATGTTTGATCAGGAAAGGGAAGCAGAACAGAAATTAAAATCCCATAATTCTCTCCAAGCTAGACCTAGCTCTACATAAAATGAGACGGGAAATGGTGCTTCTATGATTCAACTTTTGGTCTGTGCCTTTCATCTCTCTCTAGCTGCCTTTATCAATGTATCATGATAACAGGGATGTCCATTCTAACTATGCATTCATATCCACACAAATGCACTTCATCAAAATACCCATTGTCAATGGAAAACATTTCAATGAGTGCATTGTTTCTTTTTTCCCTCTAAAAAAAAAAATCAAAACCACATTTTATACCTTTCTAGATAAAGTTATCAAATTACAAAGCCCACCCAGTTTAAGACCAGACAGGTAAAATCCACGGAGTCATTTTCTTTTCAAGAGGCCAGATTCAACACTCCCATTAAGCCCTTCTAAAAGACTATGAAAAACATTCTGAAAGAGAAGTTAGCCTACTTACTGCTCAGTGAAGAGGTATATAATGATCATTATACCCTTTCCTAGAGGGCTTTCTCCAATTCCTACTTAAAACACACATATGCACACATACATTAATTACGGACTATCTGAACTACACTTCTCAAAACTTAAAAAAAATAAATAAAGGAATGATGGCAACTTTTGCTTTTTATACCCACAGAATACATCCTAGACTTTAAGTTTATCTCGTCATTTTCTTTTCACTTGTTCTTAATGAAAAGCAAAGACAACTCTTTCCAGCTGAAAAGGCATTGAAGCACAATAAAAGACCAAGGGTATTTAACCCTCCATAAAAGAATCCTCAAACCATGAAAACAAAACAGAAAAACCAGACACTACCAACAGCTTCTGCCTGCACATTCCAGTCCCCCCTCCCCCATTTTTGCTTTTAATAAGGCAGTACTGATGGCAAAGGTTGTATGCACTGCAGCAGTCTCTGTTTTACAAAGGCATTATCTATTTGCTTTTCTTTTCCTTTTTTCATTTAAATGAAAAAAAAAAAAAAAAAAAGGGAAATCACCACCCATTTATTCTTTTACTTCTTCTCCATGATCTTGTGATTCCAATTTACATTTGATCTTGCTCCAGTATTCTGGTGACACAGGAGCTACAGGGTCATGTTCAGAGCAGCAGAGCCGGCCTTCCAGTGCAGAGGGAACCAGTGCCCCCTTGTCATGATCTTTACAAAATGAATGTGGACAGAATTCACAGAAGGAAACAGCTGCACTGCTGCACTCACTGCACTGATGCCACGGGCATTCCCACTTTCCTAGTGAGGGGCGGGAAGAGGGAAAAGAGCCCAAGTTAGTGCCTGTCTCCACTGCCCCGAGAAACTTAAGTTCCCAGCATCTCGGATTGGAGACTGAGTTCAGTTGAATACAACTCCAAATTTCAGTCAAACAAAAATCTGGGTGTACCATTCGGTATGTGAGCTAGTGACCAAAGCCCAATACCATAGGCACCAACTACTCACCTAGGGTAATAATAAACAAAAAGAAAAAAAACAATCCTTGCGAACCAACAGGTATCTGAGATTTGCAGATTCTTCACCAGCATAATCTTTGTTTACTATTGTTATTTGTCCTATTTAATATATCCCACTCCACTGCTCCATTTAGGAAGTGGAACATATTCCAAGCTACACAAGGCTGGGAAGCCAGAGGAAAGGTCTGGAACTCTAGCTTACCGTATGGTGGCTGTGTCAGGTTAAGGCATAGGAGGTGGTATGCTTTGGGACAGTCTTTTTTGTCACACATGACCAGCTCTCCACCATCTCCACATTGAAAACAGAAATCTTCATGCATCTGCTTTGGTTCTGCTTTAATTTTTCGTCTCTTCTGCTTTAATTTAGCATTTTTTGTCTTTTCCTCAGTTGTTGACGCACATGCAGACTGGCAGGAGAAAAGGATCACAGCTTTAACCACCACAGTATATGTTTCCATAGAAAGAAAAATCCAACCACCTCACATTCATTTGAATTCATCTGTTGTTCAGTTACCTAAAACACCAGGAGGACTTATCCTATTAACAGTAATATAGCTAATATAGCAAAAATAAGGCTTCATTTCACTGACTTTTGAATGGGTGATTTTTTTTTTATATTGCAAGGACACTGAAATATAGTTCATATATTATAAAATCCACCCTTTACCAGTGGTTTTTAATATATTCTGAATTTCAAAGACATTTTTGTAAAGGATTTTGCTAACTTAAGTCAGAAATACAAATATATTTCCAGAACCTAATATCTCTTACTAAGATGTGTTTCAGGAAAGTCAGAGAGTCTAAACTTTGGGATAAACCACCGATGACAACCAAACTGAACTAGGTACCGATTTGCCAGCATTTTCCTGAGCTTGTTTACAAACTTCTTTGACTGACCTTCGGCCGTACTCCTAGAAAACCACTGCAGTTCTCTGCCCCACAGTGGCACTCTGTTCTGCCATTGCCCAGACAATCCAGGTTATAATTAAATGTTAACTCCATCCCTAAAATATAAGAGAAATAATTACTCATATTCCAGTTACAGGAAGGAGAAATGTGGTCACACACTCTTTCATAATGAAAAAAAAAGAGATATAATCTGACAAGAATACTTTCCCTCTGCTGTATTCTGCACTGAAGATAATGATGGACAAAAAAAGGGGGGGAGCCCCATCCAATCACCACAGCAAAAATAAATGTTTTACTAAAGAATTCACATTTTTCTTGTTGAAATGGCCAAAATCTAAATAACAGTGAATAAAAAACCTGAAACCTATGCTCAAGAAAAATGGATTCCAGTTTAGCCCTCTTTTCTAATGCTAATTTACGATAGTTCCTAAATGAACAACATGATCATGGAATTGTAATGACTGTACTATTTGCAATAATTAATGAGTGCTTATATTATGATCAGAGCAATTCGAAATAGAGGTTTACTATAGATACCAAAGACCCACAGGGTTCAAAGTAGGAGGCCCTAGCTTTCCTTTAATTGGGCTTCACAATCCACAATGAGTTCTAGAAAAAATTAAAATCTCTTAGCTACAACATTTCTCATGTATTTTCCTACAAACTTAAAGGAGAAAACTGAATTCTGTTGTTAAGATGCTGGATGGGTAAGGGGGAAAAAAGCACTAACTCTGGCTTTAGAGGCTTTTTATGTCTAATTTAAAACAGACTGACCTTTCAAACTAAAACAAAACAAGACAAAACCCCACAAATCAAGAAACCAGATGATGTTAACACAGGCTAATTACTTTTAATACTTTAAAAAAAGAAAACAAAAGTTTAAACAACTGATTACATTCATAGACAGGGATAATTTGGAGAATTAATTCAGTAGGATCATGGACACACAGAATTCTCTATTATTGCTCTCACATAAAGGCTCTTATTAAGCTCTCTTTTACAGAATATAGATTTTTATGTCTTATTGGCAGATAATTCTAAATATAACTTTATCTTATTTGAATAAATACTTTAGCATCAGACTTTAAAGAATATTGCACTGCATTCAAAGGATATACTTGGTTCCCAGGAACAGGGACATGGGAATAAGTCACTTTTTTACCTGCAGGAATATCACAAAGAGCAAAAAGTCCAACTCGAACATCCCCATTCACTGTCCACTTTTGTGTTTCACAGTTTGGATTACAACTGTGGTTCATAAAGCGAGAATAATTTCCTTTTGGGCCAGCATCAATTATACGATCCTTTAAAATAAAGGAAATGAAAGACACCTGTGACATAAAACTAAGTATAACTTTATTTTAGAAACATCCAATTCAGTCAAGAGCCTCAAGGCAGCAGCATTTTGCTATCAGCTGATGTTTGACAACCACAGCTCCAAAAATGTGGGACTCTCTATGCTCTCACAAAGTTCTCAACTTGAAACCTTCAAGTCAAAGCAACTAAGATAAAATGGAATTTAATTTGTTTTTACATTAGTTTCAAGAAACAAACCCCAGTGGCACAGCAGTTGAGCGCTAGGCTGCGAAGCTGCCTGCAGCTTCTAAAGCACCGGTTCGATCCCTGGCTGCCAGCGAGGGTCCCACATGGCGCACAGACCTCTCCTGCCGCGCCCACTGCTCCCCCCAGCAGTGTACTTAGGTCCTTCTGCCTGTCCTGCTCTCTGCTCTGGCTCTGGTGAATTCTCTCACCCTCCTGCACTTCTGACTGTACCTAGTGCTTGTATAAATAAATCTTTAAAAAAAAAAAAACAAACTTTGACTTAAAAAAAACAAACAAACAAACAGACCTTAGAATAAAACCATTTAGAAGATTATCTGGCCACAGGTTTAGGAATGATATTTTCAGATTAAAGAGCTACTTGTAATAGGAACTATGATGTTTTACGATCACCCCTCCTTTCTTGTTCTGAGCAAAAAGCAAAATAAGTATGGAGGTACATGGATGGAATTTAGGCCATTGAGAAGGAAAAATGAGAAACTTGTCTGAAAGTTGGAGATGTGGAGAAGTGACTGACAGAAGGACTATAGTTTGAGATATAATCCCTAGTAGCTATCTGTTCTATTTATATTTAAAGTTCAAAATATAGTAGAGAGCTCCACATTTTGGCCCTTGAACTAAAAGTTTGAACAAATTCTAGAGGATGGAGTCTCCCAAGTGTTGTCAAGGATGGAGTGGGGGCCTCCCTGGTGGTACAAGGGGTTAAGCACCACGCTATGAAGCAATCAGCAGCCTCTGCAGCACGAGTTCAATCCCCGGCCGGCCAGGGAGCAATTCACATGGCGAAGCAGACCTCTCCTGACTCACTCACTGCTCCCCTCAGCGGTGTATTTCAGTCAGTCTGCCTGTTCTGTTTCCCACTCTGTCTCTGATGGATCCTCTCACCCCCCGTATCTCTGGCCTGTACCCCAGTTCTTGTATACATAAATAAATCTTAAAAAAAAAAAAAAAAGGAAGAAGGATGGTGTGGTCAGGACTGGATCTAAGGGGTCAATCAGCAATTATAAATGAATAAAATTTTATGTTTATGACAGTTGTACAACTTTCAAACAATGACACATTAGTTAACAGAGCTCTTAAATGATCTCTACTTCTTTCTTTTAATGATATTCTGATTCTTAGATTTAGAGAGATCATGGATCACAGGAAACATGGGTACTAGTCTCGGCTCCTTTATTTTTTTTGTGTGTAGAAGACCTGGGTCAGAGGTCTGAGAGGATTCACCAGAGAGTGGGGAGCAGAACAGGCAGACTGACTGAAATACACTGCTAAGGGGAGCTGCGGGTGAGACAGGAGAGGTCTGCTGCGTCATGTGTGGGTTAGCTCCTTGGTGGGGAATCAACCTCAGGCCATAGGGGTGATAGCACTGAGACTTAACCCCTAGGCCACCAGGGAGGCCCTTGGCTCTTCATTAAACTGTAACAAGGTATTCAACAAATACTTATCCTTCTGGATATCAGTTACTTATCCTCAGTAAATCAGAGGACTGTTAAGAAAATAAATAAAATATTGGATGTACTGTGCATCAAATAGGACTGAAAATTGCATGTATTAAATTAGCAGTTTTAATGTCATTTTTCCCCCAGCATTCATTTTTCCTAACTCATAAAAAAGTTGGAACTTATAAAATGGAATTTTTGCTAAAATGAAAGCTTATTAATGCTTTCTAACTTAGAATTATAGAGCTGATTCTCTCTTTCAGTAATAGACTGAAGGTCAGCTTTTCAGTGAGGAGAGCTGGGATTAAAATCCAGGCAAGTTGGGCCTCCATGGTGGCACAAGGGGTTAAGTCTCATTATCAAGCTATCAGCTGCCACTAGCCCACATGGCACAACAGATCTTTTCTGTCTCGCCTACTGCTCCCCTCAGCAGTGTTTCAGTAGATCTGCCTCAGCAGTGTTTCAGTAGATCTGCCTGTTCTTCTCCCCACTCTGTCCCTGGTGAATCATCTTAGCCCCCCACACTTCTGGCCTACACCCCAGTTCTTGCATGCATAAACAAACAAAAAAAAAATCTTAAAAAAAAAAATCCAGGCAAGTTAACCCCATTCCTGGTTCTCTTTTCATTCAGTGCTGTCTCACATGACATGTGCAGGGCTTCAGCAATCATTCATTGTATACTCTGGTGTAATTGGCACATTATAGTAGGTAGCATTATAATTTTCTTGAGAAATGTCAAATTAGAGAAAACAAAATTAACCTAAGACTATGAAACAAAACCAAAAAAATCTTTTGGGAAAAAAGAATAAGCAATTTTACCTTGGTAACTGTTAACATATAAAAATTAGTTACACTGTTCTCGTTGGCTCGTTTGATTCTCAATCTGCATTCTTCTTCATCAATTAATTCTCCAACATATTCGTTTACAAATTCACCCTGCAGAGAATCATGCAATATGTAAATGTAAAATCAGTATATTGTATTAGAAAGCATTCCTTAACACCATATATATATATATATATATATACACACACATATATTGTTTTTTAAAGGTTTACTTTTTTTTTTAATTTATTTATATAAACACTGGGTACAGTCAGAAGCGCAGGAGGGTGAGAGAATTCACCAGAGCCAGAGCGGGGAGCAGAAGAGGCAGAGTGACGAAATACACTGCTGAGGGGAGCAGCGGGTGCAGCAGGAGAGGTCTGCATGCCATGTATATTTGAAGTAATTACAGATCCCTGAACCCTTCAGTTTCCCCCAATGATAACATACAACTATAGCAAAATATTAATATTACACTATTCTCGTTGGCTTGCTTGATCTCAATTGACAAATCTTATTCAAATTTCATAGGTTTTACATACATTCGTGTGTGTCTAGTTCTATGGAATTTTATTAAGTATAAACTTAATAAAATTATAAAGTATAAACTTAAAATTAAGTATAAACTTAATAAAATTATTTCACAGTATAAACTGTGAAATCACCAACACAATCAAGATACAGAACTGTTCTATTACTACAGATGTTCCTTGTAGTAATCCTTTATAATCACATTCATCCTCTATCCCTCACCTCATCCCATAGCCAGTTTATTCTTCATCTCTATAATTTTCTCATTTTGAGAATGTTCTGTAAGTGGAATCATGTGGTATATAACCTGCCAGTTGACTTTTAAAAAATCTCAGCCTCACTCCCTTGAGATCCATCATTTGTTGTATGTTATTAATAATTCAATTTTTTAAATAGATGAATAGTATTCCCAAGTATGGACATTCCACAGTTCACTTAAATCATTCACCTACTAAAAAACCGTTTTTTCCCCTTATTGAGGTAACACTGCTTTACATTACTGTACAGATTCATTACTACTCAGATGTCTGTTACCACATCACTACATCAAGGCACCCATAATCCTTTACCCTAGGGCAGTAGGCCACTGCTTTCCCATACCCTTTCTCTCTTCCCCTCCAGCAGCCTTAATTCTAGTTATATTTCTAGGGTTTATTTTATAAATAGTCTAATCAGCCCCTTTGCTTTTGTTTATATTCCACATGAAAGGATCCAGTACTTTTTGATTTATTTCACTTAGCATAATCCCTTCCAGTTCTGTCCATGTTGTTGCCAATGACAAGAGATTTTTTTCTTTTTTTTATAAATAGTGCTGCAATGAACTTCCCTTCAAATTATGTTTTCTTTTCTTTTCTTTTTTTTTTTTTTGCATTCTTCGGGTAGATACTTAGGAGTGGAATTGCTAGGTCATATGGTAGATCTATTTTTAATGCTTTGAGAGAACTCCATACTGTTTTCCACAGGGGTGGGCCAGTTTATATTCCCACCAACAGTATATGAGGATTTCTTTTTCTCCACACCCTCCCAACATTTGTTTTTCTATTTTTTTTAATGGGTCATTCTTACAAGTAAAAGGTGCTCTTTCATTGTGCCTTTGATTTGCATTTTCCTGGTAAGTGATGTTGAACATTTTTTTATATGCTTGTCAGCCATTTGTATGTGCTCCTGGGAGAACTATCTATTTAGCTCATCTGCCCATTTTTTGATTGGGCTCTTTGCTTGCTTTTTATTGCTTTATGTATTCTTTTTTTTTTTAAATAAATGAGGTCCATGTTTATTTTTATTTGTATTTTTTTTAAAGATTTATTTATTTATTTATACAAGCACTGGGTACAGTCAGAAGCGCGGGAGGGTGAGAGAATTCACCAGAGCCAGAGCGGGGAGCAGAGCAGGCAGAAGGACCGAAGTACACTGCTGAGGGGAGCAGCGGGCGACAGGAGAGGTCTGCACGCCATGCGGGACCCTCCTCCGGTGGCCGGGGAGCAGCCGGGGATTGAACCGGCGCTGCAGAGGCTGCAGGCAGCTTCGCAACCCAGCGCTCAACCGCTGCGCCATCGGGGAGGCCTGCTTTATGTATTCTTTATAGATACTGGTTATCAGTCCCTAGTCAGATGTATGATGTGCAAATATTTTCTCCTATTCATTAGGGCATTTTTTTGTTTTAATGATAGTTTTTTGCTGTACAGAAGCTTTCTAGCCGATCTAATTCCATTCATTTTTGCATGTTTTCTTTGCCATTGCAGTCAAGTCCCAAACATAACCCCCAAAGCTAATGTCATGGAATGTTTTCTTCTTATGTACTTTATGGTTTCTGGTCTTGTCTCCAAGACCTTAATTCATTTTGAGTTAATTTTTTGTGTATAGTGTGAGAAAATGCAGAAAAATTAATTTTTCTGCATGTGGCTCTCATTTTCCTAGTACTATTTGAAGAGACTTTCCTTTCCCCTTTGTATATTCTTGGCTCTTTTGTCGTAGATTAACTGTCCTTAAAAATGTGGGTAAACTTTTTGGCTCTCAATTCTATTCCAGTGGCCTGTGAGTCTATTTTTATTCTAATACCAAACTCTTTTTATTACTATAGTCTTACAATAGTTTGAAGCATGAGCCCATCATTCCTTTTTTGTCAATTGCTTTGGCTATTTGGGGTCTATGTGGTTCCACATAAATTTCAATAATGTTTGCTCTATTTCTTTCAAGAATTCCATTGATGATAGGGATTGCATTGAGTCTATATATTGCTTTGGGTTTAGATGGACTTTTTTTTTTAAAGATTTATTTATTTATTTATACAAGCACTGGGTACAGTCAGAAGTGCAGGAGGGTGAGAGAATTCACCAGAGCCAGAGCAGGGAGCAGAACAGGCAGACAGACGGAGGACACTGCTAAGGGGCAGCGGGAGCAGCAGGAGAGGTCTGTGCACCATGAGGGACCCTCGCCGGTGGCCAGGGATGGAACCGGCACTGCGGAGGCTGTGGGCAGCTTCGCAGCCCAGGGCTCAACTGCTGTGCCACTGGGGAGGCCCTTATATGGACTTTTAATAATGTTAATTCTTCCAATCCATGAGCATGGAATATCTTTCCATTTCCTCATTTTCTATTTCTTTTAACAATGTTCTATAGTTTTCACTGAATAGATCTTTCACCTCCTTTTTTAGATTATTACTAGGTATTTAGTATTTTTTGCTGCTACTGTAAATGGGATTGTTTTTATGATTTCTTTCTCTTCTAGTTTACTATTTGCATTAGGAATACAAGAGAACTTTATATGTTGTTTTTGTAGCCCGTCGCTTTACTGATTCATTGTTTCTATTAGTTTTTAAGTTGAGTCTTAAAAGTTTTCTATGTGTATTAATATGTCACCTACAAATAATGGCAGTTATTTCGTTGGTAATTTGGATTCTTTTGTATGTTTCTCTTGCCTAACTGTCCTATCTAGGACTTCCAATACTATGTTAAATAGTAGTGGTGAGAGTAGACATCTTGCTGTGTACCTGATCTTAAAAGAAACGATTCCAGTTTCTTACCACTGAGGATATTGTTAGCTGTGAGTCTGTCACACATGGACTTTATTATTTTGAGGTATGTTCCTTTTATCCCCATTTTACTAAAACTTTTCATCACAAATGGATGGTGCATCTTGTCAAATGCTGAAGAAACATTTTAATTGTTTCCAGATTTTGGCTATTATACATAAAACTGGTATCAACATTCTGGTAAGAGTTTTTGGTTTTGTTGGGTCATATGTTGAGTACATGTTTAATTTTTTAAGAAACTGCCAAACTATTTTCCAGAGTTTCTATATCATTGTACATTCTCAGCATATATTTTGTGTTTATAAATGCATAAATATTAACCCTTTTACCTGAAAAGCATGACTGATTCAATCTATGACAATCATATTATCTATAGGATTCATCAGTTTTACTGATAAATTTTTGAGGAAAAGAAATGTCTTAGGAAATAAATATATGTGCTTTTTGCTTTATCAGACTCTATTCCTCACATACACACAAATTTTCACTATCCCTTCTCATAGCTCTTAGCATCACAGAACTGATATTAGAAAATACCAGTATTCCAAAGAAAACTATAAAACACTGTTAAAAGAAATAGAAGAAGACACAAAGAAATGGAGAGACATCCCCTGCTCATGGATTGGAAGAATAAACATTATTAAAATGGCCATCCTACCAAAAGCAATATACAGATTCAATGCTATTCCAATCAAAATTTCAATGTCATTCTTCAAAGAAATAGAACAATTATTGATGAAATTCATATGGAATCACCAAAAACCCCGAATAGCCAAAGCTCTCCTGAAAAAAAAAGAAGGGAATGGAGGCATCAGACTCCCAGACTTCAAACTATACTACAAAGCCATAATCATCAAAACTGCATGGTATTGGAACAAGAACAGACATACAGACCAATGGAATCGAATAGAAAATCCAGAAATAAACCCACAGATTTATGGTCAACTAATCTTTGACAAAGGAGCAAAGAATATGCATTGGAGCAAAGAAAGTTTGTTCAATAAATGGTGCTGGGAAAACTGGGTCGCTACATGCAAAAGAATGAAGCTTGACCACCACCTCACACCATACACAAAAATCAACTCAAAATGGATTAAAGAACTAGACATAAGACCTGAAACCATAAAATATATAGAAGGAAATATAGGCGAAACACTACGTGATTTGCACATCAAAGACATCTTTACAGACACATCACCCAAAGCAGTGATAGTGAAGGCAAAGATAAACAGCTGGGACTACATCAAATTAAAGAGCTTTTGCACAGCAAAAGAGACAATAACAAAAACAAAGAGAAACCCCACCAACTGGGAGAACATTTTTGCACCCAACACTAATGATAAAGGACTGATCACAAAAATCTGCAAAGAGCTGATGAGACTCAACAACAACAAAGAAAATAATCCAGTCAAAAAATGGGCAGAAGAGCTTAAAAGAAACTTCTCTGAAGAGGAAATGCAAATGGCCAACAGGCATATGAAAAAATGTTCAACATCACTTGTCATCAGGGAAATGCAAATCAAAACTACCATGAGATACCATCTTACACCAGTGAGAATGGCACATATTAAAAAAACTAGCAACAACAAATGTTGGCGAGGGTGTGGAGAAAAAGGAACTCTTCTGCACTGTTGGTGGGAGTGCAAACTGGTCCAACCACTGTGGAAAGCTGTATGGAGATTTCTGGACCTACTAAACATAGAGCTTCCATATGATCCAGCAATTCCACTCCTAGGTATTTACCCAAAGGACACAGAAACATCAATTCCAAAGAACACCTGCACCCCTATGTTTATAGCAGCACTATTTACAATAGCTAAGCTTTGGAAACAACCCAAATGCCCAAAAATAGATGACTGGATCAAGAAGATGTGGTACATATATACCATGGAATATTACTCAGCATTCAAAAAAGATAAACACATGCAATTTGCAGCAACATGGATGGCGCTGGAAGGGATCATGCTCAGCGAAATAAGCCAAAAAGAAAAAGAAAAATACCGGATGGTCTCACTCATAGCAGGAATCTAGAAAACTTAAATAAGGGACCAGGAAAATGAATAACTACAAGAAAGTGAAAATCAAAATCAACAAAAAACTATGAACCAGAGACACTTTTAGGGGGGCGGGGGTGGGAGGGGAGGGATTGGGGTCAGAATGGGGGGGCTGCAATTGTATGGGGAATATAACAATAAAATTTATTAAAAAAAAAAAAAAAGAAAATACCAGTATTCTAAGGAGAAGTATTATATCATAATTTCTGATTTTTTTGTAAATTAGTAAGAACAAAAGAATGTTCATAAAAATATTTCATTTTTTCCCTATTAACAAGAGTAAAAAGACTATTACTTCTGTAATAAGAGAAAAGAAGTTAATGGGTCAAACTGGAAAGAATCAAACTAACTTCCCATGCATCAGTTTTTTCCCTTGACAGCTTGCTGCTAGTGAGGTCAATGAGGAAATCAGTGTGCCTACACACTTGCTTCAACTGGGGAATGATCACCACAAAAGCTGACCTCTGATTTTTTTCTCTCCCATTTTTTTTGATTGTACAAGCTATGATAATTAGGTTAGAAAAAGAATAACATTTCATCTATAACTGAAACACCCTAATAGGACACTTTATTTTTCCCTTCCAATCCTTTGTCATGAAGGATATCGGATGGTTCTACACATTTGTATTTTATGTGTGGTCAGGCTTAAATGGCTTTTCCAACATCCAGTTTAGACTCTGATATCACTGATGGGCTATCTAAATTATGCAGTTATATGGTATCACTGCCTTCACGGAGAGAAGATTTTATCGATATTTGGCTGGATTGCCTCCTAGCATTGCTATTTTACGGTAATTTTTTTTTAATGGAAATCTGTTGAGAATTTCAAACAAATCAGCTCTACTTCATTTTTTTTACATAGTAGGATTCAAAGTAAGATATTATTTGGAAAAAATAGTTCTGTGGCTTTAAAAGCTTGAGAACATTTATTATGTTTGATACTTACTATTCTATAAAAATGAGTGAATATAGAAAAATTTAAGTGTTGTTACCAAACATGAGTACAAGTCTCATAAACTTGACACCATCATAAGTAAAGATGAAAATATTTTACATGCCCTAAAAGTGACACATCTTTAGATTGAAAGAGTTGCTTATTGACTTGAAATCATTAACTGTGAATTCAATCGAGACCAAAAATAACAAAGGACAAAAAAATATTAGAAACCTGTCCTTAAAGCTGTGGCAACAACCAGGTCAACAAGAGCCAGTTATTTTCCAGGTGAATGTTGAAGATGACAATCATGGCGATTTTAGTAACACATGTTGCTCTAGATTATATTATATACGTGCTTAAATTCCATGTACACAATTACCACTGTGACCCGGGGCTTATATTGATTCTGGTTATATGCTGTCATAAATGGACCTATGGCTTACAGTGATTTATTACCAGTTGGTAATTAGCCTCCCTTTTCCTTGGTGGTGAATGTGGTTTGTGGTAACAAATATCTGAAGAGGTGTGATCCTATACTTCTCAATCATATATAATGTAAGCCAAAGTTACCTCCAAAACAAAAAAGTTAGAATGATTAAAAGATTGTGGCAATAAAGCAGGCTGTAATTTAGCATATTTAATATGTATTTTAGTATATTTAATATAATTTAGTATATTTAATATGTATTTTTTCATTTCCAGGAAAGAAACTTCTTCACAGTAAGAAGTCACTTTGACTCTGACACGTCTTTTCGGGAATTTGTGTGTGAAAAGATGGGGTCTGTGTTCCTTCAGTTCAAATTTGGCTGTAGTCTCCTAAATGTACGAAAATTTTTTCCAGGTTATTACCAAGTCTTCATGAGTATGCTTTTCAGCGACTGCATAGTTCTAATTATTTTTTAAGATATCAGTTGTCCTACATTAGCAGTTCCTTAAGTGTTACAGGTAAGAATAATTTGGATTGTGCTTTCTTTTCTCTTCATTATGTCATTAATTTAATAAATCAGATTATATTTTAGAATAAATAAAATTACCATTGAATGGTGTTGACACAATATCTAACTGGTTTCAGGATGGCTCTCAAAATGCTCCAGAAATCATAGGCAAAATTTGTACGTGTAACATGAATGGTATTAAAGTAGTATTAAGATTTTTTGCACTATAGTATAAAATGACATTCTCAATGCAGATGACCTGTGAACAACTCAATCCACACAGCCAATATATCAGTAAATTCTGTCCATGCCACAATTCTGTCTCTCCAGAACAATCATGGTCTCCTTTTGTCACTTGTCCCCCATTAATGTAAAATCTCCATGCTATAGTTAAAAGTTATTCTTTTGAAACCCAAGGGTGGCAGACAGATTTTTAAAATGGTTCCCATGATCCTTGCCTCCTGGTACTAATGTGTTGTGATCCTCTCCCCTTGAATACAGTCATAATAGAATATGACAAGGGTGGCAGGATGAATGGTGATTAAGAGTCCATCTTTCCGAAGTGTCTCTCTCCCTGTTGACGGTACAAAAATAAGAGGCCTCCTCAGGTTTGTCTTAACCAATTCATTTTTTTTTTTTTAAATTTTTTAAATCTTTTTTTTAAGATTTATTTATTTATTTATAAAAGCACTGGGTACAGTCAGAAACGCGGGAGGGTGAGAGAATTCACCAGAGCCAGAGCTGGGAGCAGAGCAGGCAGAAGGACTGAAGTACACTGCTGAGGGGAGCAGCGGGCGGCAGGAGAGGTCTGCGCGCCATGTGGGACCCTCCTCCGGTGGCCGGGGAGCAGCCGGGGATCGAACCGGCACTGCAGAGGCTGCTGGGCAGCTTCACAACCCAGCGCTCAACCACTGCGCCACCTGGGAGGCCCTTAACCAATTCATTTAAAATAACAATCCCTGTCATCAATCAGCTCTCCACTTTAACATCTTTATTTTTTCTTTACAGCATTAGGGCAGGGATTATAATATCCAGTTCAGAGATGAAGATGAGGCTTAGGGCAGTTAGTGACTGGGTAATGAGTTCATGACCAGTGAGTTATGATGTTGGAGCAAAGTCCTGGGTTTGCTAGTCTCTGTCCCAGTACACTAATTTTACCTTTACTGAGTCTTTTAATCTACTTTGCTTACCAAGTAAAAAATAATTTCAAATAGAGAATGTCCAATGTCCCCTGTCCTTTTTATGACTGATCATTAATACCCAAATTTTGTGTATTTTATTACTAACTCCTCCTACAGTTTCTTTGCCCAAGAAGTGCCAAGTGAGACCTTTCAAAGGTTGCCATAGTTCCCTATGTGATTCACCCCTTCTGAAGCATCTCTAAGAGGCGTAATTCTAGTCTATCTCCCACCCACTATACAAACCTCCACCCTATCCCCGACCCATGCTACCTTCTTAATGCTCCTTTTGGTCCTGAGGCCCCAGCCTCTTCGCTCCGTTTTGATGATTTCTGCATCAGGGTAGAGCCTCTTTGTAAAGCACTGGTTCTGGCATCGATCTCCAGCTGGGCATACCTGCGGGTGACACTCATACTGCAACATTCTGTTCAGGCACTCAGATTCTAAGCCGCAAGGGTTCTCATCAGCAGGCTTGCAGTTGCAGCGGGGAATCTCTGATAGGTCTGCAACATGGATCTGGACTTTTCCTATAACCTTGTTAGCCTAGGAAACAAGCCAGAAATGAGAGGGAAGAATTAACACCAGGACATAAGAAACATCCATGCTATTCTTGGCCCTGTCTCTGCCTTGTGGTGTAAAAGGGTATTCATCTTAATTTTTGTTTCCTTATGAATAAGCTAGGAAAAATAACTGTCTTTTTAGTTGACAAAAATATCAAAACCTGGTGTGGGGCCTCCCCTGGTGAAGCATGCGGTTGAGTGCCGTGCTGTGAAGCTGTCCGCAGCCTCTGCAGCACCGGTTCGATCCCTGCCAGCCCGCAAGGGTCCCACTTGGCGAGGCAGACCTCTGCCATGCCCGTTGCTCCCCTCAGCAGTGTATTTCAGTTGGTCTGCCTGTTCTGTTCCCTGCTCTGTCTTTGGTGAATCCTTTCACCCTCCCACGCATCTGGCCTATACCCCGGTTCTTGTGTCTGCCTGCTCTGCTCTCCCCTCTGGCTCTGGTGAATTCTCTCGCCCTCCTGTGCTGCTGACTGTGCCCAGTGCTTGTGTAAACAAATAGGTAAATCTTTAAAAAACAAATAAACAAAAAAACCACAAAAAACCTGGTGTGAATTCTCATTTAACTTGTGCATTTTTCATCTTGAATGGAAATTTCATAACTGAAAACAACTGTGGGCTCGCTGGAAGAAAAGGGTTAAATATCTATATTCTCATTTAGTTGCAGAATAATCTAGTTGAGCAAGAATAAGATTTCACATCTGCGATACTATGATTTCTAAGAAATGTATTTTGGTCAATTTTAATCTTTGGTTCAGGACTCCTGGCTTCCAAAACCCTTCATTCTGTAATTTCCCAAGTGATAAAGAGTTATGGGAACATCCTTTGTCATAGTATTTGGTTTCTTATTCTCACTTTCTGAAAGCACTTCAAAGCCATAACAGTGAAATGGGTGCCTTTTTATTCCTGACAAGCCTTTTTCCACAACTGGGTTTATGCTAATGAAGTGACTTCTGGATGCACCTGGGGGAGGTCAGTCAGAGAGCCAGTCAGAGAGCTATTTGCAGAGGAATCAACCCTGAATTGAGGGTTGTAACTTTATACACTGCTCTGATTTTTAGGGAAGGGAGTGGGCTACAGATTGACTTAATCGCCACCTGCCAGTGATTTAATTAATTAGGCCTATGTGATGAAGCTGCCGTAAAAACCCAAACAGAGGGATTCAGAGACTTTCTGGGTTGATGAACACATGGAATACTGAGAGATTGGTGTGCCCAGGAGAGGGCACAAGGGAAAATCTGAACTTCTACTGGCTACTGGCAGCTGGAGTGGGTGGAAGTGGGGGGATCTTATGAGAGATGGAATCTGATACTATCTCTAGGTATACAGTATCAGAATTAAGTGGAATTCTCAGACATCCTGCTGATGTCCAGAACTGCCTGGAGGAACTCCCCTCACACACACATTGGTTTGGGTGCAGAACCCCAAAACAACATTAAACATTTTGCTCCTAGACTTGACAGGGTTTATCAAAAAACTCATCACAGAGGATAGCAGCTATGGCTCCCATTTGATGCTTCCAACAAATGTTCTCAGTTGTTTTACAGAGGATTAGGTGATAATTTACAAGAGTTTCCACAAATCAAAAAAGAGCCTTCTAACTACTGAGATGAATGCATTTTATCTTTCCTGTCAAATACCAGTGTTTTCATGGGTAAAAACTTACTTTGATGTGTTTGTAGGGAGGGGGTTTTCTTGAGTTCTTTTCAATCTCTAGTGCTTCTTTACTTTCTCGTTGTGCTTTTAATTCCTGGAAACGCTTTGCAGCTTCTTCCAGTGCTGCCAACAAGACCAAAGTAAGTATATAAATACCAGAAAAACAAATAAAATAAAACCTGTTAGAAGACTAGTTTTATACTGCCTTCACAATGCACTGATCTGGTCTGAGGTCTTCTTTTTAAAATTACATTCTGGAGGGCCTCCCTGGTGGTGCAGGTGGTTAAGCGCAGTGCTGTGAAGCTGTCCGCAGCCTCTGCAGTGCTGGTTTGATCCGCGCCGACCACAGAGCAACCCACAAGGCGCGGCAGACCTCTCCTGTCTCGCCTGCTGCTCCCCTCAGCAGTGTATTTCAGTCGGTCTGCCTGTTCTGGTCCCTGCTCTGTGCCTGGTGAATCCTCTCACCCTCCCGCACATCTGGCCTGTACCCTGGTTTTTGTATGAATAAATAAATCTTTAACAAAATAAAAAATAAAAAAAAATAAAGTTACATTCTGGAAATAGCCATTTCTACCAGAATAGGGTAAATAGTTCAAAATAGGATGTAAGTCATTTATAACTGAAAACTATTACGCTCTGCCAGCTGCTGCCTCAGAGAAGCGGTCCTATTTCAATGATCAGAGGCTTCCAAATGAATCAAAGAGCAGCTTTTCACTTAGTACTAGACTTACCAGTCATTTTTCTTTTACCCAGGAAGTCAAACTTTCTGGTTACTTGTTGCACAAACACTTGTAACGTTTGTCATAGGAAGATTTTACTTCTCTTCTGTGGTAAAAGAGCTTCACTTAAGAAAACTACTGCCAGAGTAGTTTTCCATGTCTGTAGAAAGATGACTAAAACACTTTCCATAATAGCAAAGTATGTATTTTTTTAATTGGAGAATTTTTAATTGGCTGAGTTCTTGCATGGTTTTAATGTGACTGAAAATTTGCATCATAATCCCTGGTAAAATTCTCCAATCCCAAAAACATGTTATATGCACATTAGGAGGTTTCAAGAAATCATCCTGGAGACTCAGTTTTGAGCCACTATAAACATCCTCCAACTTACCTTTCTTGAAGGTTTTGTTAATACTTGTCTGTCCCTCAGCAAAACTTTTGTCTCCTTCAACATAAGGGAATACTCTGCCCTGGTGCACCCAATAGTAGTCATGAGAACCAAAGAAGAACACAGGGAAGTCCCCTAAGTCATGCTTAAGGCCTTGGATGTTCAGTGGCACGGACCTGGGATTGCAGATCTCGGCTGGCCACCACCTGGGAAAAACAAGCAAGAGGATGAAAAATGACACTATTCTTTAGATGGCTGGCAGAAAGGGGTGAGGGTAGGGGGTGAGGGGTGGGGCAGGTTTTATACTTTGTACTTTTCATTCACATTCTAAGGACACAAAATACTTTGTCATTAATTCTGCCCAAATCATTTAAAAACATGTTGAATAATGAATGAAATAGTGAACATAGATTAAACTAGTTCTAAGCACCTGATCTAGCTTCTTTAAAAAATTAATAGTTGATATTTATAAAATAACATTATGAGAATGTAAGTCATAAGGCATAATAATAAAATAATAATGAACCTGCTACCCAACCTAAGAATTAGAGAATTACCAATACTGTTCCAAACCCAATTTGAATCCTAGAAAAAGTCATGCTTCTCTCCAAACTTGATATTCTTAATACCAAGATCATCTTTCAAAGTGTAAAAACTTATTTACACTTTCAAAGTGTAAAAACTTCTAAACAAATCAGCACTTTCTGGCTAATCAACCAGGGTCAATACTAGATTTTATATCAATGTATATTTCTGAATCTAATTTATCTTAGATCATAACAAACATGGGTTTTGGACATAATGAAAACAATTATTTCATGCAGTAATGGTTGAATTACTACTAAATGAAACCATCTATGAGGCAACTGACAATTTTTAACAATTGGGCAAGTCAGGAATTGAAGGGTATAGCTTCTTCAGTATATAAAGTCAATAATAGGAATAGTAAATATACAAAAACTTAAATTTTTTCACTTTATTTTTCATGTCTAACAAAACCATTTACTTTCTGAAAAATTACATTATTTGGAACATAATTGAAGGAAGTCATCACTCTCCCAGATTCATAGTACAGAACTTGAATACACATCATCTAAAAGTTATCCTACTGTCCACGTGAGAATTAAAAACATGGTTAAGAAGCAAATGCTTAATAAATACAAAACACTATTGGTTTCCTCTTGAAGTAATATAGGAAATGATTATTCTGTCTACTTCTAAATCACCTTAAGGCATTTAAGTATGTACATAACAACTGCATTCATCGGGTCAGTTAGGAAGAGGCATATATTCTGCCACTGATTGTTCCAAGTTCTATACTCCTAAGGAAGGCTTCACACTGAGGTAACTAATTATTGGAAAGAAATAGTTTCATGTGGCCCAGCTGGGCCTAACTGGAAAGAAACATTAAGAATCAGTTCATGGATGGAAGTCTTTCCAAAACATGTAAGAAGAATCTGACCTACATATAAAATTTGATTAGACTGAACTAGAGCACTGCTTTGGGTTTCTTTAAAATGTAATGTGATTGAAGCGTAGATATTAAAATTAAGGCAAAGATATATTCACAGTAACTTTTAAAAAAAGAAAATAAGTATTATAAGCATGGTGGCTACAGTTAATAATACTGTATTACATATTTATTTATTTATCTTTGTGGGACCCTTGCCCAGGGATCGAACTGGCGCTGCAGAGGCTCGGCAGCCTCGCAACCCAGCGCTCAACCACTGCGCCACCAGGGGAGGCCCTGTATTACATACTTAAAAGTTGCTGAGAGATCTTAAAATTTTTCATGACAAGAAAAAAAAATTGCAACAAACAGGATGATGCACCTTAACTAAACTTATCATGGTAATAATTTCACAATATATACACATGTCAAATCATGGTGAACGGGCCTCCCTGGTGGCGCAGCGGTTGAGCGCTGGGTTGCGAAGCTGCCCGCAGTCTCTGCAGCACCGGTTCGATCCCCAGCTGCTCCCCGGCCACCAGAGGAGGGTCCCACATGGCGCGCAGACCTCGCCTGCCGCCCACTGCTCCCCTCAGCAGTGTACTTCGGTCCTTCTGCCTGCTCTGCTCTCCGCTCTGGCTCTGGTGAATTCGCTCACCCTCCCACGCTTCTGACTGTACCCAGTGCTTGTATAAATAAATAAATAAATAAATCTTAAAAAAAAAAATTCATGGTGAACACCTAAGACTAATATAATACTACAACATGTCAATTATATCTCAAATTTTTAAAAAAGATTTGTTTTTATTTATTTATGCATAGAAGAACTGGGGTGTAGGCCAGAGGTATAGGGGGGTGAGAGGATTCACTAGGGACAGAGCAGGGAGCAGAACAGGCTGCTGAGGGGAGCAGCGGGTGAGACAGGAGAGGTCCACCTTGCCATGTGGGTTAGTTCCCCAGCTGGGGATCAAACTCATGCTGCAGGGTCTGGCGATAGCTTCATAGTGCTGCCTCTTAACCCCTTGTGCCACCAGGAAGACCCTATATCTCAAATTTTTAAAAAGTGAAAAATGGGGGAAATATCTTGAAACTTATGGGAAGATTTGGAGCTCCTTATGCTGCATAGATCTTTCGTATCTAGGAATGCCTGTCTTGTCGATTAAATGTCAAACTCACACCCCTTCCCCAGAAAGATACATATTTTTTAATTATAAAAGCAGTGTCTGCCTCGACTAGAAAGTAAAACAGTGCAGAAAAACTGAAAATGTCTTCCCTTAAAGTGTCATACCTCAGATTATTAATGTTAGATGTATTTCTTTCCAGGTGTTAAAAAACATATTTTCAGAATCACATGGAAAGACTGGCTCTGTAGAGTTCATTCCCAAGAACGAACAACACAAAGTTGTTTTGGGGTTTGATACTTTTTAGAGGTTATATTTGTCTGCAGATGGACATGTGAAAGATCATTTTTTGGATTTTGTTTTTGTAGCCAAAAAAATGTTTATTAGAGTTGACTTAGAAAAACTTGTTGATACTGTAAAATTAAACTCATTTACTATTTCTACAATACTTTAAAAAATAAATGACCACATTCTTTTAGTGGATTATATAAATTTTATACTTATTGAAAAAAAAACAACCTGACTACATATAAGAATTTTTTTAAAACACAAGAATTCACAATTCCACTAGCTAGAGATTTAGTGCTAAGGCGACTGCAAATACTTCAGACTTTCTTATGCTTATACATACAAAAACATGCACACTCACTTTTCTTTCTTTAAAAAATACTATTTAAAAAAAAACCTACCTTTTTCTTTTAAAAAAGAGGAAAACTAGATCTGCAGCCATTAAAAATTATACTACAAACAAATGGGGAAATGATGTATATACTGCTTAACATACTTTTTAACTTCAACTATATCCTGAAGATCTTCTCAGTTTACTGTTGGGGATGGGGGAAGGATGTCCTGAACCAACTCCACAAACATAGGATTTATGGACTCCACCTCCACCCCAGACCAAAGAGATCCAAGACACCAAGGACTACAAATCCCATAATGTCATCATCACCAAAGGAAGGATTAGTGGGAACTGAGGGTGGGGTTAAGCAGCCAGGTTTGGTATATAACCAGACATGTGGGCCTTGTGGTGGTCTCTTGGTTTTTCACCAGCTCTCAGCATGCTAATGGGATTCCAGCTCAGTGGAACTGGTAGGATGCATTCATGAATTTATCTCTATTGTTCTCCCTGAGTTATTCATTTCTGCATTTCCCTTTTTTGTAAATTAACCCTTTATTAACCTTTTGTGTATGCCTACAGTTGAGTCTCATAAGTCCCTTTTAAGCACATGGGTGAGGACCCACAGTCAGGCACCCCTTTCTTGTTTGTTTTTTTTTTTTAAGATTTATTTTATTTATTTTGCATAGATGAGCTGGGGTGCAGGCCAGACATGCAGAGGGTGAAAGGATTCATCAGAGACAGAGTGGGGAGCAAAACAGGTGGATCTACTGAAATATACTGTTGACGGGAACAGCAGGTGAGACAAGATAGATCTGCTGCACCATGTGGGCAGCTCCCTGGCCTGAGATCAAACTCATGCTGCGGTGGCTGGCGACAGCGTGATAGCACTGAGACTTTAACCCCTGCACCACCAGGGAGGCCCCCAGGCAACCCATTTCATGTTGGGGTTGCCCTGTAACATTACTACATAGATCTGCATTAGCCTTTTATTGGCTTTAAGGTGTTTTACAATATGAACACACTATAATTTATTTGACAGATCCCCCAATGACTGAGCATTTGAGTTATTTCAAATTTGCAGTTAAAAATAATACTGCAGTAGGGCCTCCCCAGTGGCGCAGCGGTTGAGCGCTGGGTTGCGAAGCTGCCGGCGACCTCTGCGGCGCCGGTTCGATCCCCGGCTGCTCCCCGGCCTCCGGAGGAGGGTCCCACATGGCGTGCAGACCTCTCCTGCTGCTCGCTGCTCCCCTCAGCAGTGTACCTCAGTCCTTCTGGTGAATTCTCTCACCCTCCCGTGCTTCTGACTGTACCCAGTGCATGTATCAAACAAACAAACAAATAAATAAATAAAAACATGCCTCTATAAAAAAAAAAAAAAAAAAAAATAATACTGCAGTAGACATCCCTAGAACTGCATTTTTTGCCTGCAAGTCCAATTTTTCCCCTCTTAAATTCCTTGAAGTCAAAGGGTACACACAGTTATAATTCTGATACATGATGTCAGACTGCCTTAAAGGTAGCACTTGTTTCTTCATGCTAGCCCTCATCACGAAATTATTACTCTTTCTGATCTTTGCTAATCTGTTAACTGAAAACATAAAAACCTCTGTTTTTAATGTACATTTACTTTTTGTGAAGCTGAGTATTTTTCGTATGTTCATTTTCTATTTGCTATTCTTTTTACGAACTGGCTCTCTCTCATCTTTGCCCATTTTTCTAAGTAAGGTATTTATTTAATCTTTTCTTATTGAGAGTAGAAGAGCAAACACTTTCCCCTGGTTTGACATTTGCCTTTTAAAACTTTATGATCTCTTTTGCCATACAGTATAAAACTGTTTATGTATTCAAACTGTCAGTTTTATTTCTCAGAACTTGGAGGTTTACTGGAATATGTTATAAAACAAACACACACACAAAAACAGTGCTGGGTGGTAGTGGCTTCTCAATCCCCTATTGCCCCAATCTCAGCTGAAAATGAAGCTTTTGAAGTTAAACACATAGGCAAGCAGCATAATTCAACCTGAGACCATGGCATAGCACTTACTGAAAAAAATTAAAGCATGTGGGCTTCCCTTGTGGCGCAGAGGATTGAGCGCCATGCTATGAAGCTGTCCGCAGCCTCTGTAGTGAGGGTTCGATTCCCGCATGGCCAGAGAGAAACCCTCATGGAGTGGCAGACCTCTCTTGCCTCGCCCGCTGCTCCCCTTGGCAGTGTCTTTGGTCTGTCTGCCTGTTCTGATCCCTGCTCTGTCTATTGTAAATTCTCTCACCCTCCCAGGCCTCTGACCCCCAGTTCTTATATAAATAAATCAATCTTAAAAAAAAAAATCATATATTAAAAAAAAATTATAGTACGTTGGAAATTCTCTAGAAAGACATTTTACTTAGGATTCTAACTGGGGGAAAAAAAAAAAAAAAAACCTCTGTTGTGCTCTTTTTTTTTTTAATAATAAATTTTATTTTTATATTCCCCATACAATTGCAACCCCCTTATTTTTGTTGTGCTCTCTTGAACTGTATCTATTTTCTTAGTAAAATGATAAACAGTCCCAAAACATGGAGCATAGAAATTTTCAAATATACTGCTACTCCTTCAGTGAAGACTTACTAAAAGAAAGCTTCTTAAAGGAGGAAATTTTATTCAAATAATAGCAATCCTACATACTTCTTACTTTAGTCCCTTAAGAACAAAAGGCTCTTGATATAATAAATTAATCTCTTTATAAATTCTAAAAGCTCTCTCTTTGCATACAGCTTAAAGCTTCTAGCTAGAACTAAAATGGAAGAGCTATTTTAGCCAGGATATAAACTCTCGATTTTATTTGAAATAAAAAATGAATAAAAATCCAATTAGGACACAAGAAAACATTCCTCACTATCCACATAATACCCTTTATTCCAGAATCTAATTGTCTATTGTTAATCAGTATAAAATAACTTTCAGAGAAAAAAAAAATAACCAATCCAAAGGAAAAAAAAATTTAGCAACATATCCTTCCCAATCCTCCAAAACCCATACTTACAACATTTCTTTTATTTAAGGACGGAGTTCTGTGCTGTTCTACCTATCTTCTACCCACTTGGTATAAAGATTATGAGCCTATGTGTGATCAGTGACTGAATACTTCCTCTTTGCCCTTGGAAAAACTTGCCTGTAATTTCCCAATTTGACCCAAACAATCTGCTTGTAATGTAGTTTCTTGCCAGCTTTACAGTCATTACAATTCCAGCAGCCTTCTGGCATTTCTATGCTCAGGCATTCCGGGTGGAAGGAAGCTGGGCACGATTCACAGCAGAGCAGTCTTCCACCTTGAAACAAATAAACAGTCTTAATAACTGAGAATAGAAGAAAGAGAGGAGAAAAAAAAAAGGACAAAGTTATCTTTGTAGTGCATTAAATTTGATTCAAACTGGGGGGAAATAACAAAGGGATTGAGTCATAGCTATAGTGATGGATTAAAATAGAAAGCAAATTGAACAGATTAAGTTATTTCAAGTTTTGGAGTTGCACCAAAATATTAGTGTATTCTTTACCACTCTAAAATCTGGGCAGCTGAAACTTTAACATGACAAAATAGATGCATAAAATCTTTAGACTGAGTAGACTTGAGAGCAGATTTTTCAAATAAATATGTAGCAACTTATTTTCTTTGCTCCTTGAGAACAAAGAAAGCAAGCAATAGTCATCTTTGTATTTTAATCCAGTGCCACAGTTAACTAAATCCCTTTATAACAAAATTAGCAAGAATGAAAATATAGCCAATAGGTTGATCAGCACGTTTTTTCTTCCGATAAAATACAAAAAAGCAAAAGGATTGTACTTTGTCAAGTTGGTCATTATATTACCATTACCTTTTCAGTGAAGATAAAGTCAAATAAGCTATACAGCAGTGGTTTGAAACTTTTCATCACCAAGGGTTCCCTTTCCATTCATTATGAACCTGTATGTTTTTGAATATTTTATCAACTTTATGGGCCTATGTTTTCAAATATTTTATCAACCAAAAAAAAACACCTGCAAACCAAAATCCCTGCATTTTAAAAATAACAGATTAGTTTCTCTTGTTTATATCAAAGAAAAATATAACTGCCAATCAGAGCTTATGATCCCAATAACTAGTATTATCACATTAAATGGTTAAAATTGTAGCCAAATATAAAAAATACACATGCAGCCTAATTTTGTACAAATGTGTGATTCTCCTAGATTTTCTGATATTAAACAGTTCAAAAATTTTGTTTATATAAGTCTTTTCTGACTTCATATTGAGAACCACTGCTTTATAGCATAAAACTAAGTAATTATCAGTATAGAATGAAGTACCACACACAAGGAGATCCTTCCAAGATCCCTAGCAAAATCTTCTTCTTTTAAATACACAAAATGATCTTTGGATTAAGAACAAAACATGTGCAGCAAACAAAATAATATTTTTAAATGGGGGATATTAGGTATTTCTAACAGGTATTTCAACAAGTAATGGAGAAAGATGTAACCACTGAAGATGAGATAAAATAAAGACAGTTACTGCAAAGAAAAAATTCATCTTTCCATTGGAAAATCAGATCTATAATCCACAAGTGTTCTGAAAATTAATGTCTCATACACAAAAGGTTGAGTCCTTTATATAACTTTATCAAATCACATGTTCCAACCTTTTGAGGATTTGCTATCAATTTTCCAGACTTTCTGTAGACTTTCAAACATCTAACTGATTAACATAAAAACAAAAAGAAAATCCATACACAAATCAGTGATGAGTTAAATTACTATATTTCCTCTGCTTAAAAGTTTTTACTTCAATCATTAGTATTATTTCTTTTTGTCTACAGATCTCAATATGGATTAACTGTTCCAATTCTCCAGTCTAGAAATCAGCTGCCTGAGTGCTCTTCTCCTAGGTGGGGAACTTTTCTGTTTTAAGTAAAATGAGATAATTAATTTTTCCATCAGGAAGGAGTGGCCAATAAGGAGAGCTTTGCAAACAGCTTTAAGGGACATGGGATTATTAGAGCTGATGTGGAAAAGTCAGGCTGGCCACTTTGCCATTATGGAATAGTTTTTAATTTTAAGTCTTATTTCAGAGGAAATACAGACCCAGAATCATAAGTGAAAATCATCACGATTTTTTGACAAAAAATACACAAGGGAAATAGAAAAATAAAAATATGAATAATCCACCTTGGTGCTATGCAAGAACACTGCTTTAGGATGCAAGAGAAGATATGGTTCAGCTAAGCAAATAGAGGGCTCAAAATAATTTCAGTTCACGTCAAGGTCAATACTCAGTACTGAAAACGAAGTAGTCAACAACTGAATTAATCTAATTTTATAAAGATGCTAGCAGCAAAATAAGGTATTTCTTAAAATGCCTTGGGTAGTCTAATTTCATTGCATTATGGAGTTAGTCAGACTTATGTCCGTCTTTGTTTTGGAAGTAGTGTACCACCAGCAAGGTGACATACTGACTTTAATGGAAAGCAAACAAAAATGCCAATACTCTCTTTTAGCCTACTTCTTGACAGGTGCTAATCAACTTGCTTAGTTATACTTTCTTTTAGTAATGGGTTGCCACTCAGATGTTTGATAGAGAGCAAAGATAAACCAAGCAGGCAACAAAGACTAGAATAAAAAGCCCATTTCAAATATCCTTAAAATATTAGGTATGAATTAATTTTTCTTTAAAGATTCTGACTCTGTGGCCTAGATCATAACAGGAATATATACAAGAAAAAGCCTTCACCTTCCAGGTTATTTATTTTACATTATGGCATAACTCCCCAGTTGATACATTATTGTTAAACCATTTCTCTCTTTTATTGCAAGTAGGTTATATAAAGCTAAACACAAGATTTTCTTCATAGATTAAATTATGTGTGTGTAAATATATATACACATACATCAGACTGCCTTTCAATATCCATTATTTGGGGATATCTGCCCTAGTTGCCCACCAATGTCTCTGGAGAGAAGAGCAACTAGTTTTTATATATTTGTAATAAAACTTTACAAAACAAAAAGAATGTGCCTAAAATCAAAATGTTAAATATCAGTATCTTGGTTTCCTTCTATTTAATAATCTTCTTGTTATTTAGTTGAAAGTAAAAAATAACATCACATCTATGCTATCCTAACATGAAAAGCAGTTCTACATCAGGCAAAAGAATGGGTGTCCTCATAATGTTCTTCTGTGAAAATTTATTCAAGGAGAGGAGTAAAATTTTGTAATAATGGAATTATTTTAAGCCCTTTTAAATAATTTTGCAGCCATATGAAGACAAAGTCACAACCACCAAGGTAGAATTTACCAAAAATAACAGATGGTGTTTGACAGGCATACATTTGCCCCCCTTTGTTGAAAGAGAGAAAAATAGGAAATGCAAAAATAAAAGCAAGAGATAAACTATTTTGATTATTACCTTTCTCACATTTCTTTTTGGAAGCTGACGAAGAAGGAATCATAGGTAATTTCATCAACTCTGCACGATTTGATTCATTCAGTAGGTAGTGGGACTTATAGGCATATGAACTGAACATGGGGTCTGAATGGTCCTGAACTATCAGCCCTATACGAAACAAACAGAAAGAGATGAGCTGCAATGAAACTACCCATGATTCCATGAGGAAAAAATAAACCAACACCTATTATGTAGCTGTGCTTAAAGTTGAGGGGAAAAAAGAGAGTATGAAGAAAAGGAAAGACCTGACAGAAAAGGCCTTCTATAGTTATTAAAGGGAGTTTAAACTACTCTTGTTTTATCCCTATATAGAAATCTATATGCCATAGAAGAAAACTCCAAAGTAATTTGAAGATGTAAACTGCATCTGAGATCATACTGAAAACAACCTATGGAAAACAAACCTACATTCCTTAATATTTAGAAGTGCTGTGATGACAATCCAATGAACTAAATGATACACCATTTTTTTACTAGAAATAAGAATTACTTACATAACACAGTAGAGACAGACCCTGATCTACCTTCAATGTATCAAGTATCATAAAGGCAGAATTAAGTCTCTCCTCTTCTTTATTCATACCTTTTACTCAAATTCTAGCTTGCTCTGCCAAATAACGAAGCTTTTCTCTATTAATGTGATACATGAGTCTAGAGGAAACATAATTTGTTGAACTCTACTGAGGCAATACAAACCATTTAAAAATCTTCCCTGCCAGATATAAAGTGATTGACATCTTAAGGGCTTATAAAAGCAATCTTTTCTGATTTATCAGTACAATAATTATACTATTTGGAGGAAAACACAAGATCTGCTCTAATACACATGTGACACCCACTTCTCTTCACAACTCTTCTCCTCATCGAATTTATAGTATAGCTACAGGCCCCTCCTAAACCTAGGGGAACTGTGAGACCAGGGAAAAATTCTCTATGTGGATACTGGTCAGTTTAGCATGATCTAGGAGTTTACAATACAAATTATAACAGCAGTTTTACAGAGATCATTTTGATAAGAGGGATGAGTTTCATTTTTAATGGGGTTATTTACTTTTTTCTGTGGATGCTGTTAATGTATATTGACACAGATTCAAGAAATCTCTCTCACACAGATGATAAAATAGAACTTGAAACTGCTTATGGTAACATAAGAATCTTAAAAGGTGCTATAAAGTTAAATAAATTTTATAGATTTAATAGAGAGAAGAAGAGGAATTATATAAAACAAGGGCTTTGAAAGAAGAAAGATCAGGTACAAATGTTGGTACCTGTGTAACCCCGAGTAAATTCCTTGTGTAACCCCGAGTAAATTAATTAATCTGGGCTTTAGTGTTCTTGTTCATATAAAATGGAGAAATAACAAAGCAATTGTGGCAATTCATTCAGCTATGTCTAGCAGAGTTTGATTTGCAGATACAAAATAAATTGCTATTAAAATGTAAAAGAAAACCTTAATCTACCATCTTCATTTTAAATTACCATTACAAAGGCACAGAATATAACTTTCATTTCATACCACCCTTCAGCTGAAGAGAAATGTAAAGAATATATATAAAACTGAAATATGACTGAACATTTCCATGGTGGGAGGTGGGGCAGAGAGGAGTAATGTTCCTCTAAACCTTAAAACATTTTTTTAAGATTTATTTATTTATGCATACACTAACTGGGGTATAGTCCAGAGGCGGTGGTGGCGGATTGGGGGAGAGAGAGGATTCACCAGAGACAGAGCAGGGAGCAGAATAGACATATCTACTGAAATAAACTGCTGAGGGGAGCAGACAGCAAGACAGGAGAGGTCTGCTGTGCCATGTGGGTAGCTACTGGCTAGTGATCAAACTCATGGCACAATGGCTGCTGAGAGCTTGATAGTGCTGAAACTTTAACTCCTCTACCACCTTGGAGGCCAGAACCTTGAAACATTTCTATAAATATTTCTAGGTATGTCAGTCCTTAATAATTACCTTAATGATTTAAAACAACCAGCAGCAATAAAAAATCCCCTCCAAGGAGGAAAAAATTCTCTATGAGGCAAAGAAAGAAAAGCAAAACAAGCTAACTTTTCTAATATCAAAGCATAAATGATTAAAATATACATTTTTGTGTGTGGATTTATTACAATCAGGGCTTTTTTAAAATGAAAATCTCTATAAATACCGATTAATGAACACATATTTACTTTTGAAAAACTTTGATTTAAATAAGCCTTCTCAAATCTCAACATCTGATCTATTTAGAATAAATTTCTGTAAAATGCTGCAAAGAAAAACAAAAGGTTCTGTTTACTGCACAGTTTCACAGTTAAAATGTTTGAGAATTAAATAATCTTGCTTAAATAGGCATTTAAATACAGTAACTCCTTCAGAATAGCTGCCAAATTGATAAATGCATCTACAAATTCTGCTATTAAAACATGAATGTTCCCCCTCTATTTACATTATCTCAAGTTTATAATCAAGGTTTAAAAGAGACTGTAAGAGACTAGGGTTCTTGAAAATGGGATATTTACCACCTATCTTAAATTGAAAATGTCCATTTTAAAGGCCTCCAAATTTTTAAATGAAACAGAGTAAGAGAAAACACTGGTTAATATACTGATGGTACTTAATTCAGAATATATTCTAAAACAAGGCAGCACGATAGTTATAAACTTGATGTTTAAAATGTTGGTTCAATTATACACACACACACACAAATACACATACACACAGAGCTAATAAAAGTATGTGCTCATAATAGCAGAATAAAAGATTTATAGTGATAGAGATTTTATCATTGACATGCTTTTCTGTTTAAAATTCTCTAAAGCTAGCCACTCAAAAGATAATTCAATATCTCCATCCTATTTTTGTTTTTAGGGATGGGCACACAGAAAGACACAACTGGTGACTTTTTAATTGCTTTTCACTATTTCAATACTTTCTACCACCTGTTACAATGTTAGTATCAAACATTTCAGATGATTCCTTTATGTACTAATCAGGCTTCAGAGCTGGTTACAAATGTAATTGCTCTTATAAAAATAAAACAAAAACAAGCAAACAAATAAGCAAAAACAAATCCACCACAATGCTTCCTTAATGGCAGACAGCCCTGCTGCTTATAAAACCCTGGCACACTGAAAGCCGTAATATACAATGGACTCAGTAGCTGCTACAAAAAGGACTACTATTTATTTAATCTTTTATTGCCTACTTTCTCAGGTTATTAACTTTTTAAATGAAAGATACAAAAGCACAACAACTGAAGATCCACCTAAATTCTATTTTAAAACACTTTATAGTACTTTCACCAAAATAAGACTGTCTCCTAAAGAAAAACCAAAACCAAAATCAAACCATCTTCATCTTCAGTATAGCCTAATATAATCAACAGGTTGGACAAGCCACAGATCCTTTCAGATATTTTACTTTAAGCGAAGTTTAGAAAACTTAGTGTTTACATTAGAAAGAACAAACTGCATTTGGGGATATAATTTGGTTTCTAAATTGCTTACTAACTACTAAAAATTGTTTCATTATAGTACAGCTGAGATAAAATTGGACGCTCTGTATTCAACTTAAGAAGTTCTATTTTCTGTTTATCACAAACTCTAGTTCACTGACCCCCTCAGAGTTACAATATTGTTTTTAGTTGATCAGTCTCTTGGCATATTTAAATATCAACAGCTGGCAAATAAGGAAGTCTCTATTGCTGGCTCTTAACACTATCACATATGTTCCCTTGGCTGTATCCCATTAGACCTTCTTCAATGCCAGACCAAAACATGATAAAATACAAAGTAAACAAGTGAAAAATAAATGTGCTTGCCTTCCAAATGAAATATCAGCAAGTTGAAGATAATGGATTAAAGGATATAACATAGGAAGAGTCTAATTTGAATGGAAGAACTGTGAGCAGAAGGAAATAATCTTCTGATGCTCCAACAGGAACACTAAGAACTTATCTATAATCTAAGTTATTTTTTAAAATGCGGATTTCAACTTAATAAATGGAAAAATTAACATTCTAACAATTTGGATATCTAATGTTATAAAAGGGATTAGTTACTGGAAGTATAAATCTCTCTCAAGGATAATACTTAAAATCTGTTTTAATGGGGAAATATGTGTCAATGAACTCAGAAAGAAACAGAAAGAACTTCCACTCACCTCTTGCACAAACGAAACAAAAGCCTACATTTACAGCAGAGGAAGAATTGCTGCTCCGTTTGGAATGATTACTACAGATGAGAATGTAGGAGGATACAAATATGCTTCCTGCAGCAATGCAAGCATCTCCAGAGTGATAGGCTACTGGACATCTCAAACATCTCATCATGCGACCTATTTAAACACAAGTCAAAAAGGAATCTATGTAACAGGACAGCAGCTCTGAATTTAAATGAGATTTTTGGAGTTGGGTTCTTTGAATTCCCATTTGATGCTGGTTAAAGACACAAACATTTTTCTTCATTGTTTGGTTGTCATTCCTATGCTATGTGCCCCCTAAGTGCAATAACCACCTAGAGATCACTCAAAGAAAGATTTGTCTGTTCCAATGCTGAAGAGATGGTTGTCATTCTATGAACCATGTTAAAGAAATTTTCAAGGATAATTTTGAACATATGTAACTTTCTTCTCATGGTCTGAATGAATGAGAACCTAATCTTCACTTATTCTGCTACTGATTGTGGGTGAGCTGTTATAACTATAGATAAACAGAGGGAGAATGCCATTGTTTCTTATAATAGTGTAGGTAATAAATTATTTACCACTGCACTTAAAACAACAACAGCAAAAAGCATTGTCCCCTTCTTTAGCCCTGTTTTACCTTTACTTGCTTTGTGGATATCTTTCTCCATAGAGCAGGCAGAGCAGCAGTGCTGGGGACAGCGGAATCCTTTTGATTCGAAGATGGCAGTGGGGAATTTGCGGACACAGGCTTCATGATAAAATTTCCCACAAGCACCAACGGAGCAACGCTTCACATCTGTACCAGACACCTTGCATGAAAAACATAGGTGCTGTCCTAGAAAATAAGTTGAGGAATACATATTAAATATGATTAAAGTATATTCTTTATATATAGGAGCAACTACTGACATCAAAGAGTTATCCTCAAAAGATTATGCTAGCATGTATTAAGAATTTAACATACAAAAGAAGGCATTGAAAATAAATGGTTAAATTAAAAGATTATTTAACAAATTTTGTTAGAATAATTGATTTATGGGCCTCCCCGGTGGCGCAGGTGATTGAGCACAGCGCTGTGTTTGTTTTCCACAAATGTGGAAAAACACATGCAACAAAGAAGACAAAGGACTGTTGTTATATAAAGAATTCAGATATGTATCTTGCATATTTTTTATATATCAGCAAAGATAACTAAACAAGACTTATAAAGAATGATACATCAATAAATTGACAAAATATCCGAATATGAAAATGGGCAAAAGGTGAGAATAAGCAATTTACAGAAGGCAAAAAGACAAATAGTCAATAAACATGAAAAATGTTCACCTTCACCATTAATCTGATAAATATTAACACCACAGTATCATTTAAAAATTAATTAGGAAAAAACTTAAGAGAGTTTGATAATGACAACTGCTGATTAGTGTGTAGAGAAATAGGTACTTTTATATATTGCTGGTAGTTGAGATGGAAGGACTATCTTAGAAGGCAGGGAAATACCCATTAAAATAAAAGCACATTCCCTTTCTGTCACCTAGAAATTCCACTTCTTGTTTATCTACATTAGGGAGGACTTGTACATGAAAAGGATGTTGAGTGAAGCATTGTTTGCAACTGAAAGCAACTCAGTGTTCTTCAATAGGGAAATAGTTAAATAAACAATGAAACGTGGGTACTAGGAAGCTTTAGGCAGAAACTAAACAGAATGTATCTGTACTGACATAAAAGAGATCCAAGACAAACTTAGCAAAAAGAACAAGCTACAGAACAATGGTATAACACAATTTCACTACCACACACAGACACACACACATTCACAGGGTCATATACCAAACCGATGAACAGTAGAACCTCTGGTAAGGGCTAGAATTAAGCAAAATTCCATTAAGACTAACGACCAAAAGGAACTTCAGCTTGAGCTAAAATTACAATACTTTCATAACACTGCATTTGTGCATTATTTGTACAATTAGAATAGTAAATTTAAAATACCAGCATAAAAATACCTTTAAAATTGCAAAACATGAATGGACAAGACACACGGAACTGATCATAAGCATGTCAATAAAGATGCAGGAAAAACGGGGGCAATAAAGAGGCAAGAAAGGAGGTAGGTACAGAGGAGGGAAGCAGATAGGGTATTGCAAAAGTGATTTGGTGGAGGTTGAGTAAAACATCTGCATATGTGGAGTAGTAAAAAAATGTAACCCCCCCCAAATTAGAATATTTTTTTAATGCAGAAAAATGGTTGGTTATAAATAAAGAACAACAAAATACAACATTTTCATCACCATTTGTCTTATTATTCTTTCAAGGTAATTATCTTTTCTGTGAATAATTTTAGTATTTTTATCCTTGAGTCTACAGTTTTAATTAGATATCCAGCTATAATTTTGTTATATAATTTTTTATTGAGATTGAGTTTTCACTTTGTATCGCCTGCTTTACATATGAAAATTGAAGTTATTATTGGCCATTTATATATCATCTTTTGAGAAGTGTTCAAGTTTTTGCCCATTTTTTGTATTATACTACAAAAATCTGCATTGCTTGATTCATGAAATTTTTTTTTTAAGTTAGCAGATTCAGCTGTGATTTTCATGTTTTCACCCACTGTTTTTTGTTATAGAAACAATAAGCAAAAATTTTTAGAAATACAGCAGAGACCTCTTTTTTTGTCCTGATGTATAGATATAATTTCAAATTATATTTATATGCATGTAGATATGAAATAATATTTTTAAATTTTTAAAATTTATTCTTGCATAGAAGAACTGGGGTGTATTATTTATTTTTGCATAGAAGAACAGATGTGTGTGTGTAAGAGGATTTACCATAGAGAGAGTGGGGAGTAGAACAGGCGGATTGATTGAAATATACTGCTAAGGGGCACAGCAGTGAAACAGGAGAGGTCTGCTGTGCCATATGTGGGTCAGTTCCCTGACCAGGGATCAAACTCAGGCTGTAGTGGTGACTTAACCCCTAGACCACCAGGAAGGCCCCATGAAATAATATTTTTTAAAAGTAGCTTTTAGAAATCTTGGGCCTCCTTGATGGCGCAAGGAGTTAGCATGCAGCCTATGGATCTGTCCACAGTCACTGCAGCATGAGTTCGATCCCCAGCCAGGGAATTGCCCACATGGCGCGGCAGACCTCTCCTGATTCACCTGCTGCTCCCCTCAGCAGTGTATTTCGGTAGTTCTGCCTGTTCTGTTCCCCACTCTGTCTCTGGTGAATCCTTTCACCCCTTCCCCTGACACTTCTAGCCTGTACCCCAGTTCTTACATGCATAAATAATCTTTAAAAAAAAATTAGGGCCTCCCTGGTGGCGCAAGGGGTTAAGCACTGCACTATGAAGTAATCCGCAGCCTCTGCAGCACAGGTTCAATCCCAGGCCGGCCAGGCCAGGGAGAAACCCACATGGCGAGGCAGACCTCTCCTGACTCAGGCGCTGCTCCCCTCAGCAGTGTATTTCAGTCAATCTGCCTGTTCTATTCCCCACTCTGCCCCTGGTGGATCCTCTTACCCCCTGCATCTCTGACCTGTACCCAGCTCTTGTATATATTAATAAATAAATCTTTAAAAAAAATTAAAAATAAAGTAATTTTTAGAAATTTTAAAATTGAAGAAAATTATCTTAAGAGGTTTGACTTTACAATTTTATCTAATGCAAAAACTTCTGTATGTAAAAAGAGGCTTTCACTTTCATAATGATCAAAGTGAGTATAAAATAAAGAAAAATTATTATAACTAATGATACTGTTATATTAATAGAGAGCTGAGTGATGAAAACCTTTTAAGACTTATGTTTAAAATTATAGCATATGATACTTCTAATACGCCTCCTTCTCACTAGGATATGGCCTTCATCTAGACAAATAACATAAAATTTCAAGTGATACATTTTATTCAAAAGGGCAAATGTAAATACTTTCTAAAAATCTGTTTTCTTAAACAATAGAGTGGTAGTGTAAGAACTTTATTATGTATGTATGCTATAATACTTTTCATATATAAAGTGTACATATTTTGATAAACATAAGAAAATTTCCTAAAAGACCTTAAATAATGATTTGAAAAACCTGAGTCTTAATCCTATGTTTAAAAGATACCAAATAGTATAAACTAATTTTCATGTAATAATGAATTGAAATCAAAAGCTAAAAGGTAATTTTAAAATTGTAGTTAAATATATAACATAAAATTTACCATTTTATCCATTTTTAAGTGTATACTTCAGAGACATTAAGTACATTCACATATCTGCAACCATCTCCAGAATTTTTTTATTATCCCATATTGAAACACTATATACCAAAAAGCTCCTCTTCCCCGCCACAACTGTTCTACTTTCCATGAATTTACCTACACTAAGTAACTACGGTTAATCATGCATAGTAGTGGAATCATGGAATATTCGTCCTTTGTGTTTTGCTTATTTCCCTTATTATGAAAACATAATGATGTTTTCAAGGTTAATCCATGTTGTAGCATGTATTAAAATTTCATTTCTTTTTAAAGCTAAATAATATTCCATTGCCTGTACATACCACATTTTGTTTATCCATTCTTCCATTGATGGTTATTTGAGCTGTCTCCACTCTTCTGGCTGTTACGAATAATGTTGCAACGAATATGTGCTTAAGTCCCTGCTTTCAATTCTTTTAGGTATATTCACAGAGGAAGAATTGCTGGTTCATACAGTAATTTCCACATTGGCTATACCATTTTACATTCTAACCAATAATGTGTAAGGGTTTCAATTTCTCCATACTCTGCTCAAAACTTGTGGTTTTCTGTTTTATTTTTGATAATAGCTGTCCTAATGAGTGTAAAGTAGCATCTCTCTGTGGTTTTGAGTTGCATTCCCTGGATTACTAACGATGTTGAGCATTCTTCATGCTTATTAGCCGTGTGTGTGTGCATGTGTGCGTGTGTGTCTTTAAAGAAATGTCTATGAAAGTATTTTGCCTAATTTTGAACAGAGCTGTTTTGGTTTTTTGGCTGTTACTGCTGTTGAGTTGTAGGAATTCATATATTCCAGATATTAGTCCTTTGTCAGACATATGATTTGTAAAAATTTTCTCCCATTTTGTGGGATGATTTTTCTCTCTGTTGATAGCATTATTTGGTATATAAAGTTTTTAATTTTGATAAAGTTCTATTTATTTATTTATTTGTTTGTTTGTTTGTTTATTTATGCCTTTGTCTTTGGTATCATATCCAGGAAATCACTGCCACATCCAATGTTATGGATTGTTTTTCCAGGTCTTCTTCCAAGAGTTTTATAGTTTTAGCTTTTATGTTTTGGTCTTTGATGCATTTGAATTAATTTTTGTTTATGGTATTAGGCAAAGGTTAAACTTCATTCTTTGAATGTGTATATCCATTTTTCCAGTATCATTTGTTGAAAAGGACTGTCCTTATTCTATTGAATGGCCTTTATACCTTGTCAAAAAATCATTTGACCATATATGCCAATGTTCATTTTCGGGCTTTCCATACAATGGAATAGACTTATATGTCTCTTTATGTCAGTACCACACTGCTTTAATTACTGTAGCTTTGCAGTAAGTTTTGAAATCATGAAGTATAAGCTTTCCAATTTTGTTCTACTTGTTTTTTTTTATTGTTTTTAAAGCAAATTTCCCATTAAATTTCCTTACAGCTATATACCAATTAGATTATATCTAATTTTTGTTGGCAGAGTGTTGATGCATCCGGAAGTTAGAAGTACTCAGTATTTTAATACTGATATATATGGTCCTTTTAATAAGTAGTCTAAATCACAGCAAACAAATGTTTAAGGAGTTAAGCAGGTTACATAAATGACTGGAGTGACAGCGTTTTAGAAAAAAAAAAATGATAAGGAATATGGGATACCAGTAATACATGCCCAATTCGTGTTCAGACTTTCAAAACACATTTTGAGAGCCAAAGGAAAGGACGTGGAGATAATTTGACCCCCAGGTTGCCAGTTGACGTACTTCAAACTAAAAAATTATTACTCTAATGGAATTTAGAATAAAAGGATTTTAAGAGACAACAATCAAAAATCATAAATATCTGTGAAGATCAAATAAAGGAAGTGAACATATTATAAATACTTGATATTTATATTATAAATATAATATTTATTATATATTAGCATATTATAAATACTTGATCAGCATATTATAAATACTTGATATGCAATTGGCTCATAGTTCAGTATAGCAAAAATGAATTAAAAACAAACAAAAAAATCACAAAAACACAGCTGTGAGGGGCACTATCATACCACCTCTGGTCGACTTTTCATTTACTGTGTTACAACTCTACTCTGACTTTCTTTGACCTTAACTAGAACCATGGTTACAAAGAGAAGAAATATAAACTTGCATATTTCTTTTTCAATTATTTTGATAGAATCTAGTCTATGTATGGGGGAGGTAAGAAATAAATGGTGATTCCCAAACTCCCATGTTTTAAAAACAATTTCCAGTAATTCTATCTTTCTACTAAAATTACAATCATTATGGTTATAGTTTATGACTGACATTTATTCCAATTTATTAATATCAAAGAGGCTGTAAACCAATTTATTAAACACAAAATCCTCAAATCCAACTGAAAAATAATTGCATATACACACTTTATATAGCTCTTTCAATAGAACAGAACAAGTACATCTCAATGAGTTGATATATTTTATGGTAAAAGCACTGGTGGGAGTACATCAGACCATAACATTGCTAACTGCTCTTTAATCTTAGGAATGCAAATCATTGAATGGTCTTAATTTGTTGAAATACCTATAGGAGAGGATAAGAGCTAGATCAAAGGCAGTTAGTGAATTAGACGTCATGGGAGATGATGGCATTGCATATTCCTCTCTAGTCATCTTTCCATATTTATGAAAGTAAGAAAACTTACCAGTTTTACATTCCATGCAGATAAACTTTCCATCAGAGAGTGATGTCAGTCCTAGGCACTCCAGGTGAAAGTATTTGCAGCACTCTCCCTCACAAGGAATCAGAGAATCACCAGAGCTTTCACAAATCTGTAATATGGCAAAAGGCAATGGTTCTCAAACTTTAGCTAGCACCATAATCACATGGACGTTCCATTAAGACAGACTGTTGGATCCCTCCTCCCAGTTTCTGATCCAGTAGGTATGTGATGGGGCCCAAGAATCTGTGTGTCTAAGAAGGATCCTGACAATGCAGATGCACATTGTCCTCAGCCCTCACTTTGAGAATGGCTGAACTAGATAACCATTTCCAGACCCAATATGGAATAAAGTTTAAAACACATACATACTTGATCTTTTATAATTCCTTCTTTGAAATCTGCATACTTTTAACTTTTCTTCACAGGGCAAAACAGTATTTTTCAAAAATGGTAAATACACATTTAAAAAGTACCAACTTGGGCCTCCTGGTGGCGCAGCGGGTTGAGCACAGCACTGTGAAGCTGTCCGCAGCCTCTGCAGCGCAGGTTCGATTCCCAGCCAGCCAGGGAGATTCCCATACGGCGCATCGGTGCCCAATGCTCCCCTCAGTGCTGTCGGTCTGTCTGCCTGTTCTGCTCCCCACTCTGTCTCTGGTGAATCCTCTCACCCTCCCATGCCTCTGGCCTGTACCCCAGCTATTGTATAAATAAAAAATAAATCTTTAAAAAAATTAAAAAATACCAACTTAAGTTTAAGTAATGCTTTTGAAATCAGTCATTTGACATTTACTTTCAATTAATAGTAGATTAGCACAAGACAACTTTCGCATATAAAAAGTAAGCATTCCAACTCAGAAAGAGAAAAAAAGTTAGATAAGGCTTTCAGATCTGCAGCTTTAAAGTAATGTCATTCACTTAGAACACAAATAAGTATATTATTAGCAGAATATAGCAGCTGTTTCACCCTACAGGACAGGTCACTTGCCTACCTGACACACAGTATCCTTCTTACTCATTCCAGCGCCTCTTCTCGAAAAACTTGAATCCACAGACTGCACATCAGAAATGTCTGCATCTGCAGTAGCTGAAGGGCTATCTACTTGCTTCCCAAAGCCTACCTATATGGAAAACAGCACATTTTTTTTAAAAAACAATTTTTTTCTCAAACTTAGGTATTATGAAAACCCTAGTAAGACTTGCTCAAATAAACCTTGATACAAACTCTTTTCCTTTCTTCCTAAAACCCCTGGATATCATAAGTTTGGTGTTTTGAGAGAAACTGTAGTTCAAATCAAAAAGCTTGAAACAAACTAGGTTTCCTTTATGTGAGAGATCAGCAAAATGAAGGTACTTATAAGGTATAAAATAACCACAATGATTTCTTTTTCATGCATATGTTTAAAATCTTCCCAAATAAGTCAAGCCAAACATTGTTACTTGGTTTTGCAAAGCAAAAAAGAGCACTGTGCCCAGACCCTTGGCCATATTTACCTGCAGATCACTCAGTCCTCTAGAATCGGAGTCAGATGTGTCTCTGTATGCTGAACTAGTCATTTCTACATCAGTTGAGGCGCGACTCCTTTTCTTTAGAGGTTTACAGGAATCTGAAATCTCGCTGGCACCTTAATACAACACACTGAAATTAATCCTAAAATAGTGCTTAAAGTTTGTTTTAATTTTTCTGTGGGACAATATTTTCTTTCCCCAAACTCATCTGTAGTGTAAAAAAAGCACAGCTCTTTGTAACACTGAAGTCATAAGTCAAAACTTCTTAAGCTCCTGACCTTCCTGAGAGTGAGTGATTTAATTTTACAACCGCTCTATAAAAACACTTAATTCGGTGCTCCTGCTCTAAAATTATGTTCAGTAAACAGAGCCCAAGTTCCAACCTAAGAATCAATTTATCAAAACTGCAGGATAGTTGATTGATTTGGAGCAATCAAAGAACCATTCAATTTGGAGGGGGGGAAGAAGACATAAACCCAACACACTGTGTAGCTTACAAATATGGTCGCAGAGACATCTCCATCTTGTTTTTATTAGGGATGTGACAAATCTTTGATTTGTATTCGATTCGTACACGGATAGTGCCATTTTCCCCCGAATTTTGCAATTCAGTTGATTATTGCCCCCCACATAAATTTTGGATGTTCATAATTGTTCATCTGAGACTTCCTTGGTGAAGTGGCATTTATTGTGACCATGAACAAGTGCTGCAGCATATCTACATATGTCATGCCATTTAGGAGGCACACTGCTGAGGGTTGTGAACGGACAATCAATGTTCAAGTGCAGCCAAATTACGAAGAGCTGGATGAGAGGCCTTTATGTGGAATTTGTATGGGAAGGAATATGAAAAAAAAAAAAAAAAAAAAGGCAGAGAATAGTGTGGAATTTTTTTTTAAAATTGTGTGTAATACAAATCCAGCCAAAACAATAGTGCAAAAAGTTACAAAGCAACAATCTCTTGGGCTAATGCAGTATAGGCTATACAGAAACAGCCACGATGAAATGTGCAGATCAGGCACGGTGAATACCAAGGAACCAAGGAGACGGTTAATATTTCAACCCACAGTTTGTGTTTTGGATATTTCCCCCAAAATTTCCATACAACAAACAGACATCTAGATCAGCCCAGCAAGCTATGGTGGAAGTGTGCAGTCCAGAAGAGACCACGGAGAAACAAGTCTCCTGAGGCCATGAAGATCCGCAACAGGCTGAGTGAGAGCAGCACTTGGTATACAGCATGTTCTGTGGTGGAGGATGTGGGCCTCGTTAGACTGCTCAGATTACTGGAACCTTGTTATCACATCCCATTCTACAAGTTTTTCACTGAATGTTTCCTTACATCTATAAATGAGGGTGCCTGCCCATGTTAACGCTGATTAAAAAACACAAGTACACAAATCTATCTCCTTCATTGCTGGTGTATGGACCCAGAACACCACCACAAAATATTTCCTTGGCCTACAAGATCACTGGATTAACAAGGAGTTTTAACAGAGGAACAGGAGTGTTGTACTGAGAGGCTTTCCAAGGGAAACACAGGTACCGCCATATTTCCGATGAGTTTCTGAAAATGCTAGAAAAATGACAGACTGCCAAAGACAGCTGTCATGCTGTTCTCCATGATAACGGCACTAATAAAAAAAAGAACTTTTAATGATTGTAATGTATACAGTTTGGGCTGTTTGGCAAAACCCTGCAGATGTGCATTAATGATGCTTTATTTGAAAACAAAAAACAAAAACAGTCCATGTTGATCAGTGTAAGTTAAACGATGGTTTTTAGGCTGGACCCCTGATTTAAGCTGTACCCATCCAGCTCAGACCGAAAAAAAGAAAAATCATTTGAATGTTAAAGCAATTGTTCAGAGTCTTGAAGAAGAAACCAGGCAGGAAAATGCCAATAATGATGTTTGGCAAATCAAAATTGAAAACAAAGAAACTGTTTATCGAGCCGCCGACAAAGAAATCTTGCATGGAGACTACAAGTCTGGAGTTTCTGGGATGAAATTGTACAGGAATCTCAGTCCACAGTTTCCTCAATCGCTGCGGAGACGGAGCTGTCACTGAATCTGACAGAGCCCTGCACTCCCCGGTCCGCCGACCCTGTGGAATGGTGGAAACACAACGCAATCAGGCCTCCTAATCTCGCAGCGATCGCGATGTCTTTTCTTGGAGCTCCGCCAAGCAGTGTTCCCTCCGAGAGGCTGTTCAGTTCTGCTGAGGATCTCCACGGAGACCATCGCTGCAGACTTCTCCCCGAGAATGCAGAGAGGCTGGTGTGTTTTTTTTTTTTTTTTAAATAATGCAATTTGCCCAGAGTAAACTACAGGTATTAAATACAGTTTGAATGATCTCACCAAAAACGCACGAATCATGCTATGGAGTTTGTACTGTAGTCAAATTGCACACAGAAAATACAGATATAAGTTTAAGGTTTCTTAAACTTTGTGCATATTTCAAATAGATTTGCATAGGTCATCTAATGATGGCCATAAATATGCCATGAATCATTTTAATTTACAAAAAGATTTTACAGCACTGTAAAAATAAATGTGGCAAGATTTTTTTTCAATCTGGTGTCTTGTCTGATTTGTCATTGTCCATGTTTGACAAACATTAATAGCTACTATTCGGTATTCAGTCGAATACCAAAAAAAGTGGATTCGTCACATCCCTAGTTTATGAACCAGTGAAACCCCAGAATCTTATGGAGAAAAGTTGGAAACAGTATCAAGTCTACATGGTGTTCTCCAATTTACCAAAACAATTATGACTTTTTACATGGAGGTACAGAATAAGATAAATTCTGTAAGTCAAACACACACACACACATACACACACACAAACACTAGGGAATACTGCAATTTCACACAAATTATTGACTGAAGAGCAACAACAATGATTAAACATAGACAAACAAAAATACGTGAATACAAATAATTCTTAAAAATTGGTTTTAATCAAGGAAATGCAAAGCCACATTATAATAACTCACCTTTCTGTAATCCAGTCTTCACAGTAGCCTGAGGAACTGTTTCAACCTGTTTGAACAGAAAAATACAGCATTAACAAGAAATTTTTTTCACTTTTAGTAACAGAGGGAAAAAATAATATTTTCATCAATCTAAGTTAAGATGAGTGATTAATGTATCTGAAATCTGAACTCAGTCCCATATTCTGGGTAAAAGTCTCTGTCTCGAGGTCGGGTAGGGTTAAAGCCTCGCTGCCTGTGCTGAATACCAAGTGACAACACACAGCCACATGCTCTCTAGCAGACTTTTCCCACCATACCCTTGGTATATGAAGAGAACAAAAATACTTTCCTCAGTGTCTGGGAGGCAGGAGAGGGGTTGTTTCTGCAACCAGCCCCAATGTTGCTATAAACCCCTCCCACCCCAAAGACGTTAGGATAAATTTTTACTTACTATGATACTCAGGTTAATGTAACTCACGCCACTTTAAGACCCTTCCGCGCCTGCACTCACAGCTAAGTTGCTGGGAATCAGGACCCTCTCTGTAGAGAGTGCTACAGGGCTCCATACAGCTGGAAGCTCAATACTTTTGCTGCTAGTACAAACTTAAGAAAATAAGTTTGTGATATTGCAAAAGCACTTTCTTGAGTGTCTTATGAACAGTGTCTTGATCCTACATTAGGAGAGCGAGATCAGAAGTTATTCTGCCAATGTATATGTAAAACACGTGGTAATTTGAGGACCATTGTAATTAAAGAGAGGATGCTGTTTGGAGGAGTTCCTGTTTAAGCTATGAATTGAATTTTATGTTTCTTTAAGATGTGGTGAAATATGCATGTTGAAACACATTTTGTAAATATGTAAGGATTGTTCTAAGCTTTTTAAAAAAAATTTTATTTTTTTTTACAGCAAGTAAAAAAACATACAACAGAAGTGCTTTTATAAGATACAATTAGTAATACAAATATAAAATCTTCTAAACAATCACTGGTATTGATCTACTACTAACTATAACACAGTGGCATTAACAATTTGTCCCATTTTTGCACTCATTCTGCTTATTAATTTTAAACTGACTGGTCACAGACTGAATTTGGGAACCAGCTGGCAAAATCACAAATTCATTTTGGTAATGAATACTGTAGATTTGCAAGAGCTTAGAAAGATTTTTTGGAATATGATTTCCTATGTATGAAAGTTAATTATGGTAAATAAATGACAAATTAGTATATTTTTAAAATTTTAGTTTAATATTTCTGGGAAAATGGTTTTACATGCTTGATGCTACCATTGTATACCAACAGATTCACCTTGTAAGTTTCAGAGTTTAAAATTATGAAGGAAATAATTTAAATAGAAAAGTCCACACTCTTCCATATTAAGCAGTTTAAAAATATATAGCTTGTTGGGACTAACATTACTCAGAATTTTTTTTATTTAATTGCAGCTGTCTGGGCTGTAAAAATGAATATTATTCCACTTTAAAAAAAATAGGAAAAAATTCTATTGTGAATTTAATTTAAATGAGTAATGGTTTCTAAAAATTTCTTTGAAAAGGTTATTTAATATATATATAACTACATTGATTACAAAGGTTTAGGACCCTTCAAATGCCCCTCCTCTTTTTTTTTTTTTTTTTCACTTAAATAGTGTGTATCTGATAACCCAATAATAGGTGAGTGCCATTCCACTGGGAAAATAACATTCCAAAAAATCTGTCATGCCAACAGAAAAATCAGACGATCTATGATTATGTTTCTTAAATATAATTCTTATAAATTAGATTTGTTTAAAAAATAAAAACAATACATACCAGCAGCTTAAACCAAAAATCAAAATTAAGGAAAAAAGGGAACTCAATGATGGTTCCAAATAAAAATCATGAAAACATGAAATCATTTTTCTCATAACAGAAATTTCAAATTAAATATGAGGATTCTTTAAGAGTCTTGCACCACTGGCTTCCCATCTCCTGACGCCTGACTGTTTTCTGTGAAAATGCTTGAAGCAGAATCACAGAGATGGCTGTTAGAATTAGGTTCTGGAACTCACCATAGAGAAGCATAACATAGTCCAGAAAGGAAACCCAGTGTGGAAAAAGTTTCTCTTTCTTTTAAGATACCAACAGAAGCCACAACATTTACAAATATAATGTATTAACTCTCTACATGTAGGAAGCCAACCTGCTCCTTTTTGATCTTCTTCTTTGGCACAACCTCAGTGGATTTCTCTGATTCAGATCGTGTTCTAATTGATCTTCTCTGTTGCTTCTTTTCTACTGAGCCTAAGAGATGATTAACACAAAGACTCATTTAAGGATCTCTTAAGAATGCCTAAGGATGCGTTAAGGATAAATATATGACATTTATATAATTTAAGATTTGACCAAATTCCCTAATTTCTAATCCATTTATTTGGTCTTTTATTTATAAATCATTAAAAATCTATTAGGTACTTGGGAACACAGACAATATTTTTATAGCTCAAACTGTAAAGGTTGATAGGTTGAAATTGGGAATTCATTAAGGACCCTAAATTATACAGATAAAGATGTACTAAAATTATAAATTCTAACTAAAAATAGCAACAGCAGAGAAATAGTTTAATTTTAAAGGCAGGTATGTTCATTTAGGTAACTATGATTGAGGGGAAGAATGAAATGACTTCATTAACCAGTTGACATTAGGAATTATTGGTTCAAAATTCAACCAGTACTACATATTTTGCATTTTAACAAATGAATTAAATTCTACATGTAAAAAACTTAACAATGATTCGTATGCTTTTATGTTTTACGATTGGTATTAGCCAAAGGAAAAAAAGCAGGAAAGGCACAAAAATGTGACCAAAACTAAATTGTTAATTTGAATATAAAGGGAATTGTTATGCTTTAGAAAGTCAAAGAAAACCAGTTAAAACAAATTATCAAGCTTTTTCATGTTAAATAGTAAAACAATAAGCTACTAAGATTTTTAAACAGTAAAATTCTTTGAAAGTAAACAGAAGAAAACTCACATGGACCCCATTTTTGGAAAGGATAAAACATAGATTGAAGACCACAACTTGAAAGAACACTAAGTCAGGGATGATTTCATTCTGTGATCCTGAGAAGGAATGATACCTTCAGTGCAGCTGTTCTTCATCTTTTCATTGCTTGGACCACCTAAATGGTCCTTCTTAGATAATAAATCATCTTTCACTTGCCAAGGGAAAAGCTACTAAGACCTATAAAATCAGTCAGAAGCTATTTAAATAAAGCCTGCCATATCAGCTTATTTATTTTCTGATTTCATTGCTCTTGGTTATGTAAATAGTTTCCTTCATCATAGCACAATGCCAAATCAAAGAAAGATTCCACTATTTTTGTTTGTGAGAAGGAATGGGGAGTTTGATCATTATATATTGCTACTGAGCTATGGTTATTTCTAGGAGGAAAATCAAAAATGAAGATATTGGCTCCTTCCTTTACCCTCACTCTTCTTTATACTGATGAAAGTGTTGGACAACAGATACACTACCCTTATAAACACCTGAATATCCAGAGATCCATACTTTAGAATAGTCATCAATATTCAAGTACCTATATCAGGGAACAGGAATATGAAATAGATCTGCCTAAGACAAACAAAAAAAATCTTTGTTTTGATGATGACTATAATTTTCCATCAAGTGCAGATAACATTTGATCTAAAGCAACATGACTTTTTAGAAAATAGCTTAGAAATCTAGTATAAATGCAATTTTTCAAACTATAGAGATGAATGTGTATCTCACCTGCTTATTAGGAAAAAGCTCAAGAATTCTCCCAAAGTATTTAACACCAACTGAGATAATGATGCAATTGATTTCTGAAGGGAAAACTAAGTCAAAGTTGTGGAACACTAATCCCTAAATTAAGGTTCTAATATTAATTTACAACCTAATTATCGTATGTATGCCTAAGGAAGGAAGTAGGCTACCTTTTTCCAGATACAAAGAATTAGAACCTTGCATTTTATCTTTCACTTTAAGAATAAACAATTCATAGCAGAACTTAAATCTTAAAATGAAAAGAGCATTAAAAAATGTTTAGTAGTTGCAGGTAAGGAAAAACCAAGCTTCATTAAAAATAAACAAAATATTTAAAATCACTGTACTACTAAATAAAAAATTGACTTTTCCCCTAGTTAGGATTAGATGTTTAAATAAAGGTTCTCCTAGCTTAAGTACCATGCTTACATTCAAATTAACAATTGTGTAAAGATAACAAAATGATAACTATGGGTAGGTGAGGCCAAATATTTTTTAATACACAAAGAAGGGAACATTTTTAATGATAATTAATGCAAAACCTAAGTCCGTTATAATTTCACTTTTAATGCAATATTTTGAAATTATAGAAGCTGCAAATCTTGTTGTGAACTTAGCCACTCCCTTCTTTCTGCAACACAGCTCCCTTTCCCAACCCAATTTTGGATAAAGGCATACTCTTTAACATGATCTATCCAATATATGCCCCATGCCCTCTGCCACTACCTCTCCCTGTCCTGAAGGCCCCATATTTTTCTTAAAGGAAGCTAGCCCAATCTTTCCTAAAAAATGATTATTTTATTTAGCTTTTATAAGAATCTTACTCAAAAGTTCCCTTAAAAAACATATTTGCCACAGGCCTACCCTGGTGGCCCAGCAGTTGAGCGCTGAGCTGCCAGGCTGCCCGCAGCCTCTGCAGCGCCAGTCCCCCCCCTCCCCTCCCCGCCACCGGCGAGGGTTCCACCAAAAAAAAAAAATTGTCCCTTGTTGCCATACAATCACAGATTTGCCTGAGTTACAGCTGATTCAAGATTATTACCTTCGGTTATAAGACTTCAATACTTTCTGGAAAATTATTTGGTCACTTACTAGATTGCAAAAAAATTTAAAAGAACAAAGAACTAAATTCCTTTCTCCTTTATTAAGATTCTCAGTGACCAAGCTAGGTCATATATAACTCTTTTCTTGATAACTGCATGAAACAGACAGTTAAAATGATCCTCAGTTAAGTCTCTTTATAAAAATTACTTTGACCATTCCAAGGGGACAATATTCCTGAATATAGGCATTTTTCTTTTAAGCAATAATAATACAGTTTGATTTTCAATTCTTGGTATCTGTTAATCAGAGAATAAACAATAATAGAAGAGTTAGGTCCTAGGTCATTAGCTGCTAACATATAGCACACCTAAGAAATATGAAAAAAGCCTGGGCAGCTACTAATGTTTCCAACAGGGGACAAGGGAGAAAATATTAAGAATGTTTTGACAATGCTGGAAAAGTAAGTGCAAAGATAGATAATCAAATGGTCCATGTACTCACTTATGTGCAGATTTCATAACTACACTCTTAATTACAGAACCCTCCTGTTATTTAAACTTCTATTGGAAAAGTGACTATTGCTATGAAAAAGGTCTTTATTAGCCCCTCAACCAATCTTTCCTATTGAAATTACTGATTTTATAATTTAATTTTTTTAAATATAATTTGATTTTGACAACTAAAAGTTTCTTACACACATAGCTATCGTATTATCACAGAACAAAACTATGACCTCTCAAAATAGATTCATACATTCTTCATTCACACCAACCTGTAAGACCAGATGTTGGTTCAGGAGACGATATATTCTGAGTTGCCTTTTCATTTCTCTGGTTTGGTGTAGAAATTATAAGTCTGTCTTGTCCTCTGACGCTTATTTCTGTTTTATTACCAATTCCCTTAAAAATAAGGCAAATTAAAAAATTGGTGATTAGCAGGCAAATGGCATCACTGGTTTAGAAATATAGTTTAAGATGATCACAGTTTGCTTGATTTTTATATAGTCTGATTAGAGTGAATTATCTTAACCATTATCAGAAAGATTTTATTTAGTTATCAGTATGTTTTCTAAATGCCCAATGTAGAGTATGTAGGAAAAAAAACTAACACTAAAAAATGAAACTATGTCATCTAATTTTCTGTCAAAATCAAAATATTCTCTGTCTTGAATATAACAGTAAGAGAACTCTAAGTCATTTTCATTTGGTAAAACACATTATTACATAGGTAGATGTGTCACCACATCTTAAAAGACAAAATATTCTTCGATATAGAAATATGCCATTCATAGTTACCAAAATGTGGCCAATAAGCAGTCAGAACAGACAGAAAGTAGGTACAATTACAGTTCTGTCACATTTTAGGTATTTCTAATGCAATGAAACAAAGGAGTGATTTATAATATATATATAGTTGCATGTTTGTATTTTTAAAGCCTTCATTTTGAAAAGACCAGTTTTATATTGAATTTCACTTAAAATAGCACTCTTTGGAGGAAGTGACAAAGTTTGATTTGTGCATCCAAAAGTAGATCAAACCAACTCAAAAATGAAGCCAATTTGCAGTGAAAAAAAAAAAAGATGCAAAACATTCATTCAACAGAACCAAGTGGGTTTTGAAGATTTTTTTTTTTTAAGATTTATTTTATTTATACAAGAGCCGGAGTACAGGCCAGATGTGGGGGAGGGTGAGAGGATTCACCAGAGACAGAGCGGGGAACGGAGCAGGCGGACTTAAGAAATACTCTACTGAGGGGAGCAGCGGGCGACACAGGAGAGGTCTGCTCGCCATGTGGGACCCTTGCCGGCCGGCAGGGATCGAACCGGTGCTGCAGAGGCTGGGAACGGCTTCACAGCGCTGCGCTCAACCCCCTGTGCCACCAGGCAGGCCCTGAAGATTTTTTTTTTTAATTTTATTTATGCATGCAAGAACTGGGGTGTAGGCCAGAGGTACAGGGGTTGAGAGGATTCACCAGAGACAGAGTGGGGAGCAGAACAGGCAGATCTATTAAATTACATTGCTGAGGAGAGCAGCGGAAGAGACAGGAGAGGTCTGCTGAGCTATGTTGGTTAGTTCCCTGGTGGGGATGGAACTCAGACCACAGGACTGGCAATAGCTTGATAGCACTGAGACTTTAACGCCTGTGCCACCAGGGAAGCTCCCCCAAGTGGGTTTTGTACCTTAAAATTTTTACAAGCAGCTTAACCTTACCACAATTGGTTGAACCTATAAGCAGAAACAGGCTAATAGAGGGTGCTTACACTACTCTCTAGGAAAATATACAACTAATGAAGCATACTTCATTATTTTAATGTATATATGATGATGTTAGGAAATAGATACTGAAATCTTTGAAAGTATACATCCACGAGGTTCCACTAAATTGAATTTACAAACCCAAAATTGTGGTTTGGATTGGAAGGCTAGTGCAGGGATATATGAAATATTACAAATGTTAGGAAAGAATTTCAAAACCTTTAGGCAAAAGTATAAGTGCCCAAAATGGGCTGATGAAGACACTCTATTTGAAGAAGCTATTTTCACCCTATTCCAAATTATCACTGTATTTAACTGTTACAGAACCATCACAGTTCTGTCATTTCTCTAAAATGCATTTAGATATCCTAAGTCAACATGGGCCTAACAAAACTGCTGGTGCAATCAAACAGATCAGCAGGTATAATTATTACAATGGTTAATTCCATAATAGACAAAAATGATTTCACAAGAAGCACACTTTGCATCTAGGAAAAACTAACTATACAAACTAGAAATAGGCAAAGTGCCCAGTTTTTTCCCACAACTGTAGGAACCTAAGCTCAATTTTGGCTACACAGTTCAAGATTAATCTAGTACAGATGGGGATATTACAAAAGGGGGTGTGGGGGAACCATAGCCCTTTTGCCCATGTCTTTTTTGCCCTATCTAAAACAGAGTAAACTTACCGTACATTTTTAATGCAGTGGCTACAAAAGCTACATAAACTATAATTTTGGGTTTCTTGTTTTTTGTTTAAATGCCAAGACTGACTACCTATTAAATATCATCCCCCAAAGAAATTCGTTAAAAAAAAAGAGGTACCTTTGTTGAATAAACAAATTGGTCAATAAATTTCCCATCTCCTGTAGCATTCTGAAGAGCAAACACTTGTTCAATTTTCACAACTGGAGACATGTTACATTTCTGCAAATCCAGGCTCCCTTTGTGCATTGTAATTGAAGCTGGTAAGGATTTCCTTGCTGCTGCTGTTTTCCAGGCAATTTTAACAGGAGGTGCTTCTTCCTCTTCCACACTGGTATGCCGCCTCTGGCTATGTCTCCGATTTTCAGTACTTGATAGTGAGGAAGGTACCTCACCAGCATTGGTCTGTTCTGGCTGAGTATTCAGCACTGATCTTGGTCTTCGAGTTTTTTTAACTTCAGCTTTGGAGCCAACATTCTTTTTTGCTTGGGATAAAGCCTCCTCAGGCTGTTTATCAATATAGATAAAAGTATATTGTTCTATCCTTTCCTCTCGGGTCATTTTCAATGCTTTCTCAGCATGAGCAATGCCTATATCCCACTGAGCACGTTCTCTCTGAGGTCGGGGTTTCCGAATCTTAAAAAAAAATAATAATAATACAATAACATAATCGGACATGCTCTGATCTAATAGGTACATTTAAGTCAATTAGCATTTCCCATGTACTCTTTCTAGGTATGCATAAAAGTCTTCAGGTTCTTCAGTCAAATAAATGAAATGTTCTAGCTCCATAATTCTGATAAACCACTATAAGATGACATGCAGGCCTACTCTTCTATAAATCCTCCTTTGTGGACCACTCTGCTGAACAAATCCCTTAAAGAGGGAGTCACTCATCTCACATCATATTCATGAAAAAGCTAGCAATAATGAGGGCAAAGAGAAGATTATAGAAATACTTACTTTCCGTGGCCAATAAAACACCAACATTAAAAATGATACCCTAAGCTCACAGTGCTACCAAGAACACAACAAAGCTAAATGGTAAAAAGCAAGCACTGTAAAATGTGCTGCTAGTTTGATCATAATGCAAACACGGACAAGATGAAGAGAAAGGAGAGAGGCTAGGAAACAAGTGAAAGCTGACAACACATAGAAAAGCACGAATGGATGAAAAAAAATAAACCTGAACTAGTTTCTATAGGTCGCTGTCCACAGCTAATCAGAAGATTTTGAATTGACAAGAAAAAAGATAAAACTTTAAATAAAGGTATACGAGATAACCAAAGCAATTAAGAATTATCCACGGGCCTCCCCGGTGGCGCAGCGGTTGAGCGCTGGGTTGCGAAGCTGCCCACAGCCTCTGTGACGCCAGTTCGATCCCCGGCTGCTCCCCGGCCACGGGAGGAGGGTCCCGCATGGCACACAGACCTCTCCTGCCGCCCACTGCTCCCCTCAGCAGTGTACTTCGGTCCTTCTGCCTGCTCTGCTCCCTGCTCTGACTCTGGTGAATTCTCTCACCCTCCTGCGCTTCTGACTGTACCCAGTGCTTGTATGTATAAATAAATATTTTAAAAAAAAAATTATCCAGGGGATTACAGGCGGCTCAGGTATGCAGAAATCAACTAATGAAGCTGTTAAATGGCTTCTTTAGCCATATGTTGAATGCTGATATCTAAATCTGTAAAATGTTCAGTCTGATAAAAGTAATCAACCCCTTTGTGAAAAAAATTAGCAAATGACAAAGTTCTGAATCACAAGAGACCCACACTAAAATAGGTTGATTAAAAATCTCAACTAGAACAAAAATTTCAGCCAAATACTAAAATACCTACTACCACGTCAAACATATTTCTTGGTTCCATCATTTGTGTGACCTTGACTGAACCAGTTACTTAAGTTTTTTAGGTAACAATTTCTCCATCTGTGCAGACACAAGTAATAGTATCTACCCCATTTATGTTATAAAGATTAAAGGAATTATTAAAATTAATAATTTAAAATAGCACCTGTCTCAGCAAATATTTTTAAAACTACATTCATCAAATAATTCTGCTAAATGAAAACAAAAGAGAATTAAGAAAAAATTATGAAATGAGGGAAAAAAACAAGGCAAAACCCACATTTCACTAGATCTACCAGATTTAAGTACATTAATCCAATTCAAAACAGAATCAACATTGTATTAATGTTATAGTTTTCAATAGTACTGTAATTTTGCTTATACAACACAGTAGCTTCAAGGAGTTAACACACATTCTAACAATTGTCTGAATTCAAATATGAAAAATTCCAAATTATTACATCCAACCACATTTGAGTGATAGTATTAATAAAGTGTCAGTTACCTTTTGTTTCTCAGAATGATTGCTGGCTTGTTTGGTTGCTTCAGCCAGTAACTCCTCATACTGTTTATGACCTTTATACTCTCGTACCCGCTTTTCATGAACCCATGCCCTCTCGGGCTGGTTGCTAAAAAACTGGACATGATACTCCCGGGCACCTGCAAGTGAAAATTCTTATTAACCATTTCAGAACATAAGCATCCACATATACTTTGCCATAAATTTGCTATTAAAACTTACATGATTTGGGTTGTCCAAAGATATAATACAATACCTACCAATTAGAGAACTGTAAAAATCATCTCAAATGATTAAAATTAGTTTTAAGAAAATCAGAAATTCTGCTAATTATCAAATTTTATTATCTTGGTAACATATTTTTCCTTGCCTCAAGCCTTTTTGCAAACAAATCTCGGTATAAATCATGTTTGCTTTGAAAAATATATAACTATTTTCTTGGACTTTTAAAAGACAAGTGCTGATCATTGATTTTCTAGCTATGCAGAAGTGCAATATACAGGCCTACAGGTGGAGGAGGAGAGGGCTCTGAGACTCTTTCAGGGATGTTATGAGGGCAAAACTATCTTCGTAATAATACCACGTTGTTACTTGTCTCTCTTACTATGTTGACGCTTGCACTTAACACTGAAAGAGCAATGGTGGTTGTAAAAGTGCTGGCATCTTACCACAAATAAAGGCAGTAAAAGAAACCAAATCATACTAGTGCCATATTCTTGGCAGTCATAATCTGAGTTTTTTTTAAAAATTGTTAATGTCCTTGATACAGTAAAAAAAATTAATTTCATTGAATCTTAACCTTTGAATACATACATGTCTGTTAATAGTCTATGTGACAAAATGGGAAGTATGCATTAAGCACTTCGTATATCGAAGCACAGTATGATGGTTATCTTGAGGAACAGTTGTGTGTGACTGTGTAAGTTGCAAGGTGAATTGGCCACTTTTAGGGGAACACCATTTTTACTTGAAAGAATTACTAACAGAAAAATTATGGTTATTTTAATTTGGGCACTTGACAACTATTCCTCAAAAAAAAGGAACAAATAAGTTTGTCACTTCAGGGAAAACAACTGACAGCATTTGTTGCCAGTAATGACATTTGATCTTCCAATCAAAAATTAGAATTTTGGAAAAACTAGTATCTGCCCCTATGAGTCTTTCAACTTCTCAATAATCAAAGAATTTTCTGAGTAAGCAGTGATATTAACAAAAGTGATTTTTTAAATTCTCTATAAAGAAATATGTCAACACTAACATCTGGAAAATATGAATGACTTAGCGAACCAGTATTTTTTAAACAGCCAATGTGCAATGTTTCAAAGGTATAAAAAAGATCAAGTGCAAGAGAACCAATGGATTTTTTTTAAGATTTATTTGTTTGTTTATTTGTTTATTTATTTATTTATACAAGCACTGGGTACAGTCAGAAGCGCAGGAGGGTGAGAGAATTCACCAGAGCCAGAGCGGGGAGCAGAGCAGGCAGAAGGACCGAAGTACACTGCTGAGGGGAGCAGCGGGCTGCAGGAAAGGTCCGAGCACCATGTGGGACCCTCCTCTGGTGGCCAGGGAGCAGCCGGGGATCGAAATGGCGCCACAGAGGCTGCGGGCAGCCCTGCAACCCAGCGCTCAACCGCTGCGCCACCGGGGAGGCCCAGAGAACCAATGGATTTTAATGTCACAGTACAAATATTTTACTGATAGGATTTCAGATTCCATATTGCAACTAAACCACCAATTGTTGAATTTTTTGCTTAATATCAGAGAAAAATCTACAATTGTCTGCAAGGCCATTAAAATAGCCTTTCTTCTTCCAATGACATATCTGTGTCAGGCCAGATTATCTTCATATACTTCAATCAAAACAATGAACCATAACAGAGTGAACATAGTAACATGCAAGAATCTAGTGTCTTCATTTAAGCCAGACATTAGAGATTTGCAAAACTGTGAAGTGGCATTCTTTTTATTTTTTGGTTAGGAATCTGTTATTTTTTATAAAACCATAATGATAATGCTTATTTTTAAATAAACTAGTAAATATTCTTAAATTTTGATTTCTTAGTTAAAATAAATAGCAGAGGATGTAATCCATACAAATAAAAATTTTAGAGCCCTCAAATTTTAAGAGTAAAGTGGGTCCTGGGACCAAAACATTTAAGAACTGTTGCTATAAAGTACTACGACCCTGATACTGTGGTTCCCAGAACAAGTCTGTATACGACGTAATAAGCACAAAAGTTAAGAGTAAGCATTTAGACTATAATTTGACATTCCCAAGACATCTAGATATATGATCAGGGATTTTGTACTATGGTTTTTTTTTGGGGGGGGGAGGTTTGGCCTGTTTTTAGAGAGGGAAGCCTTTCATTTTTTAAAAAAAAATCTTTTCTGTTTCAAGATTTATGTAGTTATGCATAGAAGAGCTGGGATATAGGACAGAGGCGTGGGGGGTGTGTGTTTTTGTGTGTGAGAGGACCCACCAGAGACAGAGTGGGGAACAGAACAGGCAGACTGACTGAAATACACTGCTGAGGGGAGCAGCGGGCGAGTCAGGAGTGGTCTGCTGCACTATGTGGGTAGCTCCCTGGCCACCTTTCATTTTTCGAATAGTTAATTTTATTATATTTTGCAGAAGTATTAGTCCATGGTGGACTGAAAATTAAAGGAAAAAAACTGGCCCTTTACTATAGTTGAAAAAATGCTGCCCTACAGAATACATCTCAGGTCAAGAGAGAAATAATAGAAATGGGTCTTCTTGGGGAATCTAAGATAATACAGGTAGGGAGAGAAAGGCAGCAAGCAGATCCTGTCTAGAAAAATATGGGCACAGGTCTAAGTTGGAGTAATGTTATCTGCCATTGGTTACATCTAGAATTTGAAAAACTTTCGTTTTATTAGTCGTTAATGAGAAATTAAGGAACTATTTTTGAAATCAGATTAAAATTTCATATACAAAATAGCCAATGAGAAAAAACACACACCCATCTCAGATTTCCATATCATCTAATCTGAGAAGAGCCAAGCACAAATTCGCTTATAATTAATCAAAGAAAATATGTCAAAAGTACAAGGGTTTTGGGCCTCCCCGGTGGCGCAGCGGTAGAGCGCTGGGTTGCGAAGCTGCCCGCAGCCTCTGCGGCGCCGGTTCGATTCCCGGCTGCTCCCCGGCCACCGGAGGAGGGTCCCACATGGTGCGCAGACCTCTCCTGCCACCCGCTGCTCCCCTCAGCAGTGTACTTCGGTCCTTCTGCCTGTTCTGCTCCCCGCTCTGGCTCTGGTGAATTCTCTCACCCTCCCGCGCTTCTGACTGTACCCAGTGCATGTATAAACAAAACAAATGAACAAACAAATAAATAAATAAATAAAACATGCCTCTATTAAAAAAAAAAAAAAAAAAAAGTACAAGGGTTTTGAAGGAAAAAGCAGAAATATAACCTAAACTAATAGGTAAGTATGTGAGACAGAATAGTAGGTAAAGTAATAGGGTCAAAATAACAAAATATAATCTGTTTCCGAAAGTAAAAATTATTTATTTAGAAGCAAATAGGGAATTACGAAGGATAAATTATAGTTTAAAACAGAAAACAGAACAAAATCTCATTTTAATCTTTATTTTCAACCTCTTCCAACATTAAGTCATTTATTACAGATAAAACAAATCAAACCATTTGGCTGTATGTTAGCACTTTGTTTCCTGCTGGGTGGAAAACTATAAAATAAGAGCAAAATAAAAACTCTTAGATATGAAAGACTGAAAAACAAGTATACCTGTCTCTAAAAAGTAAGTTAAATTTCCAGTAGATAAATATTGAGGAAATGTTTTAATATACAGGTAAAACCATCTAGCTTTAAACTTACACACACACACACACACACACACACACACACACACACACACACACACGGCCTCCCTGATGGTACATGGGTTAAATTATCAGTGCTATCAAGCTATCACCAACCACTGCGGTCCGAGTTCAATCCCCAGCCAGGGAGCTAATCCACATGGTGCAAAAGACCTCTCCTGTCTCAACTGCATTGCTGCTCAAAGTGTATTTCAGTAGATCCACCTGTTCTGCTCCCCACTCCGTCTCTGGTGCTCTCACCCCCAACACCTCTGGCCTACACCCTAGTTCATAAATACATAAAAATAAATCTTTAAATATATATATACATATATTAAGATTAAAAGTAATTATAAAACTCTCAGGAAAAGGCTTTATTTTCTATCTATTAATTACAATATGCATAGAGAAAAGAATTAACTCTCAAACTTTTAATAGTAGTTATAGATCTGCAGGATGAGACAACGGGCAGCTTTTGCTTTGACCTGATATGTGTTTTATTTCTAAAAACAGAAAAAGCATTCATTTTTAACTCTTAAACTTATAAGTCTTAAACAAGGAAATACAACTTAAGATAGACATAATTAAAACATCTTTTTAAAGATTTGTTTTATTTATACAAGAGCTGGGATACAGGACAGAGTATGGGAGGGTGAGAGAATTCACCAGAGACAGAGTGGGGAGCAGAACAGACAGATGGAACAAAGACACTGTTGAGGGGAGCAGTGGGCGAGACAGAAGAGGTCTGCCCTGCCATGTGGGTTGCTCCCTGGCTGGCTGGGAATAGAACTGGCACTGCAGAGACTGCGACAGCTTCACAGCGCTGCGCTCAACCCACTGCGCCACCAGAGAGGCCCAATTAAAACATTTTCAACATGTTCTTACAAAGAACTGTATATGTGCGAAAACTTACACATTCCCAATGCTAAGAATCTGACTAATAACAATACTGATAATAATATAGAAACCAATGTTGACTATACATAACCAAGATAAAGAGTTTGCAAAGCAGTTTAGATAATAAGCAATACAAAAGGCTTCACAGGCATCATGTGCTCAATGTAATCAATAAAGTTTTATGCTGTTTTCTTGGTATCCAGAAAACTAATTCTCTTAAAACTGCATGTGACAAACAGTAGAGCATTACTAGCAATAAAAAGAGATGAAGTACTGATACATGATGCAATATGGATGAACCTCTAAAACATTATGCTAAGTGAAAAAGGGCATACATTGTACAATCCTATTTATATGAAATCTACAGAAAGGCAGATCTACAGAGACAGAAAAGTAAATTTACTTAAAAATTACTGAATCGCACTTTTAAAAGGATTTATTTTATGGTATATAAATCAAATCAAGAAAACTATTACTTAAAAACTACTGCAGAAAGAAAAATTTAAATATCAGAATATGCATTTTAACCTAAATTGTCAGATTTCTTTGCTCCTCAATAATACAAATTCAGTTTTTCAGCACTAAAGGGGAATTCGGAGCATATATCCAACCGGATTATTTCACAAAATTAAATTTAAATACTTTCTTTGAAATACAAATGAGGTGAAATTGTGCTTTCATTTGTATCCCATTTTTAAAAAAAGCTAAAATGAGTAGGTTTTCATAAAGTAATTAAACATGAAACTCTTTATATAATCTCAAAGGGATAATTTTCTAAGGTGAGAGAATTAGAGAACTGAAGAGCCACAACTCTCACATGATACAGCATCTCAAAGTGCTTTGCAACCCAGAGAGGGACATGAATTGCTTTAAGAAGGGCAGGTCCTCTTGGGAAATCCTTATTCCATTCTTCTCCCATTCATAAAATCAGACTATTAAATTTGCAAGAGACTTCAGACATTAACAACCTAACATACTTATGATACAAATAAAGGAACCAGGAATGTCTCCCTACAATCTCTGTAAATTGTGACTGGATGAATTTGATTACTTTCACTTTACTATATGGTGGTTATGAAGTAAGATTTCTTGAGATTCTATTACTTATCTGAAACCAGGTTAATAATGCCTGTTTCACAGTGTTGCTGCTGTGAGAACTGCATAAAAAATTGCTTAACACAGTGCCTTGCACAAAATAGACACACAACACTGGTTTTCTGTTTTGTTATTTTACATCTGCCCCAATGATGCATCAAGCTACCCCAACCTTTAATCAGCAGGTTATGACAAGATGACTGCCTTCTATACCAGGGCAGATTCCTGGCTATGTAGCACAAAAGTTACAGAGAAGGCGGATTCTGTCACAAATCTGACTTGCTAAACTGATTTAGGTATGTTTTCTCCTTGTAACAGTGAACAGGGACCAAGAGATACCAAGTTTAAAGGAGCAATAAAAGCAAGGGGCAAAGATGTCACAAACAATAAGGAAATTCAATGCATAACAAGAGTGAGTTCACAAAGAGGATATCCAAAAAATAAGTTCTAAGTTCAAATCTTCCTTTGGCTACTAAGCAAATCCATTCCAAATGCTAGAATTTCAGGAATCTAATCCACATGTTTTGGTCAAACCCAGGAAAAGGAACAGAGAAACGTAAGAACATCTTTTCTTAATTTTTATTAACATTCCTAAGGTAGGATTCTATGTTACACAGCTAGGTTTAAACTATACTTCTATGTCATATTGAATTCATAAGAATGTCACAGTAAACGCACAGATTCACAAATGGGGTGGAGAAAAAAAATCATCCTGCAAAATTTATCAGAATGAAAAGCACCTATGTTGGTTAAAAAATTGCTATCCATAGAAGTCAATGGTGAAATTAAAATGTTTAAAGAAGGGTTGGCTGAAATGCCTATTAAGCTCATCTCAGAAATCTAATTACATATCCATGTGCTGTCTTTAAGATTTCTTATGAAAGGCAAGTCAGAGTATAGTCTTAAAAAAACGTTGTGAAAGAAAGGACAAAACAAAGGATAAAAAAGTTCCTATTAGGGCTTCCCCTGCTGGTCAGGCGGCTGAGCGCAGCACTGTGAAGCTATCCGCAGCCTCTGCAGTATGGGTTCGATACCAGCAGGCCTGTGAGAATCCCCACATGGCGCAGCAGACCTCTCCTGTCTCACCAGCTGCTCGCCTTAGCAGTGTACTTAGGTCCTTCTGCCAGTTCTGCTCCCCGCTCTATCTCTGGTGAATTCTCTCACCCTCCTGCGCCTCTGGCCTGTACCCCAGTGCTTGTACAAATAAATAAATCTTAAAAAAAAAAAAAATTTTCTATTAAAACGGAAAATAAGGATTATACCAGTTATAGATCTTTCTAAGATGACCATAATTATTTCACTGATACTAAAAACTGAGGTATTTTGGAATCAGGTTATATGTGTGTAATCTTATATTCATATAAAACATTTAAGATTCAGTTTTATTTTTTTCCAACCTTTTACTTTTGCTTACCTCTTGTGTTAATTTTGGTATGAACCTCAAGCTGGGGATCACTTGAAACCATACAAGGCCACCAAGGATAGGTTCCCACCTTAGACCAAACAAGATCGCCAACCTGGAACCTAACACCAGCAGACACTTCCGTTGTTGGGACAGAAGATAATACTGGTTGAACCTATAGAAAAAGGTCATAAAACTTCATTAGCAGAGAAGTTTTAGAAATTATGCACCAAGTACTGTAATAATATTATTCTATAATTTAATCGCTACTGCTTTCACCTTCTTACATCATATTTGGTCAGAGAATATTCAAGAAAGCAACTCACTGGGGTTTCCTCTTTTACTACTGGATCTTCTCTTGGCTTTTCTGATACAGTGTCAATCCTCTCATTTGGTCCCTAGGTGAAAAGATATAGGTGAAAAGAATAAACTGCCAGCAAACCAAAGGATAGTGACATACAGAAAAAGATTCAAAGAAAACTAAATAGCAAAGGCAATAGAGGACATTTGTTAACCAAATAACATAAGGAGTATGAATATAACTTATGTAGTACTTGAAGCTATATATTAGTATTAATTTTTCATTCCACACCATTGCTATTATTACCTTTATTATTACCATTGTCTTATTACTTTCAAAACTTAATTTCAAATTAAACTGTTGCTTTTTTTTTTTTTAACCAATCAGAGTCAGGAAAATTGGTACTCTGAGACTGCTAGTAAGATATAATTGGAAACTTTTCCAGAAAGTAACAGTATGTATAAAAAGCTTGAAATTGGGCCTCCCTGGTGGCGCAAGGGGTCAAGCATCACACTATGAAGCATCCACAACCTCTGCAGCACGAGTTCAAACCCCAGCCAGGGAGAAACCCACATGGCAAGGCAGACCTCTCCTGTCTTGCCTGCTGCTCCCCTCAGCAGAGTATTTCGGTCACTCTGCCTCTTCTGTTCCCCACTCTCTCTCTGGTAGATCCTCTCACCCCCTGCATCTCTGGCCTGTACCCCAGCTCTTGTATACATAAAAAATCTTAAAAAAAAAAAAAAAAAAAAAAAAGCCTGAAATTTTCAGACTCTGACCCAGTAAAATCCACTTGTAAGCATAAGAAATATAAAAATATTTATTAAGAATGAGGATATGCATGCTAATGCTATTGATAAGAACAAATGTTAGGGGAAAAGAAGAACAAATGTTAGAAACAGTTTAGATGTCCAAAAATGTAGAATTAAATTATAACTACATAGAATAACATACACTATAAAATGACATGGAAAAACAATATTTTATATTACAATGATGAAAACCAACTTTATCTCAAATAACTTGAAAAAAATTCAAACCACGTACAATCTTTAATCGAGCAACTATATTTTAGGAACCTATTCTAACAGAAATATACGAAGTGAGAAAACCTCAGCAGAAGTATGGTAAGCATAGTATTATTTCATGTCAGTAATCTACATGCCTATCAATATCTTCCTGGTTTTTTTTTTTTATTATTTTAAAAGCCTATATATATACTTTGAAAATATTTGGTATGTTGTATATCAAACTGATGAGTAGTTTTATCTTTAGGTAATGAAATGATGAAAATATATTTTTAAAATATTTATATTTATGCACAGAAGAACTGGGGTATAGGCCAGAGGTGCAGGGGTGAAAGGATTCACCGGAGACAGATGGGGAGCAGAACAGACGGATTTACTGAAATACACTGCTGAGGGGAGTGGTGGGCAAGATGGAAAAGGTCTGCTGCATATCACGTGTGTTAGCTCCCTGGCAGGGGATCGAACTTATGCTGCAGTGGCTGGTGACAGCTTGATAGCACTGAGACTTAATACCTGCGCCACCAGGGAGGCCCAAATTAAGAAAATATTGAAGGAAGATTTTCTATCCTTTTGCATTATGCATTTTCTATATAAAAGCAAGTTATTTCTGTAATTTAAAATAAAGTTTTCTCATTTGTCAAAAAAAAAATTTAATTGAGATGGCTTAAATAGAAGGGTATATCCATTAAATGAGGGCTTATTCCACTAAAAAAAAAAAAGGCTAATTCTACAGGTTACTGAAAATTCTCATTCAATTAATTTAGGACTTTTGCAAAAACAAAGTTTTATAATTTGTAAAAAGGTATCAAACTGTTAGGAAATAATAAGCCAAATGAATATTCAAAACTCCAAGTGTCAACTACTCAACAGTGCCTATGACAATGGTGAAACAAGCTGATGTGATTCCTGGCCTCAAAGAGCTTACTTTGGGTAGGAAAAAAACAGATATTAAATAAACACATATAGATTTTTACAATGTAAGTATATGAAATAATGGTTACATGTATGTGTTTATATTTAGATATGAAGACTAGGAAAGGTGTCTGAGAAAATAAATTATAATTTGAGAATCAAAGGAAGAGTGTTAATCTAGTAAAAACTGGGGAAAATCCCAGAAAGGAATGGCATATGTGAGGTGCCTAAGGTTAAAAAGGCAGAAACTTGAAGAAGACTATTACAACTGACTTCCAAAAGGAGATAGGTTTATAAGGTGACAGTGGAGATGCAGGCTATATTACAAGTGCCTTGTAAGCCATGTTCAAGTGTTTTATCTCAGCTGCAATAAAAAGCCACTGAAGAGATTAGATAGAGGGGGTATTATATATTGATTTGTATATTTGAAAGAGTATTAGTAGCTCTGTGGAAAATATTTTGGAAAGGCAAGAGGGGAAGCAGAATGTTTAATTAAATTACTGAGATTAGAAACATCCTGGATGAAAGAAAGTAACAACTTATTGATGTGCACAAAATTAGATGTCAGATGCATCTATCTGTGAAAGCATCATGAATACCTAATCTGAAAAGACACGTTCACTGAGCAAGGAAAAGAAAATCTGTGTTCAAATGAAATTCTTTTTCTTGATCACTACTGTAATAAAAAAGCAGTTTAGAAATGTTGCACACATTTTCATGGGCCTCCTTCATAGCTTCATTTTAGTTTACAGATGTAGCTTAAGCCTTCACCTCAGCTTCTCATTCTCACGCTACAGCAAGAAAATAGGACCACTCACGGAAGCACAGATGTAGCCAAGAAAACAAGTCATCCTCCCCTGTACATTCAGTTTTCATGATGTCTGGGTGTAAAGGATCTCTTCTTTTTGAGGGTTAGATAGGTATGTGGTGACTAATCTTTACAAACAATAGAATCCTACTATTATAAGAATTTATCTGAAGTCCATTAACATTTTTCCCTTTCTGGATTAAAGACAGGAATTCCTTCAAGACCTTTTTATTATTCAAACAGCTTATCTTCTTTTTTTTAATTTTTGGTTTATTGGATTGTTGGCATTGCTTTCAGGCTAGCTTGAAATACTGTTAAAATCACTTTCATAGAATTGATTTTTTACACAGTCATTTTATTTATTTATTTTTTTAAAGTTTACCCTTTCAAACATTTCTTTTTTTTTTTTAAGCTTTATTTTTATTTATTTATTTTATTTATTTATACAACCACTGGGTACAGTCAGAAGCGCGGGAGGGCTAGAGAATTCACCAGAGCCAAGTGGGGAGCAGAGCAGGCAGAAGGATCAAAGTACACTGCTGAGGGGAGCAGCGGGCGGCAGGAGAGGTCTGCACGCCATGCGGGACCCTCCCCCGGTGGCCAGGGAGCAGCCAGGGATTGAACTGGTGCTGCAGAGGCTGCGGGCAGCTTCGCAACCCAGCGCTCAACCACTGCGCCACCGGTGAGGCCCTACACAGTCATTTTAAAAGGAAAAAAATAACAAGGGAAAGAAAGAAGTCCAAGATTTATTCTAAATTTTTAAGACTAATAAAGGGGGAAAAGTCAACTAAGGATGCTGCAATGAGTACATTAGTAAATTCTGCTAGTTAGCAAATTAGTAAATTGTAACATATGCTAATATGTATGCAAAATAGAAATGTCAGAAGGCATATTAGATCTATGACTTGAACTCAAAAATAAGCTAAGAAGGATAAGTCAGAGCTAACATAGTATCAGAAATACCAGTTTAAGAAAGGGAAATGAAAATAGTCAACAAAAGTTAACTGTTTTTAGATATCAAAAAAAAATAAAGATCAAAAATTACCAACAGATAAAATTACCAACATCTGGATATAAAATCCATTTTCTTTGGATAGGACAAGCTTAAAAGTGATTAAAATCAAGTAAGAACAGAAGATACCTTTTTTGATACTAGTAGTGTTGCTTTACAGAGAGAAAACATCGGCAAAAAAGATGACAGTGAGTTCTTAGCATTTGATTCACTTGAATGTTAAATTTATGATTTTATGGGCATACACTACTTTTTTACATTTGTAATTGATTCCACATGGGAAAGACCAATATTCCAGGAGAGAATCACAGCAAGTTTCTTAAACAAGAAAGAAAGTTGAGACCAGTTAAAATTACATTATCCTCAATATTCCTTTAAAAAAATTTGGTCTACATTTTACAATATACACAAATATCAAATGATGATGCTATATGCCCATCATACCACAATAAAAAATAAATAACAATTAAAAACAAGCTTTGGTTTAGTACTTTTATTAAAACCTAGAGATTTACTAAAATGAATAATACGCAAATTTTTAACACTTTCAAGTTCAACATTAAGCAGAATCATACTCTCTAAAAAAACTGAAAACTTATATCACATTTAAAGTATAAAGAAAATTTTAAAGACAGTAAATTGTTCATGCATTTTTTTACTTCCAACATAACTGATTGTTTATAATCTTAAAAACTAAAAAATCTGTATAAAAAGAACATATGCATGTGAACAGTTCCTAAGTATTTTTTAAGAAAAAAATCCTTTAAGACTACAGAACCATATTCAACCCTCTAACTTAATGCTAACAGCACCAAACCAGCTATAAATAAAAATAGCAAGCTAAGAGTTAATGAGACCAAGTGGATAAGCCCACTGAGGTGCTCACAGAAGACCAATGTTTGAATAGGGCCTACCCTCACATGCCTGAGGCATTACACCTGCCAAGGAGAAAGAAATGCAGAAACATTTCCACATGTTTCTAATTTGGTGAGAAGAAAAACAGCTAGCAGCTTTATAAAATATACAATTTCAATAGTGATTTCAGGTCTCCTGCTGACTAGATGTTTGGACACATTTTCATTGTTGAGGAGTTATACTTAGATGTTCCAAATAAACAGCCACTCTGTAAAAGGCCAAGGAGCTCAGAAGTGGGAGGAAATACTTGTAGATCAACTACAAAGTAAGAAAGTAGTTATTTTGTGTGCGTTTTAGATAAAATTTTATCTAATAGTGTTATTTTAGATGAAACTTTGTTTTCTCAAAAAATAAAGTGTTCTTTATACACACACACACTACACACAAATGCAGCTTGAGAACAATAATTTAAATTTTTTTCCCCGGGTAGATAGTTCTCTATAAGCATCATATAAATGCTTCTCTAAGGCATCTGCAGGAGGGGAGCTATCCAGGAGCATCAGGACTTACTAGAACAACTCTTTCACTTTTAAGGTGCTCTATAATGCTAAACAACAATAATTTGGATCCCCAGTGATAGGAGGTATAGGATGTCAAAAATTAAAACTTTAATAAAAAAAATCATCCTGGGGCCTCCCCGGTGGCGCAGCGGTTGAGCGCAGGGTTACAAAGCTGCCCGCGACCTCTGCGGCACCGGTTCCATCCCCGGCTGCTCCCCGGCCACCGGAGGAGGGTCCCGCATGGCGCCCAGACCTCTCCTGTCGCCCGCTGCTCCCCTCAGCAGTGTACTTCGGTCCTTCTGCCTGCTCTGCTCCCCGCTCTGGCTCTGGTGAATTCTCTCACCCTCCCGCGCTTCTGACTGTACCCAGTGCATGTATAAACAAACAAACAAACAAATAAATAAATAAAAAAAACATGCCTCTATTAAAAAAAAAAAATCATCCTGAAGGATGCAAAACAGATATGCAAATTAAGAAATCCAATTAAGAACTATTTAAAAAAATACACAAAATTAATTTATGCACACCATTAGTTTTCTGGGTAGATTAGCAGAAGCATGACACTAACAAGGAAGAGCCTTGGTAGTTCTAGCTTTAAAGTTCTTAGTTGTTCACTTCTTTGAAAGAAAGAGAGGGAGTGAAGGATGAGGGATGTGGGAAGAGGACTTCAGGGAAAGAGAATGGAGGATGGAGGAAAGGTAAGGAGGAAGGAAGAGAAACAAGTAAAAAAATCTAGATTTCCCCTACAAACTGAAGGTTTAAGTAATAGAAAGAGCCAGGTATAGCAGATATCCAGCAAAGACAGAACTAACTATAAAATCTCATTACAAAAGGACTATTGAATTTTTTCCTAGATTCAAATAAAGCAAAAAGTGGATACAAAGAGTAAATAGATCCTATTATCCTACCTAATTGCTTCCAGTTCTATTTCAATTTTAAGATATCTATTCTAACTAACTTTATCAATAAAGGCAAAAGTCTAGCCTAATAAGAAAATTGGATATTCCCCTATTTACCAGATTCACTAGAGCAAAAGCAAGATGGGCCAGCAAGACAATACTTGGAAACTAAGCTAAAACAAAATTCAGGTTTATGCATTTCTGATTTCCAATGGCCTAAGTGTATCTCATATCTTTTCACTTCAGGTCTATAGAAGGAATTGCTACAGTGAATATATCTAATGTGCAAAAAAGTTAACTTCTCTCCTTTCATTTATTTATCTACCTAACAAATGGCGTTAAGATATTATGTATATGACATAAGAATTAAAAGACATTTCAAAAACCATTTCCAAAATCTTAATTTTACAGATGTATAAACTAAGATACCAATATAACTAAGAACACCTGATTACTTTTATCTTATTACCCAGTTTTATTTTCTAAATAATACTCATCACTATTTGAACTTCTATACATATATACATGTGTATGTATTTTCTGGTTCCTCTTCCTAGAATATAAGCATCTTGCATACTGGCATCTTTAGATTTCACCCACTGCTCTACATTATTTTTCTTTCATTATACCAAATTTAATTTTTTATTATTAATTTTTTTCTTACATCATTGTAGTCCCCACATTGTAGTAACCTACCACCATGTCACCCGTGAACCATATTCCCTTGTGTTCATCCCTTCCCTATTTTGCTCCCTTCCTCCTTTGCTGTAATGTTTCAGTTCTACCGTCAGCTTGCTAGTTTTGACTTTTTCTTGACCCTTTGCTTGGTATCTCTATATTCCACATATAAGTGAGAACATTCAGTATTTACCTTTTTCCTTCTGACTAATTTCCAAGCAAGATCCCTTCCACATCATCCTTATTGCCACAAATGGCATGAGTTTGTCTTCTTTGATCACTGAGTAATATTCCATTGTATAAATTACTCCACAACTTTTTGATCCATTCATCTATTTGGGGCATTTGGGTTATTCCTACATCTTGGCTATTTTAAATAATGCTGCAATAAACACAGGAGTGCAGGTTTCCTTTTGAATTAGTGTTTTTGTGTCCTTTGGGTAGATTCCTAGGAGTAAAATCGCTGGATCATATGGTAGATCCATTTTTAGTGTTCTGAGGAACCCCCACACAGCTTTCCATACCCATTGTTGTACTGTTAATTCTTAAGAGTTGAGCACACAGCAGCTAGACTTTTGTTAATTGAATTCATACTTGTTAATTGAATAAGAAAACTATAGAAGAATGAGGAAACCTATCAAAATATCATACTGAGACTTGTCGAAGTGTAGAACCACTGTGCTTTACTCCATAAAAAAAAATCACGATTGAGTTGTACAAAGCACTGTAACCTATCACCAAGCAAAAGTGAGTTGATAAGTCAACATTTCTTTGAACAGAAGATAACATATTATTCAGGCATACCAAATATAAAAGTATACAATTGTCACATACACAAAAATACATACATACATACATACATATATATACACACACACATATGTTTTGTCCCAAATAATTTTGTCCCAATGTCTGGGAAACATCTTTAATACATACCATGTATCATTCAAGGTAGAATTAATTTGTTACATAATTAATTATGAGGATAAAAATTCAAACTGAAACCTTAGCTATTAAAAAATTTAACACCATGCATCATAAATTATCTATGAAAGATGACTTACAAAAACTGAAGTTTTAATCAGTAAATATAAATATTCACTAATTTAAAAAGTTCCTCTATTACTTCAAATGTTTTTGCAGCAAACACATTAACAATGAGTGCTAAAATTGCTCTACCAGCAACAGTTAGTCTGAAATAATGAAAAACTGGTATTAACCACCTTCTCTTTGCCTTTCCTTTTCATTCTTCAGAAATGAGTTTATTATAACAAGTGAGTTATTAGGTCAAGAAACAAAATTCTTAGTATCACATGTTTTAAAAATCTCTCTTCATTCAACTGATGTCCATTCATTCATTCAACAAATATTTACTCAATACCAATTATAATATCATAAGCTCCTTTCTGGGATTAGAAATTATCAGAAATATTTATATTTGACAAGATAAAAAGTGAAAAATCTCTGGAACTTCCTGTAAATTTGAAATATTACAAAATTTTTCAAAAAGATGTTTCAACTTACATTTTGCTCCTCTGGTTCTAATTTGGGGATTTTGTGTGACTTGCGCTCTTCAGATCTGGATGAATCATGCTTGTTGCTTTTTTTCCTCTTTTCTTTTCTGCTTTCATGCTTTGACTTTGTGTGCTCACTTGCCTGTACTTCATTTAAAAGGTCTCCACAAAGGGAAGACTCAAACAATTCCCTGCCATTCTGGATAGTTTTGGTTATTTTTAGTTTAATTTCAGGTGAGCCAGTCTTCTTTGGAATCACAGTTTGTGGTACCGAAGGAGGTGGTGGCGGCTGTGGAGGAGACGGTTTTTCCAGAATTTCATGTGGTCTTGTGTTTGGAATTTCTGAATGGTAATAGTCAGTGGGGCTAAAGTTTCTAACTGCACCAAAGCCATTGGCTGACCCATTGGGATACTGACTATATGATTGGTATTTGGTTTGAGTTTCATACATGTTGATTGAAGGTGGATAGCCATTCGTGAGTGGAGGAAGATCTTCTGTCGTAGGTGGGTACTGAAAGCCTTGCTGCAAGGTAGCTTCATACGGTGTCTGGCCACCATCTTCAACAATGTCACTGTTGTTATCAAAGGCATCCTCCTGACGGATATTGGCGGAGTCAATGAGTTGAGGTGGTTGCTGAATTGTGTTTCCCATGATCCCTTGCATGAAAGAGAAAGAGAAATCCATTGTTCTGCTCCAGCATCCTTAACTTTCCCTTTCTCTCATCGGGCCTAAAGTTTTAAAAGAGGAGATTAAAAGGTATTAATACCTTCATAGGTTAAAGGCTAATCAATTGAAAAAGAATTAAACTGAAATATTATGAATCCAATTTTCACACCCAGATATGCATACACACTAATATTTCTAAAACAGCTAGCCAATGTAATTTTGACACAGGGCAAATACTTTTTATCATAAATGCTTATCTGTTCAAAATTATCAATTACTTTTGCGGTAACTTTAATAATAAAATTATATCTTCCTTGCAAACATGCAAAATATTTTTAACATTCCTTTCTGTTTCCCAAGTTAGAATTATAAATCCCTGCTTAAAACTGGTATTTGCAAAATAAGTAGCTTTCTGACACAATAAACTAGGTTTCATACAAGTTTCCTCCATATCATTGATGTTTTGTACAGAAGTTCTTTTATTATGAGAACAAAATATTACTGCAATATTTTAAATACAAAAGTAAAAAAGGCCAATTCCTACCCCTTTCCTTTATTCCCACACTTCTATATCATAGATAAACACTGTAAACACTTTGGTGTGTATTTGTCCAAGTCTTTATACAGGCACATACGAAATTTTAAAAAGAGGGTTTATTCAGACTTGCTTATTCAACCTAACAATACATCAATATTTTTCTACATTGTCATATATAGAAAATTTTCATGCATTCTTCATTCTTTAAATGGATGCATAGTAAACAACTATGACAACTACCACAATATATTTAATTATTTGTGTACTAGTAATCATTGAGTTGCACATAACTGTATGATATATATGTAGCCTTATAGGATACTTTCTTGAAACCACATCTCTGTGCATATATTTACTTTCCTATAGGACATATTTGAACTTTCTGATAGACACATTAAAACTGTTCGACAGGCAAGTACTACATCAATTTACATTCAGCCCAATAGTGTGTAAGAAAGCCTGATACACTGCTAGCATCTAGTTGTTTTTAATCAATGGTATGAGTAGCAGAATTATCTGGGGTGTTTTTACAAAATGTACATGTTAAGGTCTATTTCTTGATGAATCTGATTCAATAAATCTGGGATGAGACCCACAGCATGAGTATTTTAAGATCACACTCCAGCTGATTCTGATACACACTCTTGGTTAGGTCACTGTATTATAGTCTTACAACTAAGTCATGTCTTCTAAAAGGTATCTAAAGATGTCCACATCTGTAACAATGTTACAATATAGATAAGCATCTCTTAGAAGATACTCTAAAACCACTCTGCTGTGTCATAAATTTGGCATGTCCACATCTTGAGACAGGATTAAGGAACAGTCCAGATACTATTTTGATAATTCCACAAACATTTCTTCTAGGAAACTCTAAAGCAGAGAGGATTTCGCTATTGTAGCAAGTTTGATAAACAGCTTGTAGCTATCGGAAAAATATTGTGAAAAGGGATTCTGAGGCTGTAATTCAGTTCAATTCTATGACTGTCTACCATCTTGGTTTTAGTGGGATTTACCATTAATGACAAAGTAATCCAAAATAGCAAAGAAAGAGGGGGGAAAAAAAAGTTGACAATATACTTTTCAAGGTGTATCCAATTAAAAAGCTGCGGTTCATTTTGTTGTTAGCAAATGGAAAGAATTTCCAAAGTTCTAAAATTGCAAACAAATGAGTATGAGAAAACACAGGAAAATCAAACTTGCCCATATTGCTCTATAGTAGAGGAAGGGGCTTGGGAGTAAAACGCACTCTGATTTTTTAAGCATCTACTCTGGACTAAGAACTTATACATTATCTCATTTATTCCTCATAACAACGCTGCAAGATAGATATTGTTGACTCCTAGTCCAGAGGTGAAAGTAACTGAGCTGCAGGGGTGGTTAGGCGACTTGCTTAAATCACAAAGCAAAAGGGGACAGAATTAAGATTTGAATCTAAGTATTTCTAACTTAAAAATCTATGATCTTTACCCTTATACCACCTCCACTTCCCTTCTTATGCATATAAGAACTGGGGTGTAGGCCAGATGTACAGGGGGTGAGAGATTCACCAGAGACAGAGTGGGGAGTAGAACGGGTGGATCCACTGAAATACACTGCTGAGGGGAGCAGCAGGCAAGACAGGCCTTGCTGATACCTCCCCCAATTTCCCCTCTGCAGGGGACAGAACTCAGCTGCAGTGGCTGAGACTTTAACCCCTGCACCATCATGAAGGCCCAGGATTACTTTCTTTTTCTCAAGTACTTTATTTCTTGGTTGCTGCCAAAATAACAACTAACTATTCTATAATAACCACCACTAACACTTAAATAGTGCTTGGTATATGCCCAGAACCAATCTAAATATTTTACATGAAGTACATACAGTAAAACATTTAGTCCCCCCAATACTCTTCAGGTAAAGATTAATTCCCAATGCAGATAGGAATAGAGGCATTGAGAAATTAAATGACTTGCTCAAGTACACGAGCCAGTCATAAACTGACAGAGCTGGGACTCAATCCAGGCAGTCTGGTTTCAGAATCTGTGATCCTAACCAATTTACCATACTGATAATCTCCATAAATGTTAGGAATAATTATTTCTTTATATACAGCTTAAGAATGAAATATTACCCTAATTTAACACTTTGCAAAAATGTATAGCTTACAGACACAAGGATATATTCCAAAATTATGTAAACAGGGCCTCCCTGGTGGCACAATGGGTTAAGACGCAACCTATGAAGCTATCTGCAGCCACTGCAGCACGAGTTCAATCCCCGGCCTGCCAGGGAGCTACCCACATGGCTCAGCAGACCTCTCCTATCTTGCCCGCTGCTCCCCTCAGCAGTGTATTTCAGTAGATCTGCCTATTCTGTTCCCCACTCTGTCTCTGGTGAATCCTCTCACACAACCCCCCCCCCACTCCTCTGGCCTGTACCCCAGCTCTTGTACGCATAAATAATCTTTAAAATAAAATAATGTAAACATCCATGGGACAACTATACTGATGGAATTCAAAAGTTCTTTGGGGCCTCCCTGGTGGCATAAGGGGTTAAGCACAGCACTATGAAGCTATCGACAGCCTCCACAGCATCAGTTCGATCCCGTCCCGGACAGGGAGCCACCCACATGGCACAGCAGACCACTCCTTTCTCACCCACTGCTCCCCTCAGCAGTGTATTTCACTCAGTCTGCCTGTTCTATTCCCCATTCTGTCTCTGGTGAATCATCTCGGCCCCCCGCACCTCCAGCCTATACCCCAGTTCTTGTATGCATAAAGAAATAAATCTTAAAAAAAAAAAAAGGACAGAACAGAACAAAAGTTCTTTGAACTTTCAATTTGAAGGCAAGTTAAATACTGACATTGGACAAGATGCAACCTGTGTTTTTGGTTTCTCATAACTGTCATATATAAGATCAGCTTCCAGATTAGTTTCCCAAATTATAGTCTACAGGGCTTTTCAGACATATAAATTCAGAGACTAAGATTTCTGATTTATTTCCAAACATAAATTTTTAACATGTTTGGTACTTCCCCTCCTTTTCTTCTCCATCCTAGTTCTAGAACCAAATGTTTCATTTTAGTTTAAATTAAGAAATGACATTACCATCTTACAATTACATAGAAATTGACAATTACAATATTTTCCTGTATGTTCATATTTGATCTCAAAACAATCCTATATTGCTGACATGGCAGATGTTAGCTTCATTTTTTAAACAACTACATTGAGTATTTAAGAAGCTGAAATCTTAAGACAACAAAACTAACTGGTGATTAAGCCCAAAAAAGTATCAATCTCCTGAACTTCTAATCTTACACTCTTTTCCATAATATCTCACTGGCACAGAATATCCAACTCCCCAGTGACAACCACCTGAATGCTGAAATACAACCTTATGAGTCATATGTTCAGAACTAAATGCACTACCCTTTCTCTAAGTCAGTTTTCCTTTCAGACTACCCCAGACTTTTCACTGCTTCCACTATTTTACTAGTTTCCTGACTGAAAGCCTAAGGCTCTCGATGACTGATTCTTCCCACTCAAATTAGTCATTGAACAAATCTTAATGGTTTTTCCCTTGACATCTTTCAGTTGTTGTTTGATCTCTACACCTATGTCAGGCCAGACCCTCAGCACATTTATCTGAACTGTGAAAACTAATTTTCTAAATATTTTTGCCATTACCTTCTTCCTATAGAGTTAGATGATGTGTCCTAAAACCAAACTACAGTAAGTCTACTTCTAGACTGAGAAACTCTAAAGTTCCCTATTATACCAACTCCCTTCCATGTCTTTCAATGCCTTCCTTGATCTCATTTTTTTCCTACCAACCCAAATTGTATGTGCATGAATAAATTTTTCTGAGCATCCATTGGGTCAAATATCTGTAAGACATGACCTCGCTCATACATTATGCTTTGTTTAATCCCGTAAGTAGTAGTATTCCCAAATAGAGAATGGAGTTCAAAAAGATTAATTCACCCTTAATCACACAATCAACAGAAGTTGAATAAAATGGTGAAGCTCTATCTTCTAATTTCAATACCATGCTCTTTACACAGCAAATGCTTCATGATCTGCAAACAATCCATATTTTCCACTTTCCCCCGATATGTTCCATACCCATAATCCAAATATCTGTTTAACAAGCTTCTTTCATCTCTCACAAACATCTTAAAATGCCTAATAACGAATTCCTAATTTTTATTCTACTTAAATGTGTCCTTCCCCAAGTCTGCCTATGAAGAAACAATGATACCTCCTCCTCTCAGTTGCTCAAGTCAGATACCTAGAAAGCATGATGATACATTCTTTCCCTCATTGTTACTCTTATCCAATATAGCAGCAAATCCTCTGAATTTTATCTTCAAAGCATATTTCATATTTGTCTATCTCATTTCATCTCTTCTGCTTTTCATATTAGTGCAAGCTCTTCACCCAGTGTATGCTATAGCTACCTTCCCAGTCTCCATGCTGCTTCTCATCTCTCTAAAATCTATTTTTTCATATAACTTAAGCCACCCTTTAAAAACTAAA